CTTCTTCAATTATATCGAGATAGTAAATCATGAATTAAATTTATTAAAAATAATAATAATCTTTATCATAATATAAATTTATAATGATATAATAAATTTAAATTTATTATACTTATTAAAAATAATAATCTTCATATCATAATATAAATTCATAATAATATAATAAATTTATATAAAAAAGTAGCTTCTTCAATTATATCGAGATAGTGAATCATGAATTAAATTTATTAAATTTATTAAAAATAATAATCTTCATATCATAATATAAATTCATAATAATATAATAAATTTATAAAGATATATATATTAAAATAATTAAAGAATTATATAAAAATATAAAAGTAGTAAATTGCGTCACAGTAAAGTCGACTAACAATAGTTGAAATATCACACGAGAGTTCATCTCTTTGCAAATATCGAGATGTAATTACTCCATACGCTCGTGTGTTTTTCTCGTCAAAAAGTTTGTGCAATTTTTCCGTAGTAAAATTTTATCATCTTTTATATTAAAAAAGAAATTAATATAAAACTGCACGACCCTGTCAAAATCCAGGAAAGATTATTTAAAAAATTATATGATTTATTTCCTTTGCTCACAAAAAATTGTTGTTTTTGTTAAAAAAGGAATAAATGAAAATGCACGCATACAAACATATATTTAGTATATACATTTTTATAAATGTATGATATATATGCGATGAAAAAAAATTCTAAAATTGTATCTTTTCTTCGAAGATAAACATGATCAATCTGAGAATCCTTTAAATCGTTTCAAACAGATGTTGAGCTTACAAACAGCGTCAGAGATATGATGTGGATAAAATATGAAAAATATAAGAATAAATTTGCAGAACCCACACACGTAAGAATCGAGTGACAAAGCAAGAATTTCTATTTATTTAAATGAGAGGGGCAAGACTTTTGCGTGGACAAAGGTGTAAAATAACTTTTATGTTTATCTCAACTTACAAACTCTGAATATGCACATTTCATCCAATAATTTTTGCTAATTAATTGATATGCTTTTGATTATTCATACAATAGTACGCGATTAACGAAATATTATTATTGCAATCTCCATTTTACAGAAGAGATAATTCACGATTACTTCACAGAAATAATTATCTCGATATAATATTTATAAAAAAAGTTTCATAAAAATACATACAGAGAATATAAATTAATTACGTGCTCTGTTATTTATGGTTGAAATAGTTTAATGAGGTCAGTTCATATTCTAGAGACTGCTTTTCTCTTTGTGCACTTTCTCCAACAAATTTTTTATGATTGTCATTTTATGTCTATCACATTATACTCATTGTCTCGAGATAAATCATATCGATACAACGATCTTTCGTTTTTTTAATCAAGAATTAAAATTTTTTTAATCAAAAAATTCAGAAAAGTATTTTGGCAAAAGAATTAAATGTGAGAACAATCTAGTAGAGTAATTTCTCTCGCAATAATAACTCAAATTGAGAAAAAGATGACTCTTTTGTTTTATCTTATACATATGTATATGTCTCTGTATTATACGTTTCAAGCTGTTATTCATTTATCACAAGTATAAAAAGATATAAAAAGAAAGTCACATGAAATATCATGAATTCAACCATATATTGCTCGTGACTATATTATCAGAGGAAAGAAAGTACAATTGAAAATGCAATGCATGTCTGATTTTAAAGAAATACATTTCGTGTCATATACGATATTTTTTTGACATTATTATTATTAGTATAAAAGAAATTCGATCTTATATGTATATAAAATAAAGTAAATATAACTATTCATGTATCTATCATTTACAATGATAATACATTACAATGTCGAATGGGAAGCCTTGTGAAAAATTGGAAAGAAAATATTGGGTAACGCGAGCTGTTAAATATAACGAGTACCATATTGGCCTATGTTGCATCGTGTGAATTAAATCTTACAAGCGCGAAAGTTTGACGATTAACATGCTAGAAGGAGAGGGAAAATTATGCAATCTTATATCGTTCGTAGAATCGTTAGCCTCGTGTTGCTGCACCTTGCGATACGTCCTTACGAGTCTCGTTAAAATCACCGCTAAAAAAACTTAATACGTACTTGCATGCAAATGTTGTACGTACATACAGGGTGTTCTGAAAGTGGCTATCTATTTGCAAAATAGCAGGAATTATGAAAAGCATTTTTAAGACATGAAAAAAGAAATGTATGTAAACAAAATGCATACTTTATGAAGCTAATTTATTCTTGCACTTCACCGACAATAAGTCTGAAAAGGAAATAAAAAAAATTAAGAAAAAAATCGTGTAAAATAATTGAATTTTACATACATACGAGTTTGCGTAACAATAGATATATCATTATGCTAGTGTAACATTTTTTTTTAAATATCTCTAATTTCACTAAAATAGATAGTCACTTTACGAACACTCTATAAGTCCGATTAGATATGTGCCTAGCGCGATATTATATATTTTATTATTTATTGCAAATTGTAAATTTCGCAAAATGTGGAGAAGCAATACGCATTTTAATGAATCTAATCTTTTACGATGCGTGCAATTTAGATAACATATGCTGAAGAGAGATGTTTTATAGGACGATAGCTACAGCTTAATGACAATTCGAATTATCTCTTCAATAATAAATGAACGATGCTACACATGTCTCAATGTTTAGCCTTGCGATTGGAGAGTGAAACCTCGATCGAAGATACCCCGCCGATTCACGTTTCCCCGATCGGATCGATATTCCAAGGTCATCGGACTAATGTCATCGGAACGTGGCGTTTTATTCGTTTACACTCCCGCGCACTCCATCACTTTGCTCAAATGAAATTTCGTCGGGTTTCATTGCCCATATATACCCCACGCTGATAAGATTTATACGCGTTGATGGTTTCGAGCTTTGGGATTTTCGAGATTGGACTAATTCACACTTTCCAAGCCTCGGGGTCCGTTACTCCGATATAAAAAAAAACGGCATTTAATATCATTAATCGCACAAAGAGAGTTAGGTTTAGTGCTCTAAGAAATGTCATTCTCTTCATTCATAGATATAAAATATCTTCATCTAAAATATCTTCGTCTAAAGTGTCAGAGTGGCTTATTTAAAACAGCTACGTTTAAAAAATGAGACGCTCTCGCCTCGATCCTTAAGTCTCGGAAAAATCGCCGGAAAAATCTTGACGATAATAATAATAATAATAATAACAACGTTCGATCTCGCCTCGATGACACTTGGACGGGGGAATGCGTCATCGTAATCGCGACTATTCGCTCTCGGCGAGGCCCGATAAAGTGATAAACAAGGGATAATATACGGGCCGTCCACGGGCCGTAATAGCGAAAAGATCGCGTCGCAGCCATGGAAATCGAAGGTCATCCAGCATTTTTCCGTGGAACACCTCCGGGTCTCTTCGATTCCCGGGGTGCCAACGCGTGGCGCGCGGGAGGAGGCGGGGCGGGGGGTGACGAGCGGGGGAGGGGGGAGGGCGCGAGGAGAACGAAGCGAGGCGAGGCGAGGCGAGGCGAGGCGAGGCTGCGAGAAGAGAGAAAACGAGATGAAGCGAGACGGGACGCGTCGCATGACGTAGCCCGCGTTCGGATTGTCAAACGGCGATCCGCGAGCGTTCGGCGGGGGGGAGGGGGCGAGGGGGGAGGAAATACGCGGAAAATACGTACCTCTGCGATTGAACGGCCGTACCCGCACGGCGACCTTTATCTTATCCGTAGCCATGACTTTTTGCACACCGGTAAACGCGCGCACTTTTTTCCTGTATCGCACACGATCACACACGAGGGGAGAACCACAGCTGGGCAGACAGTTTGACGTGCCACGTGATTACGTCGATCCTCGCACGATTCGCACGTATCGCTACATTATTATTATTATCAACCCATACCGCGGACTTGTCATCTTACGAACGGCACGCTACGTCTACGCCGAGCTCGCTGTGACACACTTCGCCATATTGCTTCCCAAGGCCCGTCGTGCGCCAGACAGCGGCGGTCGTCTTATCGAAGCTATCGAGTGAGCGCGCTTCGGGGAAACGCCGTTAGGGACGCTCGCGGTTCGATAAATACGTGACGTCACGAACGAGGTTATAACGGACATAGAGGGCGCCACGCGGCCGTCCGCCATTGGTCGGGACGAGCCGCCCTATCGACCAATCATCGCGTCTGGCGCGAATATCGCTCTAAGGCCGATCTTATATTTATCCCTTCATTTGCTGCCGCCAAGTAGAGGTCACGTGACATTTTCCACTCGCCACAATTTGAATCGCGACTAATAGCGCATGTGCATTTGTATAATTTTTGATAGATAAAATATATGTAATTTAGATCGAACAATGAGAGATAAATTGTAGCAAAATAATGCACGTCGATTAAACTAATGTAATTTTTTGCTGAGTAATGCAAATGAGATTCATCTATTGAATGATATGAGCATAGAAATATAGAGGGCTCAAAAAAATGAGAATCAATCCTTTATAAAAACGAATGAATACTGTTTTAGCTAAATCTCTAGCTAGATTCTAAAATAGAATCTTGAATACTTATGTATAATTTACTGTATAATCTAACTACTATGTAATATAATTTACTGTACGATCTAACCTGTATGGAATGGTGGGGACCTCTCGTGGAGACCTAGGAACTACCGATTCATAAATGCACTATTTTGACCATAGACTTAAGTCTATGATTTTGGCCAAAAGCTTGCTCTGTTCTTATTCAATAATCGTGGGATGATTTGTAATATCAAATGAAGTATATTCATAGTTAAAACTTAAAATTTAGCGCCTAAATTATTTATATTTATTAATTCTCCAATTATAAGTATAATTTATGATTAACTTAAAATCGTGTAAGATTACCTGATGATTGAAATTGGACCAATCAGGACAAAGAGATTTAGCTCTTTCGTTCTGATTGGTCAATCTTCAATCTTCAATTTCCATGCGCAGTCTGATACGGGTTTATCTCCACACGCGTTGTTTTTCATCTTGATATCGTCTTGTTTGTGAAGAAGGATTCGAGAAACAACCATAACCATAGTTAAAAAATAAAGATATTAATTATTTAAAAAAGAGATAGATTTAAGAGGTTTGTTCTCTTTGCGGCTAAAGTTTTTGTTTTTCTCTCTTTCTCTTTAATTTTTAATTACATTTTTATCTATCTTACTTTACTCTGTTACAGTTCAGCTACAGAGAACAACCTGATATTTCTCGTTGTCTCTGCGATTGTCTGTGATATCGAAATTCAGAAGTTAATGGAACGTGCTAGAATTTTGCCAAAACTTTAAGGAAACTGGGAGAACGTGCCAGAATTTTGAGAAAACTGGTGGGTGTCAGAATTTTGACGAAACAAACATTTGTGAAAAAAACGTTCCTCATATATATACGATATTTTATATTAAAGTATTTTTCTCAAACTCAAGAAATTCATTGAAAAATAAGGATGTCACAGGAAACAAATTTGTTACTTTGTTATCATCGCGGTTGTGGAAAGAAATTTGATCCAAACAATAATAAGGACGGTAAGTTATGTTGCTTTCAAAACCTTTAATTACTAATTATTTATCAGATTAAATAACTAATAACACATGTAAAAAAATTCTTATAATTTTTTTGCAGATGATTGTGTTTATCATTCTGGATATCCAGTATTTCATGATGCTTACAAGGGATGGTCTTGTTGTAGCAAAAAGTGTACAGATTTTACAGAGTTTTTGAATATTAAAGGTTGTACCAAATCAAAGCATTCGAATGAGAAACCAGCAGAACCGGAAAAACCGCCTATTGATAAATGCAAGCTGGATGAAGTGATAGAGGTTGTTTCGAAGCCTGTGTTCAATGGAGTATCTTTACCAAGACCTGCCTTTGACACTGCTCAACTTGTACTATCGCCAACAATATCTCCTGCTCTTTTAGAACAAATTAAAGGATTAACAGCTATAGAATCTGACAAACCAATAGAAGGCAAAATACAAATAGGACAACGTTGTCAAAATAATTCATGTAAAGGAACTTACAAAGGAATTACTTCTGATGAAGAAATTTGTCATTATCATCCAGGAGAGCCTATATTTCACGAAGGGATGAAATATTGGTCCTGTTGTCAAAAAAAGACAACAGAATTTTCTGTATTTTTGGATCAACCAGGCTGCACACAAGGCAAACACATATGGTTTACTAAGGTAATTCACAGAATAAAGCTTGATTAATATTTGTGATAATTAATATTTCTGCTTTTTTCAGAATTCAGAGAAAAAGGCTCAATGTAGAATGGACTGGCACCAAACTGGAGCTTATGTGTTTATTTCTATATATGCAAAGAAATATCTGCCTAATCAGTCTGTTATAAAATTAAATCCTGTCCATCTGACTGTAGATTTATTTTTTATAGAAGAAAAATCAAGATATAATCTTGATATAGAATTGAGAGGAGTATGTATCAATGTTTTAGTATTTTAAAAATAATTCTAATAAAACTATAAGAAATATATTATGAAATGTATGCACATATTTTATTTTTAGATTGTGGATGTCAAACAAAGTAGTGTAAATATGCTGCCAACCAAAGTAGAGATCAAATTAAAAAAGGCTGAAATTGGTTCATGGTCAAAGTTGGATATTCCTAGAGAAATAAAGCCAGAAATTTCTGAAAGCAAGGAAAATATTGCCACTCTTAATACACAAATTGAAGCAGTGGATCTTAGTGACCTTTAAATGACTGTAACATGCTGTTAAATAATTTGTAACTTAAATAATACTGTAATAATAGTTGTAATAATAATAATTTGTCTTTTTGGAATGATATATTTAAATTTAAAACAAATATTTTTATATATTTTTAATAATTTTTGTTAAATAATTCATGGTAAAATTATGATAATTATGAAAAGATCTTTATTATTTTTCTGAATAGTGTGAGTAAACAAAAAAGTGCAAATGAATAGAATTGTAAACTATAGATTTTTTTTAACCCATGATCTTTTTTTCAGTTTTTTCTTTTATATGAAGACAATAAATAATTTGGAATACTTAATGTTATATGAATTTAATGTTTCATTTTCCTACAAAAAAAATGTATTCTTAATTGTAGAAATATCTTATATTTATGAAGACTATAATGTATATATATATGTATGTGTGTAAATTTTTATATTTAAACCTTGAATTTTTCCTCTATCATAGAACCTCGAAATAGTGCGCAAAGTCATTCATTCTATATATCTGTGAATAGCGTACTAGGAAATGTATGAACAAAACAATACCGCTACTACTACCACTATAGTTTAAAAGTGAAGTGGGGGCAACCTAGTTTTAAGCTCAGAGTCCCGAACCACGCGCCATTTAAAAGGTTCCTCGTTCCAGTGTAGTTCCTATTCTTACTTTCTGACAATGTATGTAGAATGATAATACGAAGCAGAATAGATGTTTAATTTATGAAAATTGAGAACTGGTTAAGAACAGAAAAAGTTCACACATATATAGAAAAATTCTTAATGTACCTTAGAGTTAACAATAAGCAGAATGACAGCCATCAATTCCACCAAACCAAAATTAAGAGTAAATAATTGTCTCGACGCTTGATACGAGAATATATAATACATGATAAAATTTTGTATATATATATATATATATATATATATTGTAGAATATTTATATACTCCTTTATTTTAGATATTAGCATTACATGGATATATGCAATCAGATGTAATCTTTAGCGCCAAGTTGGGATCATTAAGGAAGGGATTTAAAAAAGAAATAGATTTTACATTTATAAGAGCACCACACAAAATTCCATCAAATAATGAAGAAAATGCAGATGAAAATGGTTTGTGTTGTACAAGCAAGAAGTATTTAATATACAACCAATTGCAAAATTTTTTATACCATTATTTACGTATCATTTAATAAGTGTTTAATCATATATATATAAACTACAGGATATGGATGGTGGTTTAATACAGAGGACCATGTATTTAAAGCAACAGTACCTAGTGAATTATGTGTAGGATTTGAGGACAGTATAGTTTTAATAGAAACAATATTTACAGAACAGGGTCCCTTTGATGGTATATTAGGTTTTTCACAAGGTGCTGCTTTTGTCAGTATATTATGTGCTATGATGAAAAGAAAAAGTAAGAAATGGAAAATACATAGTAAAAAAATAAAAAAAATATATATATGATTGATTTTTTCATAGTGTTACAGATTGAATTCAAATTTGCTATTATGATATCTGGATTCAAGTCATTGTGCGCACCTCATGCAAAATATTACGATGAAAAGATAGATGTACCTTCCTTACACATTTATGGAGAAAATGATCAAGTAATTCCAACAGGTATGAAATTATAATTATTATTTAATTATAGTTATTGAATGACAAATCATATTGAATACTATATTAATTTGATTATTTATTGTAGCAATGGCAGAACATATTAGTTGTCTTTTTACAAATAAGAAAGAAATGCGGCACGAAGGTGGCCATTATATACCAAGTAAGAAAGATATTTACAAGGATTTTATAATGGAAATGCTAACAAATAAAAATGTATAAGCAATTAATATTCAATCGTTTTCTTATTTTATTACTTAATTTATAATTATTTTACTGAGAGTAAACGATTCAATTGTATGAATGAATTTTGAATGTATAAGTCTACATGAGATTAGTGGATGAATTGCGCAAAAGATTTTTGAATATTGAATAAATGTATGGAATCAGTACAATAAATTTTTCTTTTTACTGTTGCCTTGTGTGGTGTTATTTGCTTTGTTACATGTCCTATGTAACATATAATTATATTGCTAATAAAACCATATAAGTTACATAATAATTATAATAGGATATACAATATTATAGAATGAAAAACTATTCATTGGAGCATTATATTTTACACTTATAATAATTGTATATCTTATGTCAATTCAGATCCAATCAGCCTTATATGTCATTATGCCTTGTAATTATAATGCCTACAATTTAGAAATATCATAGATAACTTGCAAATTAAATAAGAAATTATTTATACATATCTTAAGAAACTGAATTTATTTTAGTTTTCCCTGTATGTATATATATATATAGACAGTTAAATAAAGCAGAGATGAATAAGAATATTCAATTTTAAAGATATTAAAAACTATTTAAAAATAGTATATTTAAGCTATGCCATAAAATTAAATAGTTGAGGTATTTATTCTCGCATTCCAATCATAACAAAACACTTACGTATAATTTCATATCTATATAAATTTGGTTTAATGCACGGTGTAGAGTGTGAGCATGATTCTTTTTTAATTTTATTATCACCTTCAGTCTAATAATTGAGTATAAATTAGTACTCATCACATATCATTACAAAACTGAAGATTGTGTGACTACATTGCATTCTCATTAGATTAAATATTAAAAAATTTTGCTGCTCTGAACATCTGTATAAAATTGTACGTATCTAATATTCACATGATGCTCCCTCTTGACACCATGATATTCACATTCTAATATTCACATAGTACATGGTAATAAGATTTTTATCTCGTTTTACCATTCAGAGCGGCCCTGACGATTACTAAATTGTAGAGAACACAAAACTTCATCGTCAATAGGTGCAATATCATCCATATTATTTCAAGGGGATTGCTCTTGTCCATTATTTTCTTGCGATTTCATAACATCCGGGAGATCTGGTGGTAATGAAAATGGTGTCATTTCCAAAGGTTCAAATTGACCATCTGATTGACGTAGAGCTAAACCAACTAATGCGGGACATTGCGCCTTTGCAGTTAACGATGTCAATCCATAATCTTGTAATGCTTTGTTATCAGACATTGGAAGATAATCTTTATTAAATAACTGTTGATTTGCTGGAGGTACTTTTAGTATACCTACAATAGCAAAAAAAAAAACCAAAAGACTCGGTTAATCTCAATATTAAATCAAAGTAATTACGTTAATAAAATAACGTGAGAATATATCGACAAACGATTTAAAACATGTTACATTTTCACGCAATTTTTTTTTTTAGATCGTGCTTTACCTTCAATCATTTTCTTAAGCTCGAGAACTGTGGTGTCGTCTTTCGCATCGGTAAATATTGTCATTTTCTTTCGCCTAATCATTAAAAATACATCCTGCAACGGAAATGACAAAAGTGACTTGGAAGGTTAGTTGGCTCGGGAACATGGAGTATTTGTCACGCGAATAAGACGTCGATAATAAGCCGAAAACTTACCATTGTGAGCCTAATTATATACACCTAATAACACTAAAATTAATTAATATATTCCTTTTAAAGTGCAAGATTTATCTATACTGCTTCTTAAATTGTTATGTTATGTTTACTAGCAGACTTCCAAAGAGATATATCAGGCCGCATGTATATATTTCACACCTGAAGTTAGACACAAATGTTCAGCTGTTCAGCACGAGTCTATCGTCTGTCAAGATTGGTCACGTGGTCGAAAATGTGCAGCTGACGTATATATGTCATATGACGTCATTGTCCAAGCGAACGTTTATCATTGGTGTTGATCACTGACGTTGATCTAGTAAGAAGATAAGGGGTCTGTTCTTTTTAGCTGCACTGCTACACTAGTGCAATAAGTTAGAAAGAGACAAACATATGTACTTTCTTTCACTCTAATTAATCGCACTAGTGCAGCAGTGCAGCTAAAAAGAACAGACCCAATAATAACATGACACAGTCAATAAAATTCGCAATGTCATCTTATCGTTATGAGCACTGTCTCTCTCGTTTAGAATTTCGATAATTGACATTATTATCAGTGTTCTTATTTTTTTTCACTGCATATCATAAACGTATAAAATATATAGATGGAGTTTCTTCTTTGACGAATGGAGAATTTGCGCGAAGAGGGAAGATATCGGCAGAATTAAACATCTCCATGTCAGATATCGAAAATTAAAGATTGAATTTCTTGATTTATATTTTGATTAGAATAAAAGGAGCTAAAATTTACTGTTTTAATTGGTCAAATTTAATGCATGCATGCATTTGGATACTTTGTATACATGTATAGCAGCCTTTAATATGCATATATATATCGTGTTATTTGGATAAGTTTATCGTTTTTTCTTTTTAGTAGGAAACATTGTTTTTTATAATATCTGATAACGTTATTATATATGTACAGTTACATAATTGAATTGTATAATTATATATAACTCTTTACACATTATAATAATATACTTAATGTTATAAAATTATAAGATTAATATTTTTATCTCGAGACATGATGTCTCATCATGATCAAAATAGAAAAATATCAAAGAAAGAACTCAATAGATCAGAATTTACTGTTATAGAGCAGTTTGTGGATAATGTTTATAGCTTTAGTTCTCAATATGGCAATAATATCAGCATATCTTATACTGCTCCTAATATAATTGGACCACCTAGCAAGTTTCCAGAGTATGGAGATTTCCCACAGGCATTTGCTATGGCATGTATTTTCTGATTTTAACTTTTATTATCCTAGCAGAATAATTGTATATATATAGATATGTGTGTATCTATTTTATTTTAATTTTATAATGTTAATAAGATGCTTGATATTTGAGATTTAATAAATTTATTTTTTCACGTAGAGAACTTATGGATTATGGTGGGATAAAGCACCTTCAAGATCAATTGATTATATGCCACAGAATAATCCGGATGTTGTGAGCCAAGACTATATTGGTATGTAAAATATTTGTAATGATGATAATAAGATGTTTATATATTGATAAAATTATAATTATATTTGTTTTTTTTACATGGGACTTGAAGATATTGAATATCGTGAACCAGTATATCCAATTAGAGTATCAATATATGAATTGTATAATCCTGGGAGTGTAATTGCTATCTGGGCACAAGATTGTTATGGTCAATGGTTTCAACTGTGGAGTGGACTGCCTCAGATTGTAACCCAACAATCGCGATTATTCTCCCCACCTTTACAATTGTGTAATTTTAAAACCAAAATGTTAAGGCTAGAATTTAATCATAGCTTATTGGACTATTACACAGAGTTGGATGCTGTGTCGCTTATTGGTACATCAGAAATGATGTTTCCTAAAGATCCATCAAATAAGCGGAACTTATCTGATTTATTACAAGATACGATTTATGGTCATTTCAATAATATTGCAGATCATAATTTAACACCACATTATGAAAATCCACAACAAAACATAAATAATCTGAAAGTAATATTGGATGAATATTACACTACATATGAAAGGTATTACAATATTTATATGATAATTGTTAATATTATATGGTATTAAACTTTTTTATTTACATAATAATGAAAGCAAATTTATAGTAAAATATTTATTTAATAATATTATTTTCAGTAACAATCTTCAGAGTATGTTAATATCTGACGTGGAACAAATTTATCATTCCATACCACCTATTGAAGAAGGATTAAATAACATGCAACAATTTTTAATAAAAGATTTACCAAGATTTGTGAACAATGTTGAAGCTTCTTCCAATGAACCCAAAGAATTATGTGGCAATTTTTCTATACTTTCTGTAAAGTCTTTTTTAAAAGAATCTCTTATGTGTAGTAACATTTATTATTTGTTATATTTGTTATCTTATTTAACAAGATTTTATAATTTTTTTTGCAGATTGAAACGATACTAAAAATATTAAAGAAATTAGACTTGAAATCGTTATATCGCATATCGAGAGTAAATAAGTATTTTTATAATTTGGCACTAGATCCTCTACTCTATACAAGTTTAAATTTAAAACCATATTGGCATTCTTTTAATGCACGTACATTGCATAACTTATCACTTAGATGTAAATATTTACGAAGATTGGATCTTTCGTGGTGTGGTAATCACGGTATGTTTTCTGCTACAAGTATTAAAGAATTTCTCATTGAATGTGGCAGTCTCCTAACACATTTACGATTAAATTGCTGCAAAAATGTTGACGATTCTACCATTTATCAAATATCAGTTACATGTAAAAATTTGAAAGGTATGTATATAAATACAATTGCAATGATTATACAGTTAAATAGTTAATACAAATAAAAAATATATAACATATATATATATATATATATTTTTTTTTTTAGAATTATGCTTACGCAATTGTCAGAGCATACAAGATAAGGGATTTGAGTATCTTGAGAATCTTGAATTTCTCGAGCGTTTAGATTTTTACAGGACATCTATAAAGACTGAAACTTTATGCAAAATATTACAAAAAAATCGATGGTTGCGTCACTTAAATGTAGTAGGAACATTTCAAGATAATATAAATATCGACATAGTCGCAATGGAATTGGGAAGATCGTGTCCAAATTTGGAAAGTATAGATTTTTGGAAGGCACAAACACTTACAGCACTAGGTATTAATGCTCTGGCTGCTTGTAAGAATCTACGAGAAGTGGATTTTAGTTGGTGGTGTGTATTATAACATTTCTCTGACAATTATCATTATATATTCTTCATTAAAATTTCTATATGCATACATATATGAAAATTGCATTGTTTTTTCTTATAATAATATTATTTTTCCTATATAGTGGTAATACATCTGGTCATGGTGAAACCTTAGTGAAATTGTTCTCTTGTTGTCAATTCTTGGAGAAAATCTTTTTGGCCACCTTTCGAGGACTCACGGATCGCGATTTGAAAGGATTGACACAGTGCAAACATTTAAAACAATTGGATTTATTAGGTGCGTTATCTCTGACACCAGAGATATGTTATGAAATTTTGTCAAGTTGCCCCAAACTGGAATTGATGGATCTCAGCTTTTGTGACAACATTAACAATTTTTACATTGAGAAGTTGCGACAAGAGTATCCACATGTAGCTATTAAAAGAATAATGGATTATCATTAATGGTAAAATTTAATATATATATTTTGTTTCATTGTATATAAAACTCGTATTACAATACAAATCTTATGTATTTATATAATATTTTAATTTCATGAACTTTTGAACTTTAATTTTTTTTAGTGTGCTTTATATACAATGAAAGTTCTTGGAATCTTATATTAAATTTGAATATCAATGATAGTCCATTGATTTGACTCTGAGAATTTTCATTGTATATAAAACAGACTTAAAAGAAATCAATACAAATGCAAGATTTATATTGTAATACGATAATGCATATAAAAACAACAATTTTGAACTTTGATTTTAAATCTGTTTTATATACAACGAAAATTCTCAGAATCAAATATCATAAATTACAAATATCTAAGTACAAATAATTTATAATATATTAATTGATATGAATGATAGTATATCAATTTAATATGAATGATAGTATTTCAAATTTAATATTTGAATAACTGTTAATAAGTAACTGTAAATAGTTAATTGTAAATAATTAATCTGCAAGAAACACAAGAATATACAAATACACACAACAAAAAAATTAAATTATTCGTTTTATATAAAATATAACAATGCACTCGTATATCTTAATCAGTTTTTCTATATAATTTTATAGAAAATTTTATAGGAAAAAAATTTATTACCAAATATATCTTTTTATTTGACAAAACTTGTACATAATTTTTTATTTTCTTTTTAAATTGGCATTGCAGAGAGTATTTTCTATTTTAATACAATATTTTTTTATAAGTATCTTTAATCTTGATGCTTATATAATTCTAAAATAATGTATAAATAGAGTATTCTTTTAATTTATATTCTATTTTTTTTCAATCTTGAATCAGTAGTTTCTTCCTCGTAAATAAATATCGGTGAATTTTTCAGAAAAATGCGCGACATATCTGCTTCCACACATAATTTGTTATCTTCTTTTTAAATGGGCATTGCAGAGAGTATTTTCTATTTTAATACAATATTTTTTTATAAGTATCTTTAATCTTGATGCTTATATAATTCTAAAATAATGTATAAATAGAATATTCTTTTAATTTATAATCTATTTTTTTTTTCAATCTTGAATAAATAGTTTTTTTTCTCGTAAATAAATATCGGTGAATTTTTCAGAAAAACGCGCGACAAATCCGCTTCCACACATAATTTTTTATCTTCTTTTTAAATTGGCATTGCAGAGAGTACTTTCTATTTTTAATTATTTTTTTAATACAATATTTTTTTATAAGTATATCTTTAATCTTGATGCTTATATAATTCTAAAATAATGTATAAATAGAGTATTCTTTTAATTTATAATCTATTTTTTTTTCAATCTTGAATCAATAATTTTTTTCTCGTAAATAAATATCGGTGAATTTTTTCAGAAAAACGCGCGACATATCCGCTTCCACAGGAAGGACCAATCGCAGAGATGGACAAGCGGCGAGCGGCCATTAACGACGCGCGAGAGATCCGGCCAAGGGGTCAGAATTTTCACGCCATTTTTCACGAGCGAGTCAGCGGCACTGGTGTCGCCCGGCGACGACGACGACGACGACGACGACGACGACGACGGACGACGACGATCATCATCGCGCGTGTGTGTCGTCGAACGGGCGGACGTACGGAAAGTGGCAGCGGAGAGTGAAGAGTGCGTGAAACTTCCTGGTGACCGACGTATGTACATTACGTGTGAGCGTACGCGAAATCGAGTGAATGGGGAAAACGATCGCGGTGACCCAGGTACGGAATACCTATCGTAATCCGTGTATTTCTATATAAGAACTAGGTTACCGTCAGATCGGAGCGATTGATAGGAGAGACAGCGCGAGATGTTGAGGGAGAGTGCGTGTCGTCGCGAACGAGGCTTCTCGCGATCTCGCTCCTTCGTTTAATTCGGGCATTTTTGATAGTCGCATCAACGATTTTCGTTCCTGTCTTCTGTCTCTCTCTCTCTCCTTCCCTCTCTCTCTCTCTCTCTCTGTCTCTCTCTACCTCTGTGTATGTGATTTTCTGTGCATGTGTAATCGTTTCTCGATGTCTCCCGATCCTGCACGGAGACAGTAAGCAAAACAGCAGTTACCTATCGAAGGGCTGTCGTGTTGTGTCAACGTAACCCACGGCAGCAGCACCATCACAGTTACCATCACCATCACCATCACCACTACCATCACCAGCACCACCATCATCATCATCACCGTCTACCGACGCCTCTTCAGTAATTAAACCAAACAAAATGGACACCGAGATAACGATTGAACGAACATTCGTGTGGTAGCCTCCCTCTCGTTCTCTCCGTCTCTGTCTCTCCTCTCCCCCTCTTCCCCCTTTCTCGCATCTACCTGTTTTTTTTTCTCGTTTTCTTTAGATGGACCTCGGAAGAGAGACATGGGATCGCCGTTCGTACAATCGTGAGTGCCCCTATCGATCATTAGCAGGAATAAATCGTCGACTCGGTCGCGCGACTCGTCAGGTCTGCTCTTTTTGAATCAGCATTTTTCGCGTGTAATTTTCTTCTCTCTGGATATGCATATACATTCGCTTGATCTCGAGCAAGGTTGAACGCGGTGCGGCGTTTCAAGCAGAGCAGACCTTTCCAGAGAACCTGCCTCTTGACAGACGATCGGGCATGCGATCGATTTGTTTATTTTGTTTAACGGAGGTCATCCACCTGCATCCGATGCTCCTGCATCATCGATGATCTCTCGTAGAGTTATAATTTGATGGATTTTCCGTGGAAATTTAAACACGCGAATTTCACAAATGACAGATTTTTCCGCGTGGCAAACATGCAGTCGCGGCATGCGAGATCTTTCATTAGGCATAAGTGATGATTGCTTGCTTTTCTCGAGCGATTCTGCTCGATTGCTGAAATAACAATGCCATTATTCTAAACGGAATGCATTCACATGTGGAAAAATGCATATCTGTATCTAAGATTCTTACTAGAATTCATTACTAGAATCTATGCATGAATCAACAGAATTTTAATTGCATGCCTCTTTAAAGAGATTTCTTCGAATCGGTTTGTAAGCAACGATTGCTCGTAGCCAATTTTTTTCTCATACATGTAAAATAATATCTCTAGGCACAAGCGAGTATAAATGAGAATTGATTGCTAAAAAAAAAAACGTGATAAATGTTGAAAGAAAAATAGCGAGTTTTTTTAATTGGAAGAAAAAAAAAGAGGCAAAAAATCAAGCTCCACGAAAAATCTCGTTTCCCTCCGAAAATGATCGCTGGCTCTCCCGAGATATCCAACGTCTTGCTGGAACGAGAACAATTGTCGAATTTGGGACCGTTATGGGACGAGGGATTCGAAATCGCGTCATATATATATACATGTATATGTATATATACGAGATCCCTCCACGTTCGTCCGTCACATACGGCTGCCATTTGAGCGTCAGGCACATCGAGAGATGTATTCGAATCGATACCTGCGGAATACGATTGGTTAATCGAATATCCTACGCGCGGCTATCGGACTTTATATAAGCTAAAATCTGATTGGTCCTCTTTCTCGTGTAATTTCGACTCCTGTCTTGCCGCTACCAATTGCGCGGTGCGCCTTTACCGCGATATTGAATACTCGATGCGTTGCCAGTGCGATTCGTCCCTTCTTCTCGCCCTCCTTCTCTGTCTTCTTCCCCTTTTTTCTTCTCTCTCCCTCTCCCTCTCTCTCTCTCTCCCCCTCTTTCTCTCTCTTTCTCGCACCGTTACTGGCCTATCCTTTCACTAAATTCGCACGACTTCGTACACCAGATACATAGTACAACGCGATACGTACAACACACACGTACGCACACACGCGTATGTTACTCACGTAAATTTATCCGTCATAAAGAGAGTTCGCGCAAGTGTTTGCAAGTCTCGTTCTATTTTTATTCGCATTTCCGCCAAGCAACGTGTTATAATTAGAGTTTGATGTATTACGATAATGAGACAAATTTCATTATTGTACGAGCGTCCAATTTTACTTAGCACATTTTCATCTGTCTCGCAACAATTGTCACATTCAGTCTCGGGCTTCAGTCACGTTGGAGTAAAGAATAACGTTCCCGCTTGTTTGTTTTTTTTTTTTTTTCTTACGATAATAGGAGGTTCCCAGGAAGAAAAAAACACAGGTAGACACAATGTCACGTAATCAATCACTAGTGGAGAATTTTCTAGGTCCTACAAATTTTTCCATTCGATGGTCAATCGCGTGACACATCGTGTTTACGTGTTTGTTTTCCAAAAGCTCCCATTGATAGCGAGAAATTTATGATTGAAATTAGCTCCAAGTGACGAGAAGTGAAATACATATCGCGTATGAGAGACGATTTTCAATATGCGATTGTCTCTCTTCGATAGACTACAATTCGAATACGCACCAAGATGAACAGACTTTTCTCTTTCGTCACCTCCGCATGTATCTAGGTATTGTCAGTGTTCGTGGGCGATTACACGCTTGCGATCGACGATAAAAGGGAAGGAACCGGTAGGTTTGTTTTTCTGTTTTTCCCTTCGTACTCAAAATTGACCGGCAATAAATATAGAATCAGACACGCATGTGTGTAGGGAAAAGACGGAAATGTTGAGAGAAAATCTGACGATGGAAGGTTGCTTACCCCCCCCTCGAGCTTTTATTGTTTCCAAATCCCAAAGTGTACATATATACGCGCTTCATTGTTAAATTCACCGCAATAAGTGTCAGGTAAGACGAGGAGTCGATCTCTAACGGGCCTGTTGGATTCATTCGTTTCCTCTACGCTTTCTATATTTTCTCCCTCCCTCTCCCTCCCTCCTCGAGGAAGGAAGAGGAGGCGCCCGGATATATTCATCTCGTTTTGAGTGCGGAAAATACAGGTAAAACGGATAGAGGCAACAATTTACGAGCGAGTTACGCTCCTCGGGCCGCCGCGCACCTTCCGAGGGCGCCCGCGCGCACAATCACACACACACGTGCGCCCGGCTCACACAGCGACGCGGCGCGCACGCGCGCGCGCGCGAGCGAGCGACAGAGAGAGGAGATCGGGAGATGCGCCCGCCGCCAGGTGGTGCGTCGAGCGACAGCGGTGTGCTCCTGCCGCCGCCGTCGCCGCGCGTGTGCCCGTCTCTGCCTCTGATAGAGGTGCTCGCTCTCTCGGCCGTAACACACCGGCGACAACACTCCGGGAAACGACTACATTTACGTGCGCGACGAATAAAAGTAGTGGTATACGTCATATATATAATATATATACACGTATACAGGTAGTGCTAGAGTGCTGGTGCTCCGGCCTCCTCCTCCGTGTTGGAACGGGACGGGACAGGGTAAGCGAAGACGGACCTCCGCGAGTGGGGGGACCCAGACCAAGCCAACGAATCATTTATGTGAGGCTTAATGAGCGAGCAAAAGATATATATATATATATATATATATATATATATATATATATATATAATGTATATATATATGTATGTATGATTTATATAGATGTGTGGGATGAATCGAGGCTGGCGCAACCGTGAGTGAAAATCGTGTGGTGCGTGCGAGGGTGGTTTTCGGTAGGAGAGCCTGAGCGGCGTCGTCCTTTGGCCGCGAGATACGTCGCGAGACGACAGGACGGGAGCGAAGCGGCAGTGCGCTATCTCTCTCTCTCTCTCACTCTTTCTCGCGCTCATCTGCCTGCCTGCTTGGCTGGCCACTGCTGGAAACAGTGCTCCGTGTGCGGACAGAGACAGTGCGACGCGGAGTGACGCGCTGCCGCCCGATGTCGGAATATCGAGCGTCGCGGTGGCCGCGCGATAACGACGAATTCTCTCTCGCGGTGGCCCCGGAACGGAAATCTCGCTCTCTCTCTCTCTCTGTCTTTTTCTGTCTTTCTCCTTTCCTCTCCCCCGCGCGTCGCCCTACCCCTCTTCCTTTCTCTCTCTCTCTCTCTTTCCCGCAATAATGGCGTACTTTCCGTAGTCGTCGGGTTCGCCGTTTTTTCTCTCTCCTTCGCTCGCTCTCTCCTCCCTCCTCCCGTCCCCCCGCTCATCGTCGTCATTGTCGTTGCGTCGTCGCCGTCGTCATCGTCATCGTCATCGTCATCGCGGACGTCGCGTCGGCGTGAATGATCCGGGGACGCTCGCGTGAGAAATTCGTAGACGCCGATTTCAGCGTATGCCATAACCCTACGATGGTGCCGCTTCCCACTTTTACGGCTGTAAAGACGCGACGATGAGATACAACCGTGCGTGAACCGCCGCGGTGAGGGAGAGAGAGAGATAGAGAGATCACCGAGAGCCTCCTTTTTCCTCCTCTTTTTCCTTTTCTTTTTTTTTATTGCCGTTCGTTCGGTGCAGTTTCGACCGTTCGCTCTGCCTCGCTCTGTCTCGCTCTCGCATGTACACCGAGTGAGTGTATTTTTGTTCGTTTTCCGAGACACGAGAACATTCTCCTCTTTCTCTCTCTCTCTCTCTCTCTTTCTCTCGCGCCTTTTCTTTCTCTATCGCGCGTTGCGCTGTATTTGTCAGTGTATCTGGTTTGTAGGATGCTCCAATTTTTTCTTTTATCTTATTCCTTTCTCTCTCTCTCCCTCTTTCTCTCCCGTTTTCGCTTCTTTGTTTTATTCGACGTTGTATATCGATCGACGATATCGCGCCGATTTTCATCACTGTCATGTTCCAATGGAACGTTTATTTATGAGACGGAGCAATGCCATATTGTTATACGTCACGATAGTGTTGGAAGTAATGAGCGTGCGTGTGTGTATTATGGTTTCGGTAAAAGTTAATGGCCATCCTGATCATTTTCTCTCGATGTTACGTTGAATCTTGAATTTTTTCTTCGCTGAAAAGAGACAATATATAGACAAATTGCCAGGAATGTAAGCGTGACGTAGAGATACTGCGGTAATTCGTTATTGAATTATACATGAAACATACTTAATAGATAATCTTTATATAAATGTGTATTAATCATACGATGTGATAACATGCATTGTTCGTTGAACTTTATACCGAGGAAAAGAAAAAAAAAAAATATATATATATACATATATATATATATATATACATATATATATATATATATATATATATATATATATATATAATTAATATAAAGTTTCATTTAATTGTATTTGCTTGTTCTCACTTGTCTTTGCGAAAGATTAATACAGTGTTTTCCGGTTTGATACATTCATCAGGACTGGCTGGGATCTTATAACCGGACTTGTTTACCTTCCAGAAAATTGTCCGGTCGAGAATGAGAGTGAAACAAGAATGAAAGAAGTGGAACGACATTTTATAAAGTCGGTTGTTTTGGCTCTCGGGATCAGATAAGGCTCGAGAATCGCTCGAAAAATAGCAAGATAAATCGCAAGCTCATATCCGGGAGAAACATTGGAGCCCTTTTCTTTTCCGAGAAACTTCAATATTTCTTTCCTCATCTTCTCCTTTGAAATTATATTACATTTGTGCTCGTCGGAATTTAATGCCGTCACAAAATATCTCGCGTAAAAGATGACGTACATTCAATTATTATGCCCCAATTATGATGTAATATATTGTCTTTGAAATCTCCGTGATTATTTTCACCTACTTTTACACACACATACATTTGCACATGCATTTTTTTCTTTGACTTTTTGATTAGTATCTCTTCTGTAGTAGCATGTCTTAATGCACAGGAAAATATATGTATACATATATATGTATAATATAATTTTAAAATTTTTATATAAAGATATACAATGATTGCGAGCTGAGATGTATTCCGAGGGGGAAAAGTTATGGCGATTATGAAAAATGTAACCATAAGCGTATAGCTTTTCCCCTTCGGCGTATGTCACTTCAACGAAGAGGAGTAATTCTGTAGGAGGAGAATTCAGTAGGAATTCTCGACGTATTATTTATCACGAAAAAGTTATTCGGAAAAGGATCATTAGGAAATAATGTAATCGACTTTTTGTTTATTAATTACAATTGGTCGATTACATTATTTCCTAATGATCCTTTAATTAATTGACTAGCGATAATTAAAAATTTATTAATTTATTCGAAAAAGTAAAATAATAGATAAATTTCTGATGATTTCAGGCAGCAAGAGTTTGTATTTACCATGGGCACGTTACTGGCTATAGAAGAGATCGTACAATATTCTCGCAATCCTGAAATGGGGACGAAGAGTCCTTCAGCGTAGACATGGACTACGATCTGTTTGGTGAAGATGTCAGTGGCTCGATGCTCGAGGCTCTTCCTGATCTCGGAGGGAACGATCATTTCGATCCTGCGCCTGCGAATAATCCCGTAGCGGTGTCAAGGGACGGTCTGAATTCTGGCCCTAATGGAGGAGGGAGTTACATTAATCAATCTTATAACATTTCTCAAGAATCTCCGATACAGAAATTAACCTCATTCGGCGGATCTGAATTTGGTAGCTCGAATCAATTGCAAAATCCGTCGCAGCGCACTATGTTTAACCAAAATCTCGGTACGTTCGATAGTAGCACCACACCTCAGCGTGCTATGGTGCCAGGCGCCTTTCAAAATCAGACCCGCAATATTGCACCGCAACAACACAGGGGGCCTCATCCAGGTAGCGCCACTCAGTATCCTAGCTACAATGACAATATGTACTCTATGGAGCAGCAACACTCGATGGCTAGAGCCAATATGAGTATCGACCCCAGCCAACAAGGCTGGCCGGGTAATGGAAGCGGATACCCGCAAATGCAGAGGCATTACAATCAAATGGCTCCGCAGCCTGGCACGTACAGGCAACATATGCCACCGCAGTATTCTCATCAGCAAGATCAAGCTGGCGTTATTAATCAAAAGATGCAGCAACAACAGCAGCAGCAGCAGCAACAACAACAACATTTCGGTAGTCAACAGGGAATGATAAGCAACATGGGAGTTTTGCACCAATCGATGCAAGCCGGAGCGACCAGTGGTGTCTATCAGCATTTAACTGTCGGTCAGCAACAACATTATCAACAAGGTAATTCGGTAGCAGCGATGTATCAAACGTCTCCTGGGTATCCTGGTTTCGCCTCTGCCATTCATCAGCAACAACAGGCTCAGCCAGCGCCTCAAGCGAGAATGCCGCATCATCATCCAACGCATCCGACACATCAACCGCATCCGTCTCATCCTCAACAGTATCCTCAGCATCCCCCTCAGCATCCGAACACGCAGCAACAACCAACGATGGATCCTCAATATCCTCATCATGCTACTTCGATGTTCAATCAGCCGCAGCACTCGGCGCCGCCGCCGCAACAATTCGGTACGGCAGCGACAGCTAAACATTCGACGAGTCCTCAGTATCGCGCCGCGTTCCCCCAATTGTCGCCGCAGATGTCACCACGACCACAAATGTCGCCACGTCCGCCCGCGGTGCAGCAGCAGATGTCGCCTCGACCCATCATGTCGCCCGCCAAGCCTACCCTATCGCCGCATCCTCATGTTCAGCTTCCTCATCAGCAGGGTAATCAATCCAACGCTATGTCGGTATCTCCGTGTCCACCTACGTCTATGCAAATGAATCCGTCATCGCAACAGCAACAGACTACTCTGCAGGCCCTCGAGCAGATGGTGATGCCAGGAGTTGCCGTTTCAAATTCTAGCGTTCCCACGCCGGATCAGTATAATCAATTTCAAACGCGTCCGCCAATGTCGCAAACGCCAAGCGTTTTGCCGCAACAATCGACGGCGCAGAGTCCGATGCCGGCCCAAGTCGCGGGGCCTAGAATGCCGATGCCCACTCAATGGCAATCGCATCCGCAGCAACAACAGCAGCAGCAATCCCAAATTAGGCCAAATATCGGCGTTAATGAGGATAGAAGCGGCGTAGTCGAGCCTCAACAGATGCCGATAGTATCCGAGCAGAGCGCTCCAATGTTTCCCGTTACTGGACCGGAAGCTGCTATGCATAGTGCTGCGGAAACTGCGACAACAACGAGTACAACGACAACGAGAGAACCGGCGACGACAACGGAGAACATTGTGCAAAACCCGATCGAAACCCCGAAGCAACCGGAACCTGAGTCTTCTTTGCATCAGAACGTTCAGCAGAGTCAACAATTGGACACAGCTGCGCAACTTGGTCCACCGCAAGTAGATACTTCGGCGCAAAATAACTCGCAGAACCAATTAACTTTAGATCATACGTCTACAGCAGGAAATATACCTACGCCGGCGAGTATACCTTCGATTGAAACAGTGCAGTCTCTTCCGGTATCCAGTACAAGCGGAAATATGGAATGCACGAATGTGAATGCATCGTTGCAACAACAGACAGTTGCGCCAATCCAAAATCCTGTTTCTAGTATCGAGAATCAGAATACGTGCGAAACAAAATCGCAAGACCAAGGTGTAGAAGTACATCAATCGCCCTTGAGTAGTACGACGCATCCACAACAAATTATAGGACAGCAGCAATCTATTAATTGTCCTCCACAGCAGCCGATACAGCAGCAATCAGTGCAACAACCGGCGGTGCAGCTTCACATGACTCAACCACAAATAGTTCCACCTCAGGTAACAATATCTCCTCAATCGCAGCTACAATCGCCGCAACAGTCGCAGATGATTCAGCCGCAATCTGCTCAGATGAGCCAGCAGCTGCAGCAGCCACAGCAGCAAATATCTCAATCACAACCACAACAACTGCAACAGATTGCGACCGCTCAACAATCGCAGATTCCTCAACCTCAACAACCAGTATTGAATCAGGCACAACCGCAACAAATCTCAACAGCACCTCAATCACAACTAGGACAACCGCAACAACAATTGGGACAAGCACAACCTCAATTGGGAGGACAGTCGCAACCTCAATTGGGACAGCCACAGGCTCAATCATTGGCACAAACGCAATCACCGCAGTTGACGCAATCGACGGCTCAGCAAGGTCCAACTTGCGTTACGCAACAGGCTCAATCGACGACGACGACATCTCCGCAGGCGCAGGCATCTCATATTCAACCTCAGCAAGTTGCTATGCAAATACCACAGAGCGCTCCACTTATACAGTCTCAGATGCCTCCACAACTGCAAACACCACCGATGCAGAATCAAGCATCTCAGATGCAAAATCAAAATGCTCAGCAAGTGCCCACTGCGCATCTGAACGCACAGCAGATACCCGCGGTTAGTCAAACCGCCGGTATGGTTTTGCCGCCTCATCAAGCCACGGTTCCCGTGCCAAATTCGCAAACACCGCATCAGGTATTATTAAATATATTTCAAATATTCAACTCGTCATTCAAATCTAATATTTTAATAATATCAACATTATCTCTAATAAATCTATGATAATCTATGATATAATATTCTATACATAATCAATTGACACGATGAGAATGTTAACATTATGAATGTTTCCGAATGATAGTATCATCCTGGAGGCGACATGATCACCGGTAACACGATACCGAATATGTATAGTATGTCGACTAATCCTACACAAACCCCAGTCGCGACGAGTGGGTTCGGCTCGTCGTGTGCTCCTCTTACGCATCATCAAGAGCGAGCTGCTCTGCAGCAGCAGTTGCAAGAACTGTACTGCATGCCACCGGCTTCGGAAAATCAAGAAAAGATTGTTGTCCTACAAGAGAAGTTGCAGGCGTTGCAGCAACACGAGACGAATGATCAATGTAATGGTGGTCCTCAGTGTATACTGCAGACGCCGATGTTCACAGCTGCTGTAGTCGACAGTCCGCAGGTAGGTGACGGGAAATTGATCGATTGACTTACTAATTTCTTTAAAAAAAGTTGACTAAAAATACTTTTTCAAAATAACAAAAATAAATGAGAGAAATAAACTCTTGCAGAAACATTTGTCCAATTTATATAATATTTCATAAAGAATATACTTGATATAATGATATACAACAAGAATATTTATTTTTGAAGAAAAACAATAAAATATCTGAGATAAATGTTTCAATTATATAAAAATAACATTTATTAATATATCTGTAATGTGTGTTAATTGATATAATAACAATTAAAAGAAGTCAAAACTCTGAACTTGATAGATCTTAATTATTTTGTTTTCTATTTTGTCAGATTATATATATCTTAATCAACATGATGTAAGAACTTGTAGAGTATTTAAAATAAAAATATATCTCAAACATATATTTCCATAAAGTTCCTTTCTTTTTTATTTTTACAATACTTGATAAATCTCTATATATACTGTTTCTTGTATGTAAAAATTGTTTGTCTATGAAATATTGCATTATCTAAAACAGGTCTCTAGTACTACTGGACGTGGTCGTAGCAAAGGTACACAACGAGCAAAGAAAAGTAGAAAAAAAGCTGACAAAGAGGCGTCTGCGCCTACTATTGTCCCTCAGCAACAACCTGAGCAGCCATTGTCAGATAATAAAGTCACTCCAGGCGATAGTAGCAATATCGTAGACAGTGTTGCAGACTCGGAAGACATAAAGCCATCTTCTGGGGATATGGAAGAGGAATGGAATAAGGGCAGAAAGTCACGCACGCCACGGAAACCACGTAAACCGAAAGAACCTAAAGAGCCCAAGGAACCAAAACCTAAGAAAGAGCCGAAACCACCAAAGGAACCGAAATCCCCGAAAGTGGCAAGGAAGAGGAATAAGGATAAAGACAAAGATTCCACAAAACGTAATAGAAAGTGAGTACCATTTATGATGAATATATACTATGGATATTATACATAAAATAACATTATGTTTAATATATATTTACCATTTTTTTATAGAAAAATTATACAACCCGAATCTGCTGATGATGATGCTACACGCGAAAACGAAGAAAGTGCTGAAGTGGATTCTAGTGCTATTAAGGACGCCGATACGAAGATTTGTGAATCGTCCATTCAGGGTGATCAGGAACAAGTAGACTCTTCCACTAACGAACCTCTAACCGAAGTAAAGGAAGAGGGTAAAGATAAAACAGCAGACGATGCTCCGGACGAAGAAAAGAAGGAGGAAAATGCGGAAGCGACTACCGCATCTTCTGAAAATGCGACTAGCAGTAAGAAGAAACCTGCGGCTAGAAAACGATCGAGTACCGGCAAAGCCTCTGGAGGAAAATCTTCCAGAAGTTCCAAGTAAATAATAGCACTTTTTATACATATGCAGTTGTTCGCATAATTTCCTATAAGAAATCATAAGTTATGTAATCCTATTGTCACTTTTCGCAGGAAACGAAAGAGTCGCATTGCCCCTGATTCCGATGGTGAAGAATTAGCGGCGACACCTCCACCATCACCGGAAGCCGGCGACGATATGAATAAGCGACGTTCCGCGAGAAATACTCATCGCAAGAAGTATGTGGACGATGTGATGTTACGTTTCTCTGATGATGATGTTCCTCTGCAAGACGCTCAACTATCGAAAAAGATGGAAGGCGCGAACGCTTCAAAGCCCGCTGCCGCTAAAAAGGAAGGCGCTGAAGGTGGCGAAGTCGGACCTAACAAACCTAACTTCGTATACATTGTACATATCGCTTGAATAAAATTGCCATTATTCTCTATATATATAAAAATTGCTAATAACTTTTTAATTTGATTTTGTATATTTTTCCATAGAACACTACTGATGAGGATTCTATGGTTGTACAACATATTTTATGCTCTCGAATGGGAAGGAGAGAGGTTAAGCCTGTAATACCGAAGATAGAAGCATCTCCGGAAAAGAATGGAAACGCAGATAAGGAAGAATCTGCTGACAAAGATGCCGACAATCCTATGAAAGAGAAAGATGACGCTATCGAGAAAGAAACAAAGACTGAGGATACAACCAAGGATGATGAAAAGAGCGAAATCAATAGTGCGAAAAAAGATGAGGCAAAGAAACAAGAGGAATCACTTGGGGATTCTAAACCAGCCGATACCGCCGTTGTTGAGGCGAAACCACAGTTTATCGAAATGGAAGAATATTTCGTGAAATATCGAAATTTTTCCTATTTGCATTGCGAATGGAGAACAGAAGAGGAAATGTATAAAGGAGATAAACGTATTCAAGCTAAACTGAAGAGATTTAAGCAGAAGCAACAGCAAAATACGAATATTTTCGAAAATGTACTTAATATTTCTTACTTTAATTCAGAAATAAAAAATATATTGAAATAATTCTACATTGAAAAGCTAGCATCAATAAAAATTTAAATTATATCTTTATTCTAAGTTACTTTTTTTTCTTTTAGACCGAAGATGATCCCTTTAATCCAGACTTTGTCGAAGTCGATCGAGTATTGGATGAAGCAACTCATACAGATCCACATACTGGAGACACAGTCAGACACTATTTAGTTAAATGGCGATCTCTGCAATACGAAGACTCTACTTGGGAATTGGAAGAAGACGTTGATCCTGAAAAAATAGCACAGTTTGTGAAATTTAATAAAGTGCCACCTAAGGAACAGTGGAAGGTATTTTTTTTTTTATTAATTTATAATTTTTTATCCAAAAATTAAAATTATATATTTAAGAAACTTACTGTTTCCTATGTAAAAAAAAATATATATATATATTTTTTTCTATTATTTTTAGCCGAAGAAGAAACCTAATGCTGCAGCTTGGGTAAAGCTGGAGGAATCGCCGATTTACAAGAATAATAACAGTTTACGACCATATCAATTGGAAGGATTGAACTGGTTGCTATTTTCATGGTACAACGGACACAACTGCATTCTCGCCGATGAGATGGGTTTAGGAAAAACAATTCAGTCTCTAACATTCGTGGACGCAGTCTATAAGTACGGAATTCGTGGACCGTTCTTGATCATAGCACCTTTGTCGACCATTCCAAATTGGCAGCGAGAATTTGAAAGTTGGACCGATATGAATGTTGTAGTATATCATGGATCGTAAGTATATTGAAAGTGGTTTTACATGCATCTATATATACAAAAATAGACTAAATTGTCATTGATATATATTTAAATTACAGTGCAGCGAGTCGTACTATGCTTCAAGAATATGAAGTCTATTATAAGAATGAAAAAGGCCAGCAGATCAAAGATTTAGTTAAATTTAACGTGTTGATTACAACATTTGAAATCATTATAACTGACTTTAACGAATTACGTGGATACAATTGGCGACTCTGCGTCATAGACGAAGCTCACCGATTAAAAAATCGAAATTGCAAGCTTCTCGAGGGTCTGAGACAATTAAATTTGGAACACAGGGTACTTTTATCGGGCACGCCGCTGCAAAACAACGTCAACGAGCTATTTTCCTTATTGAATTTTTTGGAGCCGCAACAATTTTCGAGCAATGAGGCATTTCTGAAGGAATTTGGTAATCTGAGCAGCGAGGGTGAGGTAAACAAGCTGCAACTTCTCTTGAAGCCGATGATGCTGCGTCGTTTAAAAGAGGATGTTGAAAAATCGTTAGCGCCGAAAGAAGAGACTGTTGTCGAGGTGGAACTTACGAATATTCAAAAGAAGTATTATCGCGGCATTCTTGAGAGAAATTTCTCGTTTCTTGCAAAGGGTACTACATCAGCAAACATTCCGAATCTCATGAATACGATGATGGAGCTGAGAAAGTGCTGCATCCATCCGTTTCTACTGAATGGAGCTGAAGATCAAATACAGTTAGATTATAAGACTGGCGAAAAGGAGGATTCCGAGGCGTACTATCACGCGCTGGTGAATAGCTCCGGAAAGATGGTATTGATCGATAAATTATTGCCGAAATTGAAAGCTAGTGGTCACCGAGTCTTGATATTCAGCCAAATGGTAAAGTGTCTAGATTTACTCGAGGACTATTTGCTATATAAGAAATACCCCTATGAAAGAATTGACGGTCGGATTCGCGGAAATTTGCGGCAAGCTGCTATTGATCGTTACAGTAAACCCGACTCGGATCGATTTGTCTTCTTACTTTGCACAAAAGCTGGTGGACTTGGCATTAACTTAACTGCGGCTGACACTGTCATTATTTACGATAGCGATTGGAATCCACAGAACGATTTGCAGGCGCAGGCACGTTGCCATCGAATCGGGCAGCAAAAGATGGTCAAAGTGTATCGTTTACTCTGTCGCAATACATATGAACGAGAAATGTTTGACAAGGCTTCCTTAAAGTTGGGTCTTGACAAAGCGATTTTACAATCTATGAATACCAGCCAAAGTGGCAAAGATCCTAGCAATAAACAATTAACAAAGAAAGAGATAGAGGATCTATTGAAGAAGGGTGCTTACGGCGCTATCATGGACGATGATAATGCCGGCGACAAATTTTGCGAAGAAGACATTGAACAGATACTCGAACGAAGAACTCAGATTATCACGATAGAAGCCGAGAAAGGTTCGACATTCTCGAAGGCGAGTTTTGCGTGTTCGTCGAATCGATCGGACATTAATATAGACGATCCTGACTTTTGGAAAAAGTGGGCGAAGAAAGCGGAAATCGATACGACAGAAAAGAAGGAGGAGGACGAGCTGGTGATATCCGAACCTCGGCGAAGAACACAAATCAAGCGTTACGGTCACGACGAATCAGTAGTTGACATGTCCGAATTGGACAGTTCGGACGAGAACAGTGACGATGATACGAGTATCGGCCTATCCGGCAGAAGCAAGAAGCGGCGTGATAAGTTCAAGAAAACGCGTAAATTCTACGATGAATACGTGCCGCGCGAAGGCGAGGTGGTGTACGGCAGTTGGGCACGTAGCGAATGCTTTAAAGTGGAGCGCGGATTATTGACATTCGGCTGGGGTCGCTGGGAGGAGATCCTGCAGCATAGTCAGTTTCGACGTGGCTGGCGTGAAATCGACGTCGAGGACTGTGCTCGTGTCATTCTTCTCTATTGTTTGCGTTATTATCGTGGCGATGAGAAGATTCGTAGCTTCATCTGGGACCTCATAACACCAGTGGAAAACGGTGAGAAGGTGAAGAGCGTATCAGTGAACACTGGCAGCAGGAACAGTCGACAGAAAAAGAAAAGTCGCGTCCGGGAAGGTAGGGAAACCAGAGGCTCAGTCATCAACGGCGGGCCGAATGATCCAAATCACTGGAGCAACGCAGAGAAGTTTGATGGAGACATCTTCCTCGAGAGCAATTACAGAAAGCATCTCAGTCGACATGCTAACAAGTATATATACACACAAATAAATCTATAAGTTGTAAAAATCATGTGCAATATTATAAATAATTGTAAAATGAAATTTATTTCCCTTCTCTTTTTACGCTTCTTTTTTTAATTAATTAGTTATATTTCAAGTTTCTATTTTTCTCAAAGCTACATGAAGCAATTTGCACTATTATTAGATTAAATTGCTATATTAATTCTTATTCGATTAATTGATTTATTTTTGTTGCAGAGTATTATTGCGCGTACGAATGCTGTATTACATTAAACACGAGATTATTGGCGACCTTGTGCAGCACATCTCCGATGGCGTTCACGTCAGGTAAGTTGATAATCATTCTTATTTTCTTATGACGCTTTTTCGTACCATAAACTACTTATTACTTACTATTCACAAATTCGTGTATACTCACATATGTGCTTATCACGGAGCTTAGCATAGTTGCATGTGCGATGTATTTATTGATATTCTGGGATCTATATCTGTATGAGGAATGCTCATAGAGCAGGATCATCGTTGACCCATGTAGCTCGGCAGAAGCGACTATCAATTTTTTTATTAAATTTTTTTTTCACCCCTTACGCTACTAATATGAAAATCATTTTTCCCCATCCTGTTTATGCACGTAACATACATACACGCGCGCTCGCGGATCGCTACAAGAGACACACTCTTGCACACTTGGTAAAACGATCGCGAGGATGATCGAATCTACAACGGATTGGTAAGCCAAGCAGTGCACTGTAATCGAAGGGACAGGCGATAATCAAAACTTGTGGTTTTTTTTTTTTTTTAAATCCTTAGAAAAAATTCGGATGTTCGTATGGTATAAGTTCTTTTGTTCAAATTCTTTTGTTGAAATTTTTCTTTTACAAAACGGTATTGTATCCGCTGCTGAGGATAGAGATCTCTTTGATTTCTCTTTTTTTGTTTATATTAAATTTCTCTATTAATACTGAAAAATTTCTCCTTTATAAATTAATGAACACGCACACTGATATATCGGCACGCAAAATAAATTGGCAAATTTTGTAAATCGAAACCGCCCCTACAGTGCGTTGCCGATAGACCTTCCACAGTTGACGGAACGACCGGCGAAATGGTGGGACACGACAGCAGACAAATCCTTAATAGTCGGCTGCTACAAACACGGCTATGAGAATTACGACCAGATGAGGACTGATCCCGCGCTTTCTTTCATTACAAGCTGTCCTCCCTCTTTCCAGAACTCTCAGAGCAAGAGTACCGCCGAGTGAGTATTCTTAGTATTTTTTTTTTTCTTTATATTTGTTATTTGTTTCTCTCATTCTCTCTCTATCTCTCTTTTATCTTATGCGCTGCCTAACTATCCTAACACATATGCCGCTTGCACCGCTTTCTATATATATATGTATATAATTTACATATATATATACATATATTATATATATACACATATACGTTCTCTTAGACGGTCATAGCTTTTATTTTCAGCAATAAAGTGGCGTACATAATGTTCACTCAACCTCGCTGTCTTTAACGTCTTTCGATATCTTGTTGCAAGATATTATTAACGTAAAAGAGTGGCACTTGCAATAAAAAAGAAATTCAGAGTAAAGAATTTTTAATTGGGATCAAGACTAGATATCGAGAATGCGCCGTCATTCTTTTATACGTTAAAACTTCTCTGTCGGATTTTCTCGTATATGTGAAAACTAGGTACATTAAAATAGATGGTTTAATTTTGCTGCTTTTCTATTTATAGATCAATGTTACATAATTCGAGAAAGGAAACGATAAGTTCAATGAGTAAATAATTTTAAAGTTTCTCTTGTATATGATAAAAGAATCTTATTTACTTTATTGGGAAGAAAGATTTATCTGATATTTCGTGCACATCCCCTGTTATGTAAATATTATCTTGGATTATTTCTGCAAATTTTAGCAGCAGCAGCAGAGACGATAATAGTCTGGAGAACGACGTGGACGATAGCGAATCTCCCGGAATGACGAAAGACTCGAAAGATTCCGACAAATTTAGAGAAACACCAGCAGATTCTCCCGCCATTTCGAGTAAAGCCGATACCCCGATACCAGAAGCTAGTGGCAGTCATGACGGAAACGATAGTCTTCTCCCGGACGATGAAAAAGCTTGGCCAACCGTAGTAGATCTTAATACACGATTACGTCGCGTTATATCTTCTTATCAACGGACCGTTAATAAAAAGGAGGATGTTAAAATTATGCCGAAAGGTGGCAAAATGGGAATGGAAAGTGAAACCCCTACTACCATAAATCATACAGGAATGATGCACGAACCGCCCTTGAATATGCAAGGGTGGGATTTGCAACAATTAGCGATGTATCTTTTGGTCAGTATATAATAACTGTCGTGTTATATTTATAATTTTTTATTCAAAGAAATCCTATATATTATTATATTATATTGTTGGCATTAATTATTTATAGAAAATGGAAAAAAGAGAAAAAATGGAGGCTATAGTAAAGGAACGAGAACGCACTCGTATCGAGGAGCAAAAAGCCAAGTGGACTCGCCGCGAAGAGAGCGAGTTTTTGCGAGTGGTGTCTACATACGGCGTTAATTACGACAGAAAGAAAGCTCAGTATGATTGGACTAAATTCAAGAGTATTGCCAGATTCGACAAGAAGACGGACAACGATCTTACGGATTATTACATGTCGTTTAGAGCAATGTGCAAAAAGGTCTGCAATGCGAAACTAAACGAAGAAGAAGGTGCGTATCTTTTTATTATAATTGAATTTTTTAAATATATATTCAATTATATTTATCTAATATAATTGTATATATGATAAGGATTTTGTCTTATGAAAAATATTTTACATTGTTGACGTTGCAGATTTTACAGATGTTCCGGTGGATCAATTGAGTCCTGCCAAGGCAAGACAGATACTCGATCGCGTCGATCTTCTGAGTAAGATTCGCGAGGAAATTCTGTCGCATCCCCATCTCGAGGAACGATTATCATTGTGTCAACCGTCAGGTGATACACCGGATTGGTGGCAACCTGGAAAACACGACAAGGAATTGTTACTCGGAGCTGCGAAGCATGGTCTCGGCCGCACCGATATCACTATATTGAATGATCCGGACTTTTCCTTTCACAAGCTTCTCGCGAGAGGGATGTATGCAGGCACGCAAACACCTAAAACAATGGACAAGTCTGAAAAAGCGATAAAAATCGAAAATAGAGAAGATATCTTGAAGTTTGACAAGGATGAAATACTTGTAAAGTTGGAAAAGGGCGAAGGAACTCTAAAGATTGAAAAAGTTGGAGCGAAGAAAGACAAGGATCAAAGTGTTGTCGATAAAAAGTCTGAGAACGCGGAACCCGAGAGTCAAGTGGAATTGACTATTGTCAAGACGGAAACTAAATCCGAAGAAAAATCAGTCGGTAGCTCGTTGATGATCACTACCGTCGCGAGAACGTCAGATGTGGAAAATATCACTGTAAAAAGCGAAGAGAAAAGCGAGCTGGCGATAGAGCCAGTTAAATGCGATAGTATTAAAGTCAATCAGACCAGCGTTGCCAAACAGACAGATGAGAAACTCGCGAAGGAAGTTAATTTAGAGTCTGCCGAGAGTCCTGCTGTTGTGGAAATCGAAAAAGAAGATAAGGTTCAAGAGAAAGATATTAAACAAGAAGCTGGATTCGTCGAAAAATCGAATGAATCACAAGCGCAAGATGTCGAGAAAACGGAAACAGTCGAGAAAAATGATACAGAAATTAAAGAAAACATTGACAAGAATACTGAGAATACCGAGTCTGCTATCGAGGATGACAAAGCTGGCGTAAAGTCGGATAACGCGCCAGCTAAAGAAGAAATCGAGACACAGGAAGCGAAGAGCTCCGATATTGCCAAAGAAAAAACGAAGATTTCGCAGATCGAGGATAAGTGCAGTGTCCAGGCTGCGGAATTGAAGGCGATGTTCCCCGATCTGGAAGTAATACAACCATTATCACGATTAACACAGATCGATACATTCGTTTTACGAGACAAACCAGCAGATTACAATAACGAGCCTACAATGATGCAGCTCTTGGCGCATGGTTGTGCGACTACATCAATAAAGTGGCCGAAGGTAATTATTCTGTTAATCTTTCTATTATAATCTTTTTATTTAAAAATACTCCATTTTTTCATTGTATCTTTAAAATTCTATTTTACTTATTGCGTCTGTTTTTCAGGAGCATGCAATCGAGGCTCGTTTAATGCACATTGTGCACGCGATAGAGCATAAAGAATGGCCAGTATCGGTGAACTTTAGCGCCGGCGAAGAGATGGATATTTCGCAAAACGAAAAGGAATGTTCGGAAGTAATAACTATCACGACGGATCACGGAGTGTCTAGGTCAATGGTGAGCGGAAATAACATGTCCGCTTCGAAGAAGCGTAAGAGGCACATCGCTATCGATGTAGAAACCGAACGAGGTAATTTTAATTCGAGGCACTTTTAATTTGTTTTATAATTATTTTTTATATATTATTATTTATATTTTATTATTTAACTAATTATTATTTATTGCACAGCCAAGCTTCACGCGCTTCTCAACAGCAGTCATCTGAGCACACCGTCGCCAGCACCACTCAGCAAGCCAGTTCTTTCGACCAACTGGGAGATGAATGATGAATCTCAATCCGAAGAATCGCGACGTTCTACACCTGTTCAGCCACCACCGGCGCATCAGCAAACTCGAACGCCGAATATGCCCTTCGATCTAAAGTATACCGTTCCGGGCAAAACGACTGTTATACCTGGGACATCGAGCACGTTAACGCCCATCGATTTGTCTGCTGGGTAAAACATTTAGTAAAATATTCAAAAAATGCTCGCAACGCTATAGTTAATGAAGTATAATAGAATTACATATATAATTATAATATGAATATTTCATCGAAATATTACGATAATTATATTTTTTAGATATCCAAAATCAAGCTCCGATAATAATAAGGATATTATGAACGAAGTACAAGACTTTTCCATGCCGAACAAAAATAAACAAGTCAGCAACAAAGGAAAGTTGGACAGTATGCTGGACAAACTTATGAAACGGAAATCTTGCGTGAGTAATCTTTACGTTTTGCAAAATGTTATTTTATTAGAATATCCTATACCCGAATTGTTAGAATTTTTAAATAATTGAATCTTTTGTATATTTTTTTGGTATATCAGCCGACGGAGGAGCCGATAATTGGAAAGGAGAAAAAACGCAGAAAACTCGACGAGATAGTATTAGGCTTGAGTGCCGCAAAGGAGCAACAGAGCAGTCATTATCCTGAGCACAAAAAGAATACGATTATGCCTAACGTGACTGTGACACCGACGTCGGCGCCAATGGGGCTTCCCAATCCTCAAACCCAGAAACCGTTCTCTATTACAGTTACGACAGTTCCGTCTTCGCTCGCCTCGAGTTCCTCAGCATCCGTTTTACCACCGCCGTCGTTGCATTCTCACAAGGATACCTTCTCTGCATTGTTGGTTCAAGCCGAACAGCAGAATCGCGAATTGAAAAAACAACAGCAGCATCAACAACAACAGCAACAGCAGCAGCAGCAGCAGCAACAACAACAACAACAGCAGCAGCAGCAACAACAACAACAACAACAACAGGCATTCAATTCGGCGCATCCATCTTCTTCGACCAGCAGTCACAGAAAGAGTTACGAAGCAATGATTGCAGACATTAATAAAGTCGCCGAGTACTCATCCAAAGTCGGTTCGTATTCACACGAAGCAAAAGTGAACAAATGGTTGGCCGAACAAAGCGCCATGTCGGAACAATGCGCGGAATATCTGAATGCTCCTCGACGGCGTAGACCGCGCGTCGATCCGTCCTTATTGGATTGGAAAAAGCTTACTGGCGAGGAGAATGTTGCCGTTATTAATCGAATAACCGGCAAAAAGGTAAATATATTATATTATAGTAGACATACATTTTTTAATAATTTTGAAACTCTTCTTAAAAATCATCTTCTTTTACATATTTGAATAATTAATAATGTTTACTTCATTATTAATTTAAACAGTATAAAGCATTGCCATTTAATAATAATATAAAGTTAATAATTATTTAGTATATTTAAATGTGCTAAATATATATATGTGTGTGTGTTGGGAAATTACATATTTCATCATTTTCATTAGAAATATATAAAATAATATTACTGTTACTATTATGAAACAGCCTGGTACATAATAAATATAATAAATCTTGCCATCTATTAATCATTATTTTTTTAATCACAAGTGATTATAAGAATTTATCTGTTTTACAAAGAACAGTTTGATAAATATTATTTGTAATCTTTAAATTTAATCATTAAAGTTAATTTTTCTTGATTCTCTTTTAGGTAACTGGAAGCAAAGCGCCTCAGTTGAAACGACTCGGACAATGGCTTATGGAGAATCCGATGTTCGACGTGGATCCAAAATGGGCGGAACTCGTGAAGGAACGTGGTAATCTTCCGCACGATTTGCAAAAGAGATTACCGGGTAACGAACGCGGTGGTGTGAACAAAGGCAAGAGCCCGGGTAGACCGTCCATGATGCCCAGCCCTACGAGCCAGCAGTCGGCGAATTCTGCTAATTTAGTGGCCACGTCGATGGCATCGGGTCTCAATTTCCCACTCGGCAATCTCAACAATTCCCTACTGTCAGGTCTATCGCTCGGTAACTTTGATCCGAAGAATAATCCATTACTGATGCCATTTGGCGGTTTAACGAATTTGGGCGCGCTCAGTGGCCTGGGTAATCTCGGCAATTTGGGCAGCATGGGCCTAACGAATTCGCTATTCGCCAATCTGGCTGGACTGAGTCTACCATCATTGGCGGGCATGGAGGCGGCATTAAACGCACAGGTAGCGACTAGCAGCGCAGCAGCAGTAGACGCCGTGAATAATCCTGTCGTGAGTTCGGCGAGTGGCGGCAAGAGCGGCGGTGCGGGTTCATCATCCGGCTTAAACAGCAGTGGTGGAGGTAACAGTGGCAGTAGCAGCAAGTCGCGCGGCAAACTCGATCAACCAGCGACCAGCAAATCATCAGCCGCTGGTGGCCCATCGACCTTATCAGCTTCCTCTGCGACCAGCCTCCCGACTCCTTCACCGTTTCCATTCTTCCTATCGAATCCCAGCCTTCTGTATACGCCGCTAGGTCTGGGAGGCTTGAATCCGTTTTCCATGCAACCTGGAGGTGTGTCGTCGGCCTATGAGAGTCTCGCTCAGTGCGGTCTGTTGAATCCACCGACATCCAGCGCTTCTTCTGTGTCACGGAAACCCACATCTTCGAGTAGCAGCTCGAGGCAGCGTGAAGCTGTACCGGAATCATCTACGTCATCATCGTCAACGTCATCGTCGACGGCGGCAAAACGAAAGGAGGCCGAGAAGAAGGCGTCTAGATATCCTCCAGTGGATCCGACTGCGACTCTGCAACAGTATACGGATATGGCGGCATTGCACGGCAACGAGGACAGACGTGGCCGCAGCGTCGAGCGTCAGCAACAGCAACAACATGAAAAGAGGGAAACAACGACGATGGAACAAGTCGATGTAATGGCAGCGGATCTATCTGAGAAGAAGACCGAGCGAAAGAGCAAAGAGCAAGAAATGAAAGAGGCTCTGGAACACCTAAGTAGGACTAGTGCCGAGCTGGTTACTCGAACAGTCGACGATGCACCGCCGAAGCATGAAAAGCTTCCGAGGAATCGTAGCAATAATACAGATAGCAACAATCAAAATCCCGATCAGCAACAACGATCGACGCCATCGGCACCATCGTCGCTCGAGGTCACCCTAGAACCCGTTGCTAAGAAGATGCGTACCGAAATGGACACGAGCTCAAAATCGTCCTCATCGAATAACGATCTACCGACGATTGAGATTGAGCCTGTGACGAGACAAACGTTGCCGACAACACCGACAAAGGCGGTGCAACCGCCGCCTTCGCAAGATGAGAGCAATGCTTCGTCCGTGGAAACGAATACCGCGACGAAAAAGGAAGTCAACGAGACAGCGACGACACCGACAACACCGACAACGTCAACGTCGACATCGACGTCGACGTCGACGTCAACGTCGACTGCAAATACGACAACGTCGCCATCGACGACGCAGAAGAGCGACACTTCTAATAAACCTGCTGCGTCGGAAGCGGAAGAGGACGGTAAGGGCGGTACCAAGGCAAAGAAGGCGCGTAGCGGTAAACGATTGAGCGTGGAACCGCCACCGGAGCGGAAGAATCTTCGTTCGAGCGCTGGTAGACAGGCACGAGCGGCTGCAGAACGACAGGCGCGAATGGAAGGAGAGATGCAGCAGCAGCAGCAACAGCAGCAGCACTCCGAGCAACAGCAGCAAGACAGTCATGTGGCCGGCGAATGAGCCATGAGGAATCGTCGCTCATGCTGAAACAATGAGTAACGATCACCTAGAACAATCCCGTGGCGATCTGACAAAAGGAAATTGTGGACACGCAGTCACTGCCCCACGTTTTTTTCTATTTCTATTCCACTGCTCGCACAACGAAGATCTATATATGTATATAGATAGTTTCCTGTTTGACAATGATCGGCGCTTGTGAAAGTGTTGTTGCTTGAAAACAGATTAATTAAGCACAAGTGCATCGAAAGGAGGCTACAAACATTGGTAGAATCTGCCGTAGCTTTCAATTCAATTCTCCAATGATGTATGTATGTGTGTGTATGTGTGTGTATGGGAATAAATGGAACTCCTATATTCTGGAGATGGATTATGTAAAGGATGAACTGCATATTATTGACAGCAGTGTGACAGTGCAGGTTTGCAAAAGTTGCGAGAGACGAGTCTCTCAAATAAGAAGGCTGCGATAGTATTTTATGATTCGATACTTTATGTAGTAATTAATTTTTAATTGCGTAATAATAAACGATATAATAAAGGTATAATTTTGTTAAATTTATTATCTTATACTATATCTTATTGGTTTTGATCAGGGACTGTTTTATATACGAGATATATTATAAAATTTTGTGTACTCGCTATTGCGCATAAAGCAATTTCAAAGCAAGAAACACAAAGCGAAATATAATCGTAATGTAGAAAAAAAATAATTACAGTAATAACTTAATAAAAAGATAAAACTGTAAATATTATACACATTATGCCTAGAGACAGTAAGCAATGTACTTGGAAAAGAAAATGTATATAACGCAGTGTACTTTTAATTACATTAGGTGAAATAATAAACAGCTTCTTTTGTTGTTTGCAAATATCATTCGGAACTAATTTATGTCAACTGGTAGAAGCTGGTAGAAGAGAACATATGGTGTACATTTTGTTTACATGTAAAAAAGTAAAAAATTGTCACGTTTTTTAAAAAATCATTTTAAGGAATACTTTCCTTAAAAGTTTTTTTTTTTTTTTTTTTTTTTAAAGAAAAATGTTAAATACATACAGAGCATACATCAATAATGATTACATCATTAACATAATATGATTGTAAAAACAAAATACATTGATTTATTTCATACGTAATAGAAAACAACATGAAAGAAATATTTATTCAAATGATTATTGTATAATAGTATAATATATTATACAATAAATGATTATTGTACGTAATAATGATTGATGAAATATGATTTTTTTGAGATTTATTTTGAATTTTAATTAAACTTTTTTGTTAAATATATAAGAAATTATCTTTTTAAGCGTCTATAGGTTGTGGCACAATACGCAGGTACGTTTTGCCAGAGGGCAACATCACAGTTTTAATATCATTGTAGGATGCTTTGGCTTCACTGTCCGATACACTCGGATCGATCATTACATCGCCTCCTTTCTGAAATGTTAGAAAAATTTAATCAATAAGCTTCCATAATAATGTCTCATTCAATAGCTTAATTATGAAAAATTAATATCTTTGATAAAGATAGGATAAGAAGATTTTTTTAAAACCTTCCAATCTACAGGAGTTGCTACTTTGTACTTTTCTGTAAGCTGAAGAGATTCGATCACCCTTATTATTTCACTGTAAATCAAGAAATAAAATTGAATGAGAGCTTTATACAAAAAATTTTTTATTCATTGCAATTTTTTGTTTCATATAAAATAAAACATGATAGTTCTTACTCAAAATTGCGACCAGTAGTAGCTGGATATAAAATTGATAATCGCATCTTCTTAACTGGATCAATTATAAACACAGCTCGTGCCGACATGGGTAATCCAGTCCGATTGTCTATTTCAGCAGGGTCCAACATTCCCAATGATGTAGCAAGCTTCCTAGTTTGATCTTCTATTATTGGATATGGAAATTCCTCATCTGTTATCTCGCCATAACTTTGAATATCCTGTAGAATAAGTATATGTATGTCTTCTGTCTCTGAATATTAATATGTTTTATAGTTTCTCTTATAAATCTAATATTAAATACGATTAAATTATGTACTATTTAAAGGTCTCAAACATTATAATTATTCAAGAAGATTATGCAAACCTTTATCCATTTACGATGAGATTCAACAGAGTTGCAGGACAGTGCGATTACTTTCACTCCTAATCTCTTAAATTCGGGCATTAATTTTGCCACCCGTGCCAATTCAGTTGTACAGACTGGTGTGAAATCATTGGGATGAGAAAATAGGATGCCCCACCTATTTTCAATGAGGGGAGAAATATCACATACATGAAATCACATTCAAAACGGATTAATGTAATTTATCAGCTACATCATTTGCATGTGATACAAGTGATAATTTATCATGAATAAAATGTAAAGTAATGAAAATTGTTAAGTAAAGTCTCTACATAATTTCTGGAAAAATTATATATATATATATATATATATATATATATATATATGTGTGTATAAAATATACATTTAGCTTAATTTATTAAACATCATATGGCAAATTATTGCAAGCTAAATATAATCATAAATAAAAAATAAAGCGTGGTAGTATTTATATTTAAAGTATATCTAGATACGTATATACGCATATGTACACATTCGTATATGTATATACTACTAATCAATGTTTTCTACAAATAGAACTAGAGAGTTTAGGTTATAATTTTGCAAGATATTTACGAATCGCCCAGCCACTCGTGAAGTTTAATCGTTCCTAACTGCGTGTCCGCTGTAAAATCCGGAAATATTTCGCCGAGTAAGACCATAGCGCGTTAAAAATATACTCTTTTATTATAAAAAAATATGTAATTTCCGTCTTCTGTCAACAGGACGTTCCTCGAAGGAGAGAGCAAGATTGTTGAATGATAATAACAAGCAGTGTTATTGGAGCGAGTAAAATGCCGGCAAATGGCGACCAATAATATCAAAGAATTGAATTTGCACAATGCACATTATGCAGTTTTTCCGAATGAAAAATCCCTGATGTACAATATGTGTATAGATAATTATATTCTCCTCGTATGTACATGATTGACGCATGCAATACGAGATAGAGTTATTAGACTATTTGACATATAAATTGAACGCATAGAATGATTTTGTAAAAAATCTATGATAAATACTGCGCGTATTTATATACGACAGTAAATCATCTTTTGAGATCAAGTATGAGTATTCTTCTTACCAGCGAAGAAGGCTGGATTATATCTCACTTGCAATATCTCGATGAGATATATAAGGAAGTCTTGAACGAGGGTAGATTTTGCGCCTTGATCTTCAACAAAATGATATTCGAGATTAATTCACAATACTTGAGGCCAAATCAAATTGCACAAACTGTTCAGGATGATGCTGTATCGCATAGTAAGAAGAAGAGGAAGCGTTCACAATTATTGCCAGAAAGAGACTTGGAAGAAGTAGGTTTAAAGAAAAAATAATTTCTATATTTTATATAGATTCTTTTATTAAATTAGAATTCTTCTGGCATAATTATATTTTCAGTTTATGATATCTCAAGTAATTCTTATAACAGGTCGATCATGTTAAACAAAAATTCAATGCAATAATATCTACTGCGAGAATCAAAGGACTTTTTAACAAGAATACATCTCTGGATAACAATGAAGCTGCACGTTTGGCATCACAGAAATTTTATCAGGATACCTATTGTTTCAAAGATGAGAATTTGTACGGATCCAATGATACGAATAATGCTATCATATCGGAGGTTCACAATAAGAAATATGTATTCCCAAAAAAATGTACATTTTATTGCTATGATGTGAGAGATATAGATAAAAAGATAGAACTGAACAATCAATATGATTTTATATTATTAGATCCACCTTGGTGGAACAAGTCAATCAGAAGAAAAAAAATAAAATGTGCTGAAGCTAGGTGATTATATATATTAGATTTCATAAATCGATAGAAAAATCAAATTTTAGCTATGTAAAAAGAGTGCAACTTTTATATTAAATTTGTCTTAAATGAGAAGAAATAATAATAATAAAATGTAACTTTTGATTGCATAAAATGAGAAATGTTTGTATATTGTTGCTCCTTTTTAGTTACAAAATGATGTACAATGAGGAATTAATTAAGATACCAATAAGAAAATTATTACATTCAAATGGTATTGTGGCTATATGGTGCACTAATTCTTCTAATCATTTAAATAGTATCTTTAATGAAATATTTCCATCCTGGGGTATTACTTATAGAGCTAAATGGTATTGGATTAAAGTAAGCAATGTCTTTTATATACAATTTTGATCTAATGCAACAGTAAATATTCAATACAACATTATGTAACATAATTACCATTTTAGGTAACACAGGCAGGTGACACAATATGTAATTTTAACTTGGCACCTGGAAAGCAACCTTTTGAATTACTAATATTAGGATCTGCATTAGAGGAAGACAAAGTGAATATTCCTGATGCCAAACTAATGATCAGCATACCTAGTGCAGTGCATTCTCATAAACCACCTCTCACAGGTATAAATATTAAAAAAATTAAAAAATATAATCAATATGATATTTTTAACAAACTGTTGCGATAAAAACTTTACTTATATGCTTAGAAATCATAAAGGACTATCTCCCAAATGAGCCAAAATGTTTAGAAATTTTTGCAAGATATCTATTGCCTGGATGGACAAGTTGGGGTCTGGAAATTCTAAAATTTCAGCATTTATCACTTTATGAAATTTTGGATGAAAATAACAAAGCTGAAAGTGACGATGACGGTGAAAGAAGCGAGAACGAGAGTAAAAATTAATTATAAAATGTAAGACAAAAAGCTATAGACATTATAAATATGTAATTTATAGACAAAACGTGTATGGATCCTTTATTATATAAATTATTTGCAAGTTCTTTGATACAACTTATTGTTATGATGTATTATTCAGATGTTCATTAATTCCATTCTTTATTGAAGTTCGATAACCATGTGGATTCATCACTTGCCACCTCCAAAAATCTTGACCTGTATTTATTGTTATTTATTAGATATATTGAGATTGTTGAAACTAAAATTTTACATTACTTACACATTTGCTCAACGTTGTATTTTGCTGTCCATCCTAATTCTTTCTTTGCCAAATCTGTATTAGCATACATGGAAACGATATCGCCTTCTCTTCTTTCTTTTATAATGTATGGCACAGTAGTGCCAGTGACTTTTTCAAATGTTTTTATCAATTCCAATACAGTGACGCCATTGCCGGTACCCAAATTATAGATTTTTAGTCTCAGATGCTGTTTGTGTAAGGCGTTTAACGCTGCCACATGTCCTGCTGCCAGGTCCATAACATGGATGTAATCGCGAACTCCTATCAAGGAAGAATAAAGCGCAAGGTAATATATGTTTTATGCATGGATTGAATCTTAAATTATATATCTATTTCATCTATATTTATTTCATATTAGAATCAAGATGATATATTACCTGTACCATCGTTCGTGGCATAATCGCCACCGAATATAAGCAGTTCCGGCTTGTGTCTCGAAGCAACTTGAGCAATATACGGCATCAAATTTGTAAACGGTTTCGTCGGGTCTTCACCGATCAAGCCGGAGGAGTGAGCACCGACTGGATTGAAGTATCTTAGTGATACAATATTCCAATTCTGTTAAACAAAAAAAAAATTTCCACAAAAATTATGCATAAAGTCTAACACTTTAAGTCTTATATAATTTCTTCTGGAGAGAGAAATAAAAAAACTAGAACAAAATTTGATTTATATATTCTGAGGTAAATTTTTATATATTTATACATAATTATATCAGTACTTTACATAGGTAAATTTTTATCTGCAATTGATCGTATAAATAGAAAAAGAATAAATTTAACATTTTTTATGTATACGAACCTTTTCAGCTCTAGAGATATCCTTCAACATCTCTTCGATAAAATATTTTGTCCGGCCGTAAACATTGGTGATATTACCAGTTTCGTGTTCCTCCGTGATAGGCAATTCTGTAGGTTCGCCGTAAACTGTACAAGAGCTGCTGAATACAAGCTGAAAACAGCCAGCTGCTTTCATTACCTGTAAATAAAAAGGCCGATGTGTATATCAGATTATTCAAAGAGATGTCTCAAAATGCGTGTAATATTCTTTTCTTATACCTCCAGCAAATTAATAGCTCCTATTATATTATTCCGGTAGTAATGAAGCGGAACTTGCATGGACTCGCCGACGGCTTTGATAGCCGCAAAGTGTATTACACAGTCTATTTTGTACTGAAAATGATAAATTACTCTCTTTAACACACATGATCTAAAAAGAGTGATTATCGCTCTTTTAACTTGTTCAGAAGCTTTATGCAATTGTAATATATATAATAAAAAATAATCATAATAAAAAATGGAATATATATATATATATATATATATATATATATATATATATATATATATATATACAGGGTGTCCCAGTTATCTTCCGTCATCTTTCAAGGACAGATTCCTGGGATCATTTGAAGACGATTTTTCCTCAACGAAAATGTCAATGAAGACCATCATTTTTTGCATGTTCCCAATTTTTGTCATCATATATCTTTGCAATTAAGTCTTAAATTAAAACTCAACTAAAGTAAACTCTATTTAAAATTAATCGAAGAATGTGGTTTTGTTAATATTTTATTTCTACAAAGCTTAGTTTACGAAAAACCCCTTATTTCCAATCACTTATAATTCGAAAATTATTAGTGCCTCGACATTTTTGTTGAGGAAAAATCGTCTTCAGATGATCCCAGGAATCTGTCTCTGAAAGATGACGGAAGATAACTGGGACACCCTGTATATATATATATATATATATATATATATATATATATATATATATATATAAAATACAAAATAATGTTAACGAATGATATACCTTATTAAAGACTGTCTCAAGCTTCTCTCTGTCGAGCAGATCGCAGTTATAAAACGTGACCTTCTTCCCTGTTATTTGCTCAACTCTCTTGAGCGCCGCGGATTCGCCATCGGTTTCCGTAACGCTATTTGCGAAATTGTCTATTGCTACCACGTCGTATCCACACTCCAAGAGCTCGACGATGCAATGACTGCCGATGTAACCGGCACCTCCAGTTACGAAAATGGTCTTCCAATCTCCAGTCATTTTTTCTTCTGACTAGACAGAAAATTGAATTTTTAATTAACGAATTTTTCGCAATATTTTTTTGTAAGTACGCTTTATATAAATACAATGAATATTTGTAACATAAATTGATCTCTCTTATAAATAAACTTTTTAAATAGATAAACGATCTTCAAACTCTCTCAAAGGAGTACGCACAGGCCAGACCTTTACCCATATATAAATGTATACTTGCAAGTCGAAGAGTGCAGGTGCTTGGGGCATTCACCTTCATACAAGTGAGCAAACAGAGTTCAAGGTCATTGAAACACGTGGTAAATCACTATAGCGGTATATCTTGGTAGTCTCGGTGAAAAAAGAAATGAAAAGAATGCGCGTACAGCAAATTTATAAAAGAATATTTTTGCATTTAATTAAAAAATAAGAATTTTATTTTTTAAATTGGAAAAATAAATACATTTTTTTAATTAGAAAAATAAATTTAAATATTAAAATTTTTTTAATGTCTCACGAATTATGCAAGACAAGTAATCCACACAATACAAGATGTATATAATCATAAATGTGTATTTCCGAATACAATCATAAACTAGATTGTTCAATTTATTAAGTTTATAATCAAATTTTTGTAGTAAAAACATACAATGATATTCAAAGTTACACAATCGCTGCAGACATATTCAACTTTGAAAATATATCTTTAGTATATTTAAATAAAATACACATTCAAATATTCAGATTATCTATTTGATAAGAAGGTATCCGGCATAATTCAAAAATAATTTATTACATTGAATTGGAAAAAATACATATATTACTTGAATAAAACTCTGATGCTTTATTAATATATTAAATAATTACTATTTAATAATTACTATTTAATAATTTTGTTCAATTGCTTTCAATTATCAATAATTGTCTGACACTTCAAGGCATTTTTAAGTAGGGATTTATTTAAATATGATATATTATATACACTTTATTATATATATATATATATATATATATATATATATATATATATATATATATATATATATATACACTATATATTTATTTGCACCTAGGTCTTCTCATGTCTTCACTTATCAGCCGCATAGCAGGTGCAACAATTTCGATTTTTTCGGATGTACAGAGAAACATGGCTTCGAATCGCGATGCATATGTACTCGCGAAAATTTTTCTGTTATGAAGATCAAACAACAATTGAATTTTCTCTACAAAGCAGACATAGCTTTCTTAGAAAAAGAATTTTTTTACCGATTCCCGTTGGAATTTCCCGTCTAACAATTTTCGTATAAAAGTTTCGCCGGATACGCTTTCAATAGAACTATATTGTCTGGACTATAGTCTCGTATAATCCGTGAGACATTAAAAAAATTTAAGTATTTAAGTTCCCAATTTAAAAAATCAAATTCTATTCTTTTTTTATAGATATAAATCTTTTTTTATTTGCACTAAATTTTTACTTGTAATAAATCACTTACTTTATAATCTATATATATTGTGATATATATTTAAATAAATTCATAGAAAATCTTTGATCACAAATAAGATCAAATGATAAAATACAATTGCAGCTTGCTCATTTGATTAATAATCATTTCATTTAAAATGCAACGTGAAAATGAGTTTCTTTCTACATAAACCTTGACTTTTAAATTGAGAAATGAATCGACGTCCTTGAAATTTATTTTCACTTCGATTATAAGAGATAGTTTGCGCTCGAAGAGTCTTCTTCAAGTCAATAAAAAAAAATCGACGCATCGTTACGAAAACATCTCGATGAATTTTTATGATTTATATTTGTTTTTGTATGTTACAAGCTCGAAAAAATTAGTCGAGAGAATATTGAACAATAGAATGAAGAAATTGTTACCTCGATACAGAACTTAAGATTAAACAATTTAATGGAACACAATCTATTCCGATCTGAAGGACTCCGGAGACACTTTCGCGCGATGACTGCGAGGCTGCGTCTTGAATAGCAGTCGTGGAACAGAGGACCTTAGTATATCGTGGGACGCGCGAGACATCCCCTCCTCCACGATGCCATACCGGCACGCACTATACGTCCTACGTCCTTCCTTCCAGCCTCGCGCTCCGTTGCAATCGTTCATTCCATCTAAAAAGTTCCTCCTCCTTTCACATCGCGCGCCGCTCTTGCTACTGCGAACGAGATCACAAGAAGCGACCTATTCGCTTTTTGCAACTATTATTACTGGATTAGTAAAAGCGCGGCTCATCTCATCAACGTCATTTCAGTTGTGCAATAGCTTAAACAGGAACCTGTTTCGAATAATAATAATGTAATCGCATAAAAATGAAAGAAAAACGATTGGCATTCTTTACGTTCATTTCTTGACGAATATATCCCGATTTTTTATCTCGATAGACTATACAGTAGGACATAAAATTACAGAAGAGTCTATGGTGAATAAAATTGTAGGCAAAAATTAATCGCACGTCTCATGGACTCATTGTCATATATATTTACTGCGTCGATAATACTTGTATCAATTTATGTAATAATTCCTTTTGCTCCGTGTCAAAGTAAGGATACAATTCGCTCTCGAGTTCCAATACTGCTTGATGATCGTGAGATTGACATGCTAATACCAGAGATTGTAGCAACAATAATTCATCCTCGCTCATATTGAGACCTGGACAAAACGAAAAAAATTTTAATTTAATAATTTTAAATATATTATTATGTACATATTAATATTTTCATAAAGTTTGAAATAGCTAAATTCACATGTGATCCATACTATTATTCACATTTTCTTCAGCCCATGCATATTTTTCCAGAACTTGAGCAAGAGAGGGTGTTAGTCTCTGCGGCGATGGCTGAAGAATGAGTAGTAAGAGGACCCGCATTACCTCGCACCTATCAATTGTTGATTTTATGATATATTTTTAACTACTATAGCTTTTACAAAACATTATTACAATTATTACCTATGTAGAATAGCATTATAATTTCCTCTGGCACCAGCCACAATGCAAGCTTCTGCAAATTCTACAAATTCATTAAGGATTTGTAGTGCAGCTACATAATCTCCTATAAAAATAAAGTGATATGAAATACTATTATATGAACATATATATTTATACATTTATTTATTTATTTATTTATAATTACTTATTACTTAATATAAAATAATAACAAAAATGTAAATACATACAAAAAATATAAGAATAACCAACCTTCGCTTATATGAAAAGACACTAAAGTATTAATAGCTTTTGATGTGGGAAATATATCAATTGCTTTCCGTAACTGTTGAATGCCAGCAGGACCTGGACCCAATGCTAATGCTAACTCTACTGATAGACCTGCAGAAATTGTATTAAATCCTGGTTGGCTGCTGCATCTTGCCATAGAATGACCAAAACAATTTACAGCTGCCTAGAATATATGAGAAATATTTGAATATATGAGAAATATTTGTAGTTTTTATTTTTTTTTATATCTGTTAGTAAATTTATATTCATATAAATACCTGTATATTTTCATGGCCTATAGAGGGACATCCTATGTCGTTATCTTTCTTGTCAGCTATGAGAAATTGTCTTCCTGCTTTTATCAGCAGATTTATCTCAGAAGAGGCATTTTCTAAAGTACCTTGACATCTAGCAGCTGCCAACCAACATAAACCTGCATATTGCCACAATTCTTTCTGTTCACATTCAGTGGCTAAGGCACCTAAAAACAGGAATTTCCATTTCATATATTGTTTTTCTGATATTAAAAATTTATGTGGATATATACTATAATAAATTTGACTCACTAAATTGATCGCATGCCTCTGAGACGTTTGGCTTTCTCAGAAAGCGTCTAAAATTAATATAAATATTTATTAAATAAAAGAAAAATCGTATGTAGTATAAAAGTTTCTAACAATACAAATATTTTAAAGAACTTACTTTTTCAATTTATTCGAAATATTGTGAAATTTTGTTAAAAAGTCTACATGTTCTCCTATTCCTTGATCTTGATTAATATGGGCCATATTTTAATTAATCTAAATATTAAATTAATAATGATAATATTTGACATTTATGTTCTATAATAATTTGACATAGACTTTTCTGTCAGAGAATTTCCCCTATTGATTATACAATTAAGAATATAATTTTATTTTCATTTTCCATTATTTTCGCCGACAATATGACAAACAATCAAGATAAACAATCGTGAAAATATACTGTATGCAAATATACAGGATCTGCAATACCGACGATATTTCCTGATGCGATGCGCATGCGCTCAACGCTGATTGGAGCTGACCGAAGCCGACCGAGCGTGCACAGAGAGACTGAGAGATGTCGTGGCTCGCTTTATCCCTGGAAGTGATACTCCCTCTATGAACATTAACAACAAAATATGAACTACAAAACAAATGTCCACGAAGGTTCTCAGAGGATAACATATATGTCCCTCTGATAATATAAATAATATAAATAAAAATATAAATAATTTAATTAATAATAATTTATTATATAAAAATATTAATATGTTCTCTCTTTTCCTTGCTATTATTTATATTATATATTTATATTATATATTTATATTATATGTATAAATATTACATTTAAGTGTGAGTCCAAAAAGCAAATTTCGGATATTCACTGTAAGTCAGCCGCTCTTCGGGCGATCGGGACGAGATTTAAACGGTAGTACCGCGAAATGGTGTAGAATTTTATGCAAAAAGAACGAAATCGCGTCTGGAAGTCGAGATATAAATTCGCTGTTTTTCGTCGCGCGCGGATGGTCGAAATCGTGCATGACGCCGCGCATGTTGCCTGCCTATCTCGCGCGATATTCACTGTAACGCGGCGAGTAAAATGGCAAGCCGAATGTAATCGTTCGATTAATTTATTAAATACTTATATATACCGAACGAAAAGATGAATCGGAATGCAATCGTTCGATTAATTAATTAAATATAGATACTACGATCGCGGCGAAGCGGTGGGCGGGTCGCTCTCCGAAACATGATAGTGGTTTGCGATATATCGCGATTGTTCCGTGATACATCAATCGTTCATAATTAATTAATTTAAAATAAAATATACTTCTATTTAAAATGTCGCGTGTATATATAGTACGCAAAATATTTCGGCAGAGAATTATCAATTAATATCATATGTTTGGCCTTGACGACGTATAGCAAGCGGCTATACATGTCATAGCTTTGCCATCATTCACACGGTGACACTCGAATATAGAAAAATATTTAACAACATGATAATTAAGTAAAGAGCATTAAGAGCCCACAAACCAATTCGTTTCTTATAATTTATATTATCAGGAGAATATATTTTGCGAGGAGGTCGATGATGCGTTGATGACTTCTTTACAAATCATGTTCTCCTAATAACGCAAACGTGAAAATTTTCGAAAATTCGTTTCTTATAATTTATATGATCAGGAGAATATATTTTGCGAGGAGGTCGATGATGCGTTGATGACCTCTTTACAAATCATGTTCTCCTAATAACGCAAGCGTGAAAATTTTCGAAAATTCGTTACTTAATATTTTATATTATCAGGAGAATATATTTTGCGCGGAGGTCGATGATGCGTTGATGACTTCTTTACAAATCATGTTCTCCTAATAACGCAAACGTGAAAATTTTCGAAAATTCGTTTCTTATAATTTATATGATCAGGAGAATATATTTTGCGAGGAGATCGATGATACGTTGATGACCTCTTTACAAATCATGTTCTCCTAATAACGCAAGCGTGAAAATTTTAGAAAATTCGTTTCTTATTATTTTATATTATCAGGAGAATATATTTAGCGACGAGGTCGATGATGCGTTGATGACCTCTTTACAAATCATGTTCTCCTAATAACGCAAGCGTGAAAATTTTAGAAAATTCGTTTCTCATTATTTTATATTATCAGGAGAATATATTTTGCGAGGAGGTCGATGATGCGTTGATGACCTCTTTACAAATCATGTTCTCCTAATAACGCAAGCGTGAAAATTTTCGAAAATTCGTTTCTTATTATTTTATATTATCAGGAGAATATATTTTGCGCAAAGGTCGATGATGCGTTGATGACCTCTTTACAAATCATGTTCTCCTAATAACGCAAGTGCGAAAATTTTCGAAAATTCGTTTCTTATAATTTATATGATCAGGAGAATATATTGTGCGAAGAGGTCGATGATGCGTTGATGACTTCATTACAAATCATGTTCTCCTAATAACGCAAACGTGAAAATTTTCGAAAATTCGTTTCTTATAATTTATATTATCAAGAGAATATATTTTGCGAGGAGGTCGATGATGCGTTGATGACCTCTTTACAAATCATGTTCTCCTAATAACGCAAACGCGAAAATTTTCGAAAATTCGTTTCTTATAATTTATATTATCAGGAGAATATATTTTGCGAGGAGGTCGATGATGCGTTGATGACCTCTTTACAAATCATGTTCTCCTAATAACGCAAGCGTGAAAATTTTAGAAAATTCGTTTCTTATTATTTTATATTATCAGGAGAATATATTTTGTGAGGAGGTCGATGATGCGTTGATGACCTCTTTACAAATCATGTTCTCCTAATAACGCAAGCGTGAAAATTTTCGAAAATTCGTTTCTCATTATTTTATATTATCAGGAGAATATATTTTGCGAGGAGGTCGATGATATGTTGATGACCTCTTTACAAATCATGTTCTCCTAATAACGCAAGCGCGAAAATTTTCGAAAATTCGTTTCTTATAATTTATATTATCAGGAGAATATATTTTGCGAGGAGGTCGATGATGCGTTGATGATCTCTTTACAAATCATGTTCTCCTAATAACGCAAGCGCGAAAATTTTCGAAAAATCGTTTCTTATAATTTATATTATCAGGAGAATATATTGTGCGAGGAGGTCGATGATGCGTTGATGACCTCTTTACAAATCATGTTGTCCTAATAACGCAAGCGCGAAAATTTTCGAAAATTCGTTTCTTATAATTTATATGATCAGGAGAATATATTGTGCGAAGAGGTCGATGATGCGTTGATGACTTCTTTACAAATCATGTTCTCCTAATAACGCAAACGTCAAAATTTTCGAAAATTCGTTTCTTATAATTTATATTATCAGGAGAATATATTTTGCGAGGAGGTCGATGATGCGTTGATGACCTCTTTACAAATCATGTTCTCCTAATAACGCAAGCGTGAAAATTTTCGAAAATTCGTTTCTTATTATTTTATATTATCAGGAGAATATATTTTGTGAGTAGGTCGATGATGCGTTGATGACCTCTTTACAAATCATGTTCTCCTAATAACGCAAGCGTGAAAATTTTCGAAAATTCGTTTCTTATTATTTTATATTATCAGGAGAATATATTTTGCGAGGAGGTCGATGATGCGTTGATGACCTCTTTACAAATCATGTTCTCCTAATAACGCAAGCGCGAAAATTTTCGAAAATTCGTTTCTTATAATTTATATTATCAGGAGAATATATTTTGCGAGGAGGTCGATGATGCGTTGATGATCACTTTACAAATCATGTTCTCCTAATAACGCAAGCGCGAAAATTTTCGAAAAAACGTTTCTTATAATTTATATTATCAGGAGAATATATTGTGCGAGGAGGTCGATGATGCGTTGATGACCTCTTTACAAATCATGTTCTCCTAATAACGCAAGCGCGAAAATTTTTGAAAATTCGTTTCTTATAATTTATATGATCAGGAGAATATATTGTGCGAAGAGGTCGATGATGCGTTGATGACTTCTGTACAAATCATGTTCTCCTAATAACGCAAACGTAAAAATTTTCGAAAATTCGTTTCTTATAATTTATATTATCAAGAGAATATATTTTGCGAGGAGGTTGATGATGCGTTGATGACCTCTTTACAAATCATGTTCTCCTAATAACGCAAGCGTGAAAATTTTCGAAAGTTCGTTTCTTATAATTTATATTATCAGGAGAATATATTTTGCGAAGAGGTCGATGATGCGTTGATGACTTCTTTACAATTCATGTTCTCCTAATAACGCAAATGCGAAAATTTTCGAAAATTCGTTTCTTATAATTTATATTATCAGGAGAATATATTGCGCGAGGAGCTCGATGATGCGTTGATGATCTCTTTACAAATCATGTTCTCCTAATAACGCAAACGTGAAAATTTTCGAAAATTCGTTTCTTATAATTTATATTATCAGGAGAATATATTTTGCGAGGAGGTCGATGATGCGTTGATGACCTCTTTACAAATCATGTTCTCCTAATAACGCAAGCGCGAAAATTTTCGAAAATTCGTTTCTTATAATTTATATTATCAGGAGAATATATTTTGCGAGGAGGTCGATGATGCGTTGATGACCTCTTTACAAATCATGTTCTCCTAATAACGCAAGCGTGAAAATTTTCGAAAATTCGTTTCTTATTATTTTATATTATCAGGAGAATATATTTTGCGAGGAGGTCAATGATGCGTTGATGACCTCTTTACAAATCATGTTCTCCTAATAACGCAAGCGCGAAAATTTTCGAAAATTCGTTTCTTATAATTTATATTATCAGGAGAATATATTTTGCGATGAGGTCGATGATGCGTTGATGATCTCTTTACAAATCATGTTCTCCTAATAACGCAAGCGCGAAAATTTTCGAAAAATCGTTTCTTATAATTTATATTATCAGGAGAATATATTGTGCGAGGAGGTCGATGATGCGTTGATGACCTCTTTACAAATCATGTTCTCCTAATAACGCAAGCGCGAAAATTTTCGAAAATTCGTTTCTTATAATTTATATGATCAGGAGAATATATTGTGCGAAGAGGTCGATGATGCGTTGATGACTTCTTTACAAATCATGTTCTCCTAATAACGCAAACGTGAAAATTTTCGAAAATTCGTTTCTTATAATTTATGTTATCAAGAGAATATATTTTGCGAGGATGTCGATGATGCGTTGATGACCTCTTTACAAATCATGTTCTCCTAATAACGCAAGCGCGAAAATTTTCGAAAATTCGTTTCTTATTATCTTATATTATCAGGAGAATATATTTTGCGAAGAGGTCGATGATGCGTTGATGACTTCTTTACAATTCATGTTCTCCTAATAACGCAAACGTGAAAATTTTCGAAAATTCGTTTCTTATAATTTATAGTATCAAGAGAATATATTTTGCGAGGAGGTCGATGATGCGTTGATGACCTCTTTACAAATCATGTTCTCCTAATAACACAAGCGTGAAAATTTTCGATAATTCGTTTCTGATTATTTTATAGTATCAGGAGAATATATTTTGCGAGGAGGTCGATGATGCGTTGATGACTTCTTTACAAATCATGTTCTCCTAATAACGCAAGCGTGAAAATTTTCGAAAATTCGTTTCTTATTATTTTATATTATCAGGAGAATATATTTTGCGAGGAGGTCGATGATGCGTTGATGACCTCTTTACAAATCATGTTCTCCTAATAACGCAAGCGCGAAAATTTTCGAAAATTCGTTTCTTATTATCTTATATTATCAGGAGAATATATTTTGCGAAGAGGTCGATGATGCGTTGATGACTTCTTTACAATTCATGTTCTCCTAATAACGCAAACGTGAAAATTTTCGAAAATTCGTTTCTTATAATTTATAGTATCAAGAGAATATATTTTGCGAGGAGGTCGATGATGCGTTGATGACCTCTTTACAAATCATGTTCTTCTAATAACGCAAGCGTGAAAATTTTAGAAAATTCGTTTCTTATTATTTTATATTATCAGGAGAATATATTTTGCGAGGAGGTCGAAGATGCGTTGATGACCTCTTTACAAATCATGTTCTCCTAATAACGCATTTAAAAAAAAAAAAAAAAAAAAAAAAATTTCGCGAACAATTAATGTTCGAAATAATTTACGGATTGCCATCCGCGTTTTGTGGGCTCTTAATGCTCTTTATTTAATTATCATGTTGATAAATACATAGAGCCGTATTATTTACCTATTTATTTTGAAAAATATTTATTTCATCTTTGAATATTACAGTATCTGTCGCGATTGAATAATTTATTTATTATCAATTTACACACATAAGTATTTAATTGTTATATAGCACTGGTGCTACCGGCATTTCGTGCACATAGCACGGAACAAAACCAGAAATTGTGCAATTATATATTACCCTCTGAGAACATTCATGGACTATGACTTTGTAGTTCATGTCCATGTTTTGAATGTCCATAGAGGGAGTATCACTTTTGGGGTCACTCCATAGCTTGGACATGAACCATAGCTCAGACACGAACCACGTATTATTATCGACTGAAATGGATGTAGTTGACGTCCACTTTGTCTGGGAGCGCATTAGGACAATATACCCGTTAAAGCGAGGTGGCCGCTCTCAGGTTTCTCTCTGATCAGATTCATGTCATAGATTAGAAAATAGCTAGAGACGTAAAAACGCAAGTACGCCATATTGTTGACACTGGTGAATTAATCTGTTCGTTAATATTGGCGACCATGTTGCTCTTCAGCGTTCGTAAGCGATATCTGATTGGTGGCTCGTATGCATCCCGAAGAAACGAGGGTAGACTTGCGCTTTTTACACCGTGATCCAACACTGACAGCTGCATGCGCACAGTCGATCAGTAAACATTCTGGACGATGCATGTTGCGTGATTTGACGTATTCGACGAATTTCGGAGAAATTCCGCATGCGGAACGTCAATCGCGATTAGGATCTCAGTGGGAGAGATAATATCTTATTTTTTTAAATAGCCTTTTTCATCATGGATACGGACAGGCCTTTGCACGAGGATTGGAAGAAACGGGTATATGCAAGCTCTCGTTTATCAAACGCAATATAATTGGAAGCGCTACAAATGTTCCGCGATTCTACATACGTTATTACATTACGCGTCTACATAAATACATTAGATGAATCTTGACACATGTACCTGAATGCATTTTAACTTGCTTTTTAATATTTAATTACATTATTTAAAATGCAAAAAAAGAAACATTAATTATACAATATGTTACTACAACTCTGTTGACAGATAGAAAACGTCATCAAAATGCATAACGATATTATAGCTGTATATTTATAATTATTAAGTTTTCGTACATATTTTTCTAAGTTTTTAATTTTTGTCTTTCTCATATTTTTTATATACAATTTTTTTATTTCTATCTACTTCTAGGCTTTTGTGGGACCACTACCAGATAGTTTCTTGAGAATAGAAGAACGCAATGCACAGTTGCAGCAAGAAGCAGCGGATCAACAAGCTGCTCTGGCTCTTCAACAGCAGATGCAAAGTATGCCAGTAACTCATGATCCACGAGTTGGTAGGCTTAGTGTAACAATATCTCAGGTAATCTCTTCTTATATACATGAGATGTATCTATTAGTAATTAATTTAAATAAACCAATATTGCAACAACCTGTATCTTCTCATATTATCTTCTCATATTAAGAAATCATTTTTCCTAGGCCAAATTAGTAAAAAATTATGGAATGACAAGGATGGACCCTTATGTAAGATTACGAGTAGGACATTCAGTATATGAGACACATACAGATTCAAATGGTGGAAAAAATCCACATTGGAACAAGGTGATTCAATGGTGAGAATACATATATATATATATATATATTATATTTTTACATGTTTTAAGATATATATCTATCTGCCATAAATGTTTCAATATTTATTTTATTGTAGCCTCCTTCCACCTGGAGTTAATCAAATATACATAGAAATTTATGATGAATGTTCCTTTGTGATGGATGAATTAATTGCATGGGGTCATATAGAAATTCCACCACAAGTTATTCAGAAGGGAGAAACGCACGAAGACTGGTACATGCTTAGTGGAAAGCAGGGAGAGAATCAGGAAGGCATGATCAATTTAGTTTTCAGTTACACGGTACAAACAATATCATACATTTTATATTAATTATATTTATATCATTGATTTTGTATATTTCAAGTAATAGATTATCTGAAATTAAATTTAAAATTTATCACTATAGTCTGCATGCTTATAATATTAATATTTAATATTATTAAGGAATTATTTTAGAATCTTACTCAAATATTTTATTTCTTTTTTTCGGTAAACGCTTGTGCACTGTAGAATAAATCTCATCCATATATGGGTTCCTCTTCAATAATGATGGTTCCTTCTACAACAATGTTTGGAATGCCTTATGCTCCAGTAAATGTTTATACAGCACCTCCAGCTATTGCTACACCAGCAGCTATACCAAGTTCTTTGCCAAATGCTGAGGTTGAATTGAAACAGGTATTTTAATATATATCATAGTAATTTTATCTAATGCTCCTTTTTTGTTATGTATACACATAATTTAACCATACTTTGCAGATTGCAGAAATGTTTCCAAATGTTGATAAAGAAGTTATTAAATCAGTATATGATGCTAATCAAGGCAAAAAAGATGTTACAATTAATTCGTTGCTTCAAATGTGTGAATAAGCCTCAATTTTTTTATACAGTTTGCCATATGTAATTTTATCATATACCTTTTGTTGATAAGTATTTCTTTGGAATATAATATACGAAAATCTAATTTGTAATACTTCCATACGTAATAATTAAGATTAGAGTATATTATTTGAGTACATGAAATCATATCGTTTTGAAGCAGCATATTACTTTTAATATAACATTAATATAATGTTCTTATTGTGTTTTAATATTAATAACTTTTGTTACATATGTTATATATATATATATATATTGTTATTTCAGAGTTTATAATGTCTCCTTGATTTCTCTACATATACAAGTATTTATTTTTTTATTTTGTGAGAGTACACAATACATATGATCTTATTCATCTCTGTATATAATTTAAATACACTATTATATTGGTGTATTTTATGAAATTGTAAAAAGATATACGCTTAATTGATAATTGCATATAAATTGTAATAAATGTTATATATATATAATTTGTACAATTTTATCCATATCAGAAGGATAAAACAATCCGAAAGTGTCAGGGAATATTAAAAATTTTACATATAAACAGTGAAACTACAGCCATAAAAGTAATTGAATATGTATTTCTTATTGCCGAGTTGCAAGGCTCTTTATCTTTATCTTCAGGTTCACAAGCACACATTTCAATGGCATATCCTTCAGTCTAAAAGCATATTACAATATATTATATCTGTACATTATCAAATAATATTAATTAATCATTGTCACATAACTATGGAAAAAAAGTAATATTGAAGATTTTATATATGTTTATGATACACACATACACACACACGCACATACATACATACATACATACATGTGTAACATAACAGCCTGTTGTAACTGCTATTGTTTGGTCTTCTATGACTTTTCCACAGAAATGACTGGCATTTATAACTGCAGATAACATTGTTATTTATACAAATGATCAGGATTCTATAATATTCTGTTTTATTATAAAATATATTTACCCCGTCCATTATATATGTATGTATATTTTATACAAGCCAGATCACAATCAGTTACTGGTTGATTTTCGTGATTTTTTTTTTTTGTATCTTCCCATATTTTAGTTGTATTTAGTGTTGTATCATCTAAAAGAAATATTATACAGAGAATACAAATTAATATATAATTATGAGAATATAAATATGAAAGTTCAAATTACACTCACTATATATAGGAGCTATACAAGGAATATTTTCAGGGAATATCTCATGGTCTGAGCAATCTTTTTGATTGATACTTTGCCCTACCCATGTAAATTTGAAGCATTTTTTAGAACCTGTCATATAAAAATAAATTCGGATTAAAAAAAGAAAAACTAGAAAATTGATAAACTTATAAAGCATTCAACGAGACAAATTAAATATAAATTTATACCTCATTACTCTATAACTAATTTTTTTATATCACATTCTCTATAATCCACATAGTCTTATCAAAGTAAAATTTTTTTATAATACACACAATACAGATTAAATCAAATTTTTCTTCTATATTTTTATATATAATTTATATATAATATATATATGTATGTGTATGATATATATACAATACTTGTACAATGCGGCCTGTCTTAAAACTTTATGTACGTGCATATATATGCACTTCAGTGTTCTTTACAGTCTATTCTTATCTGCTAATTAAGAAACTGCTCTCGTTATAATTGTTAGAATCTTGAATAAAAATATCGTAAATATATATTGACGGCCTGAAAACGCAGCGTTGATATTTATATCTTTATTATTATAGTGTGCGCAGTATTTATTAGATATTACGAGCCGTAAGACCGAATACTTTGTAAAGGAAAATAAATATACTTACCCAAAAGCACGTTACAGGTGCAAATTGTCAAAAGTATTATGAAATAAATCCTTTTCATTTTGATGAGTTAATTGACGCAATGATGTTATATGAATACTATTCACGTTGCTACGAAAGATTAGGAGCTTATCTGATAAATATGATCGTAATCATATAATGATATCACATTGCCGAATCGTTATCAATATAGCAAAATATTATAATACGATAATATAAAGGATAAGTAATTAATTAATTCATTAGGTATACATACAGAAAATAATGGTAAGTTGATACAATATCAAAAATTTATTATAACAACAGCTAATCAATCTTTTTGGCAAGTATAGCATTTCATCATGCAGACATACTCTCTATATTAATTAATTATATGTAGATATTTCATATAACGATATCAAATATTTTATATATATATGTAAAATTATTATATATAAAATATCTATATATATATATAATATTTATATATAATTTCACAATATAAAAAAACAATTTGTTGGAGTAAATAGATCTGTCTATAAATAGAGAATCTCCGAATCTTATAAAATTATTTATGAACTAGGAGATTTTAAGTATAAGCGTTATAAGTAATTTGTTCATTAATTATCTTTTCTTTTTTTATGAGATTACATTTCGCTAAAATTCGTCATGTCTTGTTAACGCTTCGCCAAAGTCTGTCGCCTGAGATCCGACAAATATATCGTACTTCTCTAAAATTTCATCCTTTGTGAGTTTGTGATCCGCATCTGTGTCTGCTTCGTAAATCAAATGCCTGGATTCTGCCTCTGCGTGATCAAAATCCGCGGGTATAATCCATGTTTTCACCTGTTTTGGAGCAGAATTTGAACATAGTTTTATTAAACTTAATGATGCAAAGAAATAGTTCTTGTCAAATTTTTTTGATATACATCTTTTTCTATTAATTAATTGTAAGACATGCAATATCACCAACCTCGTCGGTATTTAAGAAACCGTCTCCATCTTTGTCTCTATACAAGGAAAATTGTTCTTTTTCATTCTTCACCCATTCTGGCTCATCTTCATCCTCAGTGCCTCTGTACAAATCACCTGTTAACAAGTTGAAGTTTAAAAACCACTTTAGACTATCTTTCAAGTTTATCAAAGGATATTTATTTATATATAGATACTTTGTAATTGAAATTTTATGCATTGTTTATATTTTAAATAGATATGTTAATCATTTACCAATGTATTCTATAAGAGATATCTTTCCATCTTGATCTTTATCAATATCCTCCATTGTTTCTAGCACTATCACATCCTTCATGTGATCTACTTGTTCAGCATGAAGGAAAGAAGTGAATTCTTCCTTGGTCAGAGCATCATCCCCGTCCAAATCCGCAGCGGCCCATCTTCTGCGATCTCTTTTCTGCATATGAAGATATGAAAAAGAGTCATCATCTGATTTATCCTGTCTTTCCTTCTCATAATCATCTATATCCCCGTAAACCATCACTGAATACTCTTTCCAAGATATTTTATCTTTTCCATCTGGATTATGAGATTTCCACTGACGTTCTACATCATCCCTGATGTAGCGCTGATGTGTATACATTATCCAATCTTTAAGCTCCTCTTGTGTCACATATCCATCTTTGTCATTGTCTATTTTATCAACAATTATCCCCAATCTTCTGGTACTTTCTTCAGGAGTAAGTTGATCAAAGGTTTTAGCCTCTTCTCCAAGGAAAACATCGTGATCGTAGGCTGGATTATGTTGCGTGTTGATGTAATGATCTTCATTGCTCAAACCCTAAAAAAAAAAATATATATATATATATATAATACTAAAAAATATAAATAATACGCTTGAAAAATTCTTCAAAATTACAATCATTTCTTCATTTCTTATAACTTTAATTGTACTGTAAGAAAAATAATGTATCAGTTTCATGAATGCAAAATAATAATAAATGCATTCTTTTCTGAAAAAATGTTTTTTTTTTAACTCAATTTCGAGATCTCTAATTTTTTCTCTAACCTTGTTTATAACACGCTCCGCGTTCGGCTTTGGGATCGCCGTCGCCAGGATGGAGAAACCGAATAAAATTTGCAGAAACATGAGATGTGGCATTAGACGAAAATGTATCGAGGTGAAAAAAAAGACGGAATCATCAACTGCAAGAACTCAGCTGGAGTCGAGCGGCGTCTTTCGCGAAACAAACGCGAAGAACGAGTTTCCTTATCCGCGATCCGCGACTCTTCGGCTTCCACATCAGCAAGAGCAGCGAGACCAAACGTCACGCCCCCACTTCTTAATTTCGTGCGCGTCTTTGTACGAAGATGTACGATTCTTTCGGACGAGGAACGCTCGTTGGATGTTCGATGGCCATTGCGCCGAGAAACGAATCCGCAGCCTCCACGTTGATTCTATTAAAGGGAGCTCCGGCATTTTTTTTAAACGCGATACATATATGGAATACTTGTCGCGTATAACTAAAAGTGTTATGCTACGTAGCATGTTGTGAGACAGATGTAAATGTAGAAGGAAAATCGATATATGTAAAAACTCAATTTTGAAGATATTTGAGAAACAATTCAGAGAACAAATTATAGTTAAAAAATCACAAATTTTGGGAATTAAATCTTCGTGCAATTTACAGATTTTTTTTATTTGCAATAACAATGCATAATAAAACTTGTTCTATTTTACAGTCAATCTATTATGAATATATTTGTCGAGATGAAATAGTATTCTTGTGTAAACATTTCCTTGCAATCTGTACTTTCTCTTAATAAAGTGACAGAATGAAAATGTTGCGTACTGTCTTTATATGGACATGTAATATATGAGAAGACAGCAGTTCAAAATTTCACTTTATAGGCATTCAATTAATTTGCAAGAGTTTACTGGACAAGAATTCACAATGGATTGAATATACAATGAATGCATTACAAGCAGGTCTATTAAGGATCAAAATCAATATAATTTTAAATTTCAATTGCCCACTTGGCTTCTCTAGGAGAAAGATTTAAAGAAAATCATCCATACATTAATTACAAATATCATACTAGAGAAATTATTGAACAACATAATATTGATATCAACTGTCCAGTATCTTTATATTTAGTGTGCTGCTCCTTCTAATCTACTTCTTTGCTTTTTAGGAATTCCAGTCCTCCTGAATTCACTTCTTTCATTTAAATATTGTTCCGTACATTCTTTAATAAAATCTTGATTGTAAAACCATCTTTCCATGCACGATTTCATTATTTCATTTTCTTTTCTACACTTGACAACATGTAATACTCCTGAATCGAGACAGCAATCATGAAAATCTATAGAAGAAAAAATTACAATTCATACGCATTCTATTTATGATATGAATTAAGTAAGTTGCCTGATATAAATTAAATAATTACCTTTAACTTCACTGATACATTTTTCTGTCTTGGTTCTTTCTCGCATTATCTTTGGTATCAATACATTTTTTTCCACCTTCCTCAAGCTCTTATCATCAGGATCACCTGAAACAAAAATAACATTTATTCCAGATTTGAAAGAAAAAAAAGAAATAGGCAAAATGAACGTCAACAAATTTTGAATTATCTTAGATCTTATTGTTAGAGCTTTTTTTCTTCTATTTACATCTATAAATATAACCTATTTTACCGACAGTTTACAATTTGCCATAGCATCAACAAAGAAAAAAATTATATTTGTCCTTTACAATATTTTATTATTTGTATATTGAAATAAAAGCTTTACCTAATCCTTGCGGCCCCCCGGCAAGTTTATACGAGATCATCGAATATGTCTCCTGCATCGTATATTTCGTATTTTATCAAAAATCAAATTCCATTGACATAACTATATTTATATGTATTGCATTTACACGAGTCAAGTTTCAGAGGGCGTGACAAACGTTGGTCAACCCGAAATACATGGGAGTTTAACGTCTCTCCTTTCCTCTTCCCTGCTCTCCTCGTCAAGCAATACTGACAACAGGCTGCGCTCGTGATTATGCACATTTGAGGATTGTCAAACGGTGAGACTTGGAGAGGAATGGTCATTCGGTTCGTCCCGACAAAAAAGGAATTCTTGTTACTAGTCATCGTAAGAGTAACTTGTATTTTATTCGATTCAAGAATCGCCGGAAGATTCAGAATAGAGACAGGGTTCTTTTCTTAACCTTTAAACATCCGCATCATCATGACGCTTGAAGGATCTATGTATGGTAATTATATTTCTCGAATATTTTCAGAGTGTAGAGTTCAATTGACACATCAAAATGGACCGACTATTACGGCTAGGCGGTGGAATGCCGGGTTTAAATCAAGGACCACCACCCTCCGATGCACCTGTTGTTGACACAGCTGAACAGGTATCCATCATTTATATACTTGTATTTTTGTTCTCTTCGTATTCCCTTCAGTTTATTTGGTTCTTATAGGTATACATATCATCCTTGGCGCTCTTGAAAATGCTTAAGCATGGTCGTGCCGGAGTACCGATGGAGGTGATGGGTTTAATGCTGGGAGAATTTGTTGATGATTACACTGTTCGCGTTATTGATGTCTTTGCTATGCCACAAACAGGAACGGTAAATATTAAAATGCATTGAAAGATAAATATTAAATAAATATTAAAATGCGTTTTTATGACACTACGTATGTATTCTTATTCTATGTTATTTCAGGGTGTCAGTGTAGAGGCGGTAGATCCAGTGTTTCAAGCAAAAATGTTGGATATGCTGAAGCAGACCGGTCGGCCGGAAATGGTAGTGGGCTGGTATCATTCTCATCCAGGTTTCGGTTGCTGGTTGTCCGGAGTGGATATTAACACTCAACAATCCTTTGAAGCTCTTAGCGAAAGAGCTGTAGCTGTTGTCATTGATCCTATACAATCTGTGAAAGGAAAAGTTGTCATTGATGCATTTAGATTAATTAATCCAAACATGATGGTAAGTGTATGCTCGTGTCGATCGTATGTCTCTTGATCGTTATCCTAGATATTATGATGATTACAGGTCTTGGGACAAGAACCAAGGCAGACAACATCGAATTTAGGCCATCTACAGAAACCATCAGTTCAAGCGCTGATACACGGATTAAATCGGCATTATTACAGTATTAGTATTAATTATCGTAAGAACGAACTGGAACAGAAAATGCTGCTAAATTTACATAAAAAGACATGGATGGATGGTTTGACCCTTGCCGAATATTCAGAGCACAGTCGACTCAATGAGAACATCGTTTCTGAAATGCTTGAACTTGCAAAGAATTATAACAAGGTGAAATAGTGTGCAATAATTTCAAAACTTCACAAATATATGATGGAGATATTTCAAATTTAATATCTTTATAGGCTTTGGAGGAAGAAGAAAAAATGACACCTGAACAGTTAGCAATAAAGAATGTGGGCAAGCAAGATCCAAAACGACATCTTGAAGAAAAAGTGGATACGCTAATGGCTACAAATATCGTCCAATGCTTGGGAGCTATGCTTGATACAGTTGTATTTAAATAATTTCTCGATATACCATTCGCAATATATTTAAAAGAAATATACATCTTTTTAAAATAAAAATACTATACTTTTTATATTCACAACTATGCAAACAATTAATAGGCGTTATGAATTTCGTATAAATTTTTATTGAAGATATATATTATCTTTATGAATCTGATGTATAGTGGACTGAATATTACAAATTGTAAATCACGATATAAATGTTTAATGAACAAAAGAGGAGTTCATAACAGACACATAGGCTGCATTCGCTTTGTACGCTTATGCGCTGTGAGCATCATTCTGTCTTTATTACACATCGAATATCAAACGAAGATAGAGCGATGCTTTCAGCGCTAAAACCATCAAAACGAACGCAGCCATAGTGTCAGTTCATACTGATAATGAAGTAATATACAAAAGTGGAATAAGAGCTTATCAAATGTAACATTAATATTAATTAATAATTAATATAAACATGTAATATTAATTAATAATTGAATATTGGAATATTTGAGAATTCTTAAATTCTAAAATCTTATACTATTATCAATTGTGTTCATATAGTAGTGATTTATACAAATTTGTGTTTTAAGGGAACATGTTTTTTACTACAAATACGTATCAGTGACATAAAAATATATATAATTCTTGTCTTCATGATTAAAAAGAATATATATGTACAGTAAACTCTCTTATTTTTATCTTTAGCTTTAATAGATTGATAAAATTGATACAAATTGTAATTTGGAATATTTTACATTGGAATTTATATCTAAAAAAATTTAAATACAATAAGGTGTCAACAAATATAAAGAACAATATAAAAAGTTTTTAGATTTTTTTATATTCTTAAAATATAAATTTTAATAAAATCGAGAAGTTACTGTACAATATATAAAACTAGAAGTGGATTCTTAAGCTAGAAAATGTAACGTATAAGGTTATAAAGAAAATAATTTTATATTTTATATAACAATTATCTAATTCTTTTTTTTTGTATGCAAAAGTCCATCTAACTCGGTGTAGGTTCTCGATTTTTATCCTTTTTCTTCTTCTTTTTCTTTTTCTCTTCCTTTACTGGAGACTCCTATAATATATACCATAACAATATAATAATACATATATATAAATATTCTCTGATTACATATTCAAATTAAAATCGTGATCTAATTACCCCACTAGCACCTTCTTCTATTACCATGGACTCTTCACCTTCCGTATGTTGCTTTTCCTTTTTTTTCTTTTTCTTATCTTTTTTCTCCTTCTTTTTATCTTTTGGTGATGATAATTCTGGTGATGCTTCTTCTTGTTTCACACCTGTATCTGTTACACTTGCTGTATCATCTTCTCTTTTTCTTTTTTTAGAGCTAACTTCACCATTTTTTTCTGTCTACACATTTATTTAAATATTAATTATAAATTATTTGAATATTTTATAACTTGCCACATATTCTCATGTATAAAACATTTATTTATTAAAAGAAAATATTTAAAAAATTACTAAGTAGTAAGTAATTAAAATTCACCTTAATTTCCTCTGTTGAGATTGCTGTAGTTGCAGAATAATCAGTGTAATTTTGTAACCAACCTGTAGGTGTGTTTTCATTTGGTTTTCCATACTTATCTAAGGTCCCTTCAAGTATCATACGTTTTTTTTGCAATGCTTTAGGTCCTAAACCCCACTTCCTCGGATATGAATCTCTCTCCATGATTACCCTTTTGATTTTGGCAGCCACTCCATGATCACAAGCAGCCATAGTTGGAGAGGTCATCAAAGCTATAGCTAAATATAAACATATAAATGAAAAATTATTTATAAGTATTGTTTTATTACAAAAATAAATGTGAAATATAAATTTTAAATTTCTTTTATGAATTGAATATAGCAAATATTCTAATATGATATTGCAAAAAATTGAATAATGTACAACATCGAGTGTAAAATTATTTTGAAAATATATCTACCAAGTGCAACAGCTTCGCCTTTAGTAGTCACAATTACAATTTCTTGATTTAACTCTATTCCTTGATCATACATTATAACGCCTGGCAGCATTATTTTAGCTCCATAACAAATTGCATTTACCTACAAATTTATAACATAGCACCATTAAATAAAAATATTGTTTTAATAAATATTAAAAAATTAAAAAACCTCTGTCCTTGGTTTATTAATTGAGATTTATTAATTAAGAAATAAAAGAATACATACAGCACTGTCCTTCAAGATGACCCTCTTGTGATTCATTAATAATACTTCCAATGGTTTTATAACTCTCCTTAGATAAGATTCATCTCCATGATTATCATACAACCATTGGGCATCAAGAATATCATGCATTGTAACCATTGCATCTTTTTCAGACTGAACACCGGAACGGATCCTTCGAAGTTCTTGCATATTGGCACCAGTACCTACGTAGAGTCCGAGATGGACACACATAGTTCTAATGTATGATCCAGCCTCGCAACTCACACGAAAGACTCCCATATTAGTTTCCTTGTTGTAATCAAGCAATTCATTTTCGTATACTGTCCTAACGCGAAGCTGTCTTTTGACCGCCGATATCAATGGCGGTCTTTGAAAAAGAGCACCGTGCAACTTTTCCAATGACTGTTTCACCTAAATCATCATATGACATTAACGTATGATATCGCACGTGTATGCTTGTGCAAGATGAAATTCTGATAACTTACCTTTAAAATACTTTCTGGTGCAGAGTGAAGTTTAAACACAGCAACATACTCCTTTCCAGCAGACTGTTGTGACTTGGCTAATCTCGTTGCTCTGTCTATACAAACTATCAAACATCCTGATACTTTAGGATCTAATGTGCCTGAGTGACCAGTCTTCTCTACTCTTAAAATCCTCTTTATCCAAGCTACCACCTCATGCGACGATGGATTACATGGCTTGTCCAAATTGATGCATCCTGACTTTATGTACTCTGATAAGCTACGATGGAGTGGAGTGGAACCACTTGTTAAAGGTGTGAAATGTTTCGTGCGTGTCAGCATTTTGTCGAAATTCTGCAATAAATAAATGAGAAATTTTTTCTCATTAATTATATCTCGTCTGATTATTATTAATATATAAAAAAGTATTTATGAAAATCAAATCACTGACCTTAAACAATAGAGGCCAATCTTTATATTCCAGTTTGACTTCCACAAGGGAAGGTTCTATCTCGCATTTCATTTTCCTTTGAAGTTCGCCGAGCGATGGCTTGTTCTTCTTACTCTTATCTGCAACAAGACCAATAATAACCTATCATATTAATCCGTATAGAGTTATGTATAACAAATGTTTGTTTCTTCAATTAAATTCATCAGAGCAAATTTAGTGCGCAAAAGCTATCGGTCCGTCAGAGTCTTTCGATATTTCCGATAATACTATCATTTTAATTGATCGTGAAACTAAGCAAAGACACGTGTATATCATGAAGTACTGCAAGATGGAAATCATAACAGAAACCACGCGGCCGGAGACGTTGGAGACGATCATAATAACATGAGAAAGTACGAGCATGTAAAATTAATTTTGGAAATAAACGATCTTACGAAACACATGCAAAAACAACAAATATTATTTACCGTCTTCTGCCATTTTTAAGTTAGCGTGACGTTACACGTGCAACCTAACATCCAACTTGATCCAACATCCAACTCCCAGTGAACGCAGGATTAATTTTCCGGAATTGAGTATCGAATAAAGTTAAATAGAGGAGCAAGCGAACATAGATTTCAAGTTTGCGCTCCAAAATCTATTCGAAATAGTGCAACGGTTGATTGACCAATCAGAACAAAGGATTTTCTTACTTTGATTGAATGTCAAACCGCCAGTTGGCGTTTGTGTCTCCATTGAAATCTTGAAATGTATTGGAAATAATCGCAACATCGAGTCTATCAAAGTCTCGTGATGTATGTATAGAAAAATCGATTTAAAAATTTTTCGAAATTTTCTTGGTAATATAAATGCCTTTTCCAATTTTTATATTGAAATAAATATTATAGCTAATAGAATCATTTTTCTGATAAATTTTCATATATATGTTATTTGAATATTTATTGCAATAAAAAAAGCACAAGTCTATCGTCTATCGTAATGTCATAAATCAGCTGATAGTCGTAGTGTTAGTGTGTCGGCCATATCACTAATACTTATATCAGAGATACTTATATCAGAGATAAACTGCTTATATGGATTGTAAACGATTAGGTGTACATACATGCAAGTAAAAAATTGGAGAAAGTAAAAGATAACAGGGAATAAAGATGCTGGATCTGTGCTGGATTCACTGTCATAGGAAAGAAATAGAAAAGTATATATACTCGTAACTACAATTTGGTTTGCTCTATTTTTAACATCGGATATGAATCAAGATACTAACATATCGTTACTCCCGACTAACATTAATCCAGTCGTTAGTTTATCATGGATGAACAAAACGTCAAAATATTAATTTTTCCCCTATCGATGTTTCGGTTCCGGTCAAGATCAGGGACCGTATCGATTGCACGGACTAACAACATGAAACATTCTCGTGAAATTTTTACACGACCCGACTACCATCACGAGAGCTTATTAATACAGATGCAGCGAGCAGACAAAGTTATTTTGGGCGTGTGCCTGTTAACCCTAAAAAGAGACCCTACGCAGACATAGATGATTTTAATATTGCCCATCACCCATAGCCCCAACATTCTGGGATTATAATATATTAATAATATACTAATATCATTTAAACATGGATCCAGATTCCACAGAGATGGCAAACGAAGTCAAGAACAAAGTCATACTACACTGGAACTGTCGAGGTCTTGTGGAGTTTCCAGAAGTAATAAGATCGCATGGAAGTCATATTCAAGAGATATATCTTAAGTGGAACAAACTTACCACCCTACCATCCTGGATCATAGAACTGTTTAATGTAACAAACTTATATATGTATGGCAATTTGATTGAACAATTGCCTATGGAACTTGGTCAAATGAATCAGTTGACTGTATTGGATCTAAGCGCCAACAAATTGGAGCAAATACCTTCCTGTATTGGTAATTTAAGCAATCTAAAGTCCTTATTCGTAAATGACAACTTTGTAGAAAGATTACCAGTTGGTAAGTTTTGCTACTAAGGATTACTAGGTATATGTTTTATCATGAGAACAAAAACTTTATTGATTTATCTGACAATCAAAAACAGAATTGAGCAAACTGAGAAATTTGGAAATACTATCTGTCTCCGGCAATCAGATTGTTGCGCTACCAGAATGGGTTGGTTCCCTGCCAAGACTTAAAGAATTGTATATAGATAACAATCAGCTAAGAGAATTGCCTAACAGATTGACATTAGCTCCTGAACTTGCCATGATCTCTGTGTGTTCAAACAGGTTATTATATTAACAAAATAGACATTTTATAAAAAGATATAAGAAAGTTATATATATATATACATTCTAACAGAGATTAATTTATATTTTTTAGCTGTATATAACAAATGTTTATTACAGGCTGAGATATTTACCATTGAATGGATTTTTATCAGCTCCTTGTATTCGATTTGATGCAAATGAATACTTAAATTATGTGTCATATCCACTTCTACTTCAATTACTTTCACAACTTCGGACGACGATTGTACACGACAGAAACAATTTAGCATTTGGGTAAATTCTTTAAAAATATTAATAATCAAAATATGTCCGCATTATATAACTGAAATATAAGTCCTGAGCTTTTTCTTTATTGCATATACACAAAATAATTTTATATAATTCATCTGTGTGTGTGTATATATGCAATCACAGGTGTTTTAAAACGCATTATGACACTACTGTGTTAAATACAAATATGAAATTGTATATAGAGATGAGGGGTTTGTATGAAATGGACGCCGATGTTATAATCGAATTACCACGACAGCTTTTAAAAATTCACAAAGTTCATGAAAATACAACTTGTTCTCTGTGGGAATTAGCGCTGCGAAGAATTTATGTCGAGCGGTAATTAAAAAATACTAAAATACCAGAAATATCTACCTTTCCAATTTCAGAGAAAATATCATAATTCAACATAATTATATTTTAGATATAAACATACACTCGATGTGTTCACTTCTCCTCCGAACGTGACGATAATCTACGAATCACTTCCTAAAAATATTAAATTAGACTTTACATTATTTTCTACAAATTATACTTTATACAATTTATTAGTGAATGGACCTGCCAGTATCTGTATAAATGCACAGTGTCAGCAACCTATATTTACAGAAGCATGGATCATTATCGGTATCAGCCGTTACGCAGAATCCATGATAATGATAGCTTTATGTTGTAGCAAAAGGTAATATATAAAATAATTGTATAGTACCTGAGTATATATCAGTTTATAAGTCTTTTCCAACTTTTCAGTTGCGCTACTGCATTTGCTACACACTCGAATACGACTATCAAGCTTCATTGGCACTCAATCAATTGATGAATTTTCTTCATTCAAATATTGATACTTGATGCATTTTAATCAAATTAATGCATTTCTGTATATAAAAAAATTAGGAAAATAAAAAATATTCTTGTTTGTTGAAATTTTGCAACAATACTCTGTAAATTAAATCTCTAGTTTGCTATGTAATTATATAATTTATTCTACAGCATTTGTCAATATTGAATGTTTTATTTGATAATGCCGAATAAGGAATTCTAAATCCATGACATAATATAACATAGATTAAATTAAATTAAATTAAATAAAATAATTAAATTAAATTAAATTAAATTATTATAATATCATATCGTAGAATATATATAGCTTTATCTAAATATTATTTAAGACTAGTCTCATTGTGAATATTGTTTTTTTTTATTAAAATATACCTTATGATTTTGAGATGCGATGTATCTTGCATGTAATGTTTATAAAAAGTTAAATTTCTTTTTCCTTTTTAAATTCCATTTCTATTTTCACATAAAATCGAGTCGCGGAAAATATTCTCTCGTCTCTCTATATATATATTTTCTCTATATATATATATTTTTACTCAAGCAATCAGAAGATCTAAAGCTTTGTCGCGGTCGAAATTACACTTCACTAATGCCGCGGAGACTTCATCTTCGTGGAATCCTAGATCTTTCAATGTACATAAATTTTCGTAATAGATTCTTGCTTTGGATTGATCATGCTGCGTAAGCGTTAGTGCTTTCTCGGCGTAGTTATTCGGGATACCGTTCTCCTCCAGAGATTGGATTGCCAATAAGTATTCTACGATCTTTTTCTCGTGTACACGACCCAACTCCAACACTGCGCGTGCTGCTCTGCATTTAGGAAATCCCATGTCACTTAACTGCATCACTAACTTTAAATCGTCCTCCGTCATATTCGACAGCGTGTCCGCTGGCGATTTCGTGTGATTCGATGATATCCCATTATCATGTCTCAAAGTTGCACACCCATCACTATCTGGACTCTCTAAATCAGGCCATGGCTTCCAATTCTGTTGCAAGAACAGAAAAGAGTGAAAATTAATTAAGTTAAAATCAATTATAAAGTATATATTCTACAAAGAATTCTACAAAAGATTTTGTTATCACCTCCATAACAGGCCGTTCCAAATCCTTTTGAAGATCCTGCATTATTGCTGAAACACTACGATAATTTTCAACATTAGCTAGTTCATCCTCATCGGTTTGACTATCCACTGGAGTTTTCACGTCGTCAACTTTCTCTTCCTTGGAAATTTCCGAAGTATCATCGATTGTTAATTCATTTATAATATTTTCCAATTTTACTGCAGGTATCCATTCTGACCTAGGTTGTAAAACCTATATAAAAATAAAGATATTAAGTGCAAAACAATTTCAAACATCTATAAAAAACACCTATAACACACATAATCATTTACTAATAATATTTATTGATATTAGACAAGAAAATTATAACTATGTAGAGTATTAGTTTTTCACCTGTGCTAATTCCTCCATATCATTGATAGTTTTTAGTTCCATATTATCAAAGGGGCTGCTTGTGTCATTATCGAAATCGGCAAAATCCAGATCTCCATTGGTTTTTGCATGATCCTGAAGATCATTTGCCGGAGGTGACAAAGGTTGAGGTGTAAGTATTGTAGTTTCTGGAGCAGCTGCATTAATAGGCAATTGTTTCACACAGTCCAGTGGTGGTGACGGAGGAGTTTCCTTTCTTTCCTTCTTTCTCTTTTCTTTCAATCTGGCTTGAAGCGCTTTACTGTAGGCCTGTCTAGCCTTACGCCATTCGCATATCTGAGTACAAATTAATTTATTCAATCAAAAATAGGTTCTAAATGACAAACGCGAGTTATCAATAAAATTCTTTATGTGGAATATTATATAGAACATTAAAGTACTATGCGTCTAATATAATGATTACCTTTTCAAGTACTGACTTTTCCAAGCTAAAATCATATGTCAACTTTGACACATCAGGCAAACGATTATTGTACGCCGCTGGCAGACCAAACTTTCTCGGTGGTTTGTAGGCCTCCGCGATTTTGACATGAACACCATCCATATACGACGCGACTGAATCGCATTGTGCCGATGCAGAAGCTCGAGCCATTATTTCCTGGACAGGGGGAAAACAATAGGAAATAACCTGCCAAAAGCTCTCGTTTTATTCGATCGCACATGTCCATCGATACATCACGTACGTATAATTACAGTTTAATTGAGTATCAGATCGAAATTCGCTAGATATTCCGTTAATATCTGAAATGGCAAAAATACGCTAGTATTTGACAGATCGAAATAGTCTGACTGTCACTATTATTCGCCATATTGCTTTTTAGCAGAGATTCAAACCTTACTTTCAATCAGCAAATTCAAATCCTAGTTTATCATAAGGTTCGAATCTCTGCTAAATAAAATTTTTTTACTTCCTGCAATAATCTTCATTTAATATAAAGCCTTGCAGAATGCAAAGAAATAATAATTATATATATATATAAAATTTTATCTAATTTTATTTTATATATTTTTCATATTATTAACAATTTGTGTCAAATGTATTGTCAATCACAATATAAATTTACTTAAAAATACCTAAAAATACATACTTTCGCAATTTGTCTTTAATTTAATATTACTGAAATATATATATAATATTAATATTATATAAGATATATCATAAAAGCAGGTAATACTTTTGTACTATGAATGTTGTAAATATCCTATTATACAGTAATAAAGTACAAATATGCAGCTTGTCCAATTATACATTATTATCCAATTTATATGCAAGTCCTTCTAAATTATATACAAATAAATTAACTAATAGCAAATATTCTAGATAAATTAGCTAATAGCAATATCTTAAATCTTTCATCGTAATAGAGGAATCTGAATGTGGCTGGATCTTCTGTCAGATTGTGTCTCTAATATAATCTTAGGTTTAATGTCATTAATGTCTAGTTCCTTTTGCTTTCGCTTGGCTTCAAAAGATTTCATGTATGCAAGGAAACAAGTCCAAATCAAACTGCATACACTGACGTACACAACGCGGTTCCGTTCCGGAATCAGGATGAAATTGATGGTTTGCAGAATTGGCCATACACAAATGCCAATCTAGAAGAAAAATAATCTTTCATTAATTTCCTTAATTTCATGATCAAAAACTTATATATTATGAGAAGTGGTACCTTGTATGTTGGCCAGAATTTAATTTTGACTTCCTCAATGCATTCCGAAACTGGCTTTAATTCAAGAAAACTCATGCCAAAAAAGAAGGAACACATAGCTGCAGGACTATACGTAACTTGCTCAACCAAAGCCTGTAATTATTTTTTTATTAATTAATTATTAGTCATTTAATCTTATTTTTTTTACATTTTTTATATAAATGAATTTGAGAAAATTTACAAGATTAAACCGCATATAAAATGTTATACATATTCCTATATGTATGTGTACCTTAGTGATTGCAGACTTTAAATTTGCTTTCGGCCAAAGATAAGATGCACATTTCAGCCAGCAGTACAAGGTAGGTGCCACATAAAGGCCACCGTACAAACTAAACCGCGCAGCCTCTGCATAATTAAATTCCTCCTTTCCTATTATTTTCTGTTGCAACAGGCATCCGGTTGGCCATATAATCGAATAAGACACCATACCTCGAATGATCGGGTATTTGTGCGAGATTTCGCGAAATTTCACGAATATTATTCGCATTTCTAATATGCTCCTGTTTACAGAAATACAGAAATCTTTTAAAATTATTGAGACCCGGTTGCACTAACGTTATTTCAACTTTAAGTGAAACTTAAATATATGTCTATCTTTATTTATTTAGAAAGAAAAACAAAGATAGACGTATATTTAAGTCTCGCTTAAAGCTGAAATAATGTTGGTGCAATCGGGCCTGAATCATTCAACCAATATTATTTTAGGTTTAAGCGAAATTTAAATATATGTCTGTCTTTATTTATTTAAAAAGAAAGATAAAGATAGACATATATATAAGTCACGCTTAAAGCTAAAATAACGTTGGTGCAACCGAGCCTTAAACTCTTTGAAAAAGAGCGTGGATTTGAAACAACGCGCCAAAAAATATGTACAGTCTTTCCAAAAGAAACGCACGAGAGAAAGAAATATTTCGAGGAAAAGAGGCGAATAATGAGTTCATTGGAATCGCTTTGAGTTAATTTTAGAGAAAATTACATCATCATCGGTGTCAGATTGTGACAATTTTAAAAAAAGAATTATATCTGTACACATATCTCGATACTTTTTCAAAAAGCCCTCTTTATCTATAGGTTTATTACGTCATAGATATGGAGTTGGAAGCACGAGAATTTACCTTCCGCAGCGTTACCGAGAACAAAGGACCGAGCGAGGGGCACCAAGTTGCAAGATTCGTCGGCGGACGCTTTCGCTGCTAGTTTGACAGATCGCAGCGTTGTATGTGTCGGTGTGTGATTGTTGTGGCGAAACGGATCGGTGCATCTGGAACGTGGTATGTCCTGCTCTGACGCGACGTCGACGACGACTGACAGTCTCCGCGTGATCATCCAGAACACGCGATCATCGATGAGACGATGACGAAATCGCTCAGGATCCATTCTTATCTGTCCTTGGTACGCAACCTACTGCTTTTCCGCTGAATCAATCGCGTTGCGAAATCAGCTGATCTATATTACACACTTTCCCTGATAACGTAGAGCTTGTGATAATGTCGGTAATATTGATATACGCGCGATTATTTGTAATTTCAATTATACTGAGTCTTTGTTTTTATCTAGAATCGATAAATCTATTTAATATATAGATAATCTGATGAAAATAATACAATTTCTTATAGTCGTATATTCAAATATATCAAATGAGATATATGAGCTATTATTCTAAGGAATACATTTAATGATCCCTTGTCACATTGAAAGATGTACTGTGCATAAATATAAGTAAATACATGCTTTGCTGGCAATGTATATAAAGATGTGTACTTAACTGATAAAATATTTAAAAATGCAAGATATTTGCTCAATTATATACAATGTATATTATATTTATTTCTATGTAATAGTATTCATAGAATACCTCAGAGAGATATGTGTATGTAAATTCTTATCAAATATAACATTTGGGAAAAGCTTACTTTATGACAATATTACATAAATATGTATGTTCTCTTTGATTATATCAGTATAATCAGACTTCTAAATTATTTTTGGATAGCAATATTTATAAAGCAAGCTTGTGTGATAATTCAACTTAAAATTACAAGGATGATATTAGAGCTGGTAAGTGTATATAAAAAGACTTCTTTAAAACTTTACATTACTCTCAACACTGTACAAAATAAACAGTAGCCAAAACAGATTGTTATTTTGCTATTTGTGATTATACTAAGATATCTTTACAATGTCTCACATGTTAGCTTTTCACGTTTTTAATAATAAAAAAATACTGTATATCTCAATGATTGTGTGATCCATTAATTTCCCTAAAACTATATGCACAAATTCTTTATATCAAGTTTGCCAATAATTTTACATACTGTTGGCACAGTCCATTTTGTAAATGAAAACTACACTAACCCAACTCATTACGTCGTAATATCAAATAAATCACAAACACCCTCATTTTCACTAAGATTGAAGTGATAATCTTTTTCCCCTGGAGGTGGACTTAATCTCACCAATGGTCCGCAAACTATAAATAAAAAGTAGATAAATTAAATAGTGTTCCAAATATTACAAGAAATATAAAATTGGACTTACAGTCAGAATAGAATTGGTCAAGTAATTCCAAATCTGTTTGAAAGATATCTGTAATAAAATATTTAATATCTTAAAAATGCATATTTACATAGTAAAATATATTTGTAACAAATTAAATTAATTAAGTTTTGAAATTTAAATCATACAAAATAATTTTACCTGCAGTGCTTACATCACGCAGAACTATCTTGGCTTCTATCAATTCTTGATCTTCTTCTTCCTCATCATCCGTTAATACTGGACTCTGCGGTTTCATACTGCTTTTTGGCGGCCTATTAAAATAAATTGTGTTCAATATGTTCATGCAATCATTTTAAGAAGCAAATATAATATATAAATGTATATTTTGTATCAAATGAATAGCTCAAGCTTGATAACTATTCATCCCCATTACAAAATCAATTGGCATAATTACCAATAATACTGTTTGCTCTGTGCAGATCAAGAATATTATTTTACTATTCCTGATACGATCAGAGCATATATATGTAAAAATATATTTGCAAATGCAACAAATTTCAATACCTGCCAACTTTCCTCTTTGGTTTAACAGTAACTTCTTCCTCTTTTTTTTCATCTTCCTCATTTCCACGCTTTATACCTTTCGATACTTCTTTTAATCTCATTTCTAACACTTTATTATCATAAGTTTTAGCTAGTTCAGGTTGAACCATGTATACTTTAATTTCTCCCGAATTACTCTTCAAGTACATATTATAGCTTATCACTGCATCATCTTGTGTACCAGTCTATTGAATATATGTAAGACAAGAGGATATACGAGATATTTTAATATGTGCTAATATTAAATATTTTTCAGATATTGTTTAAAAAATACCTTCAAAACATTTGGTACTGTTAATTCCGTGTCTGGAGGAGCTTGAATTCCTAGTACAAATTGATCAAGAAAGTTCTCCTTGACATCCTCATAAGTGATATACGCATATTTCCTATTTATCATATCATTTTCTATATTTTTTATACTCTGCTGAATCCACCGAGTATGAGTGTCTAGAAGATGCTCGTGATCCTCCAGTTTCCTGATCTCCTCCTTCAAGTCTGTCAATTTCTCCCCAACCTCTTGAGTATTGCAACCAGGTCCAGCACCCCTTCAACAACAATTTACAAAATAGTAATAAGGAAAAGAGAAAGAGAACAACAGTTTATAGGAGATAAAGTTGAGGAAAAAAAAACTTACTTCCATTGGATGCTATTTTTGCTCTTCTTCTCTATGAGACCGATACCCTCGAGGACGTTTGTGATGTCGTAAATGCGTCGTTTCTGTCGCACCTCCAGGAGATCCGCGGCCTGAAACACGCGTCGACGACACGATCAATGATACTTTATCGTTACGGGAGTCCAAGTGCGTTCTGTGGATTAGGTTAGGGCGAGATTGCATGTCACGATGTCGAGATACGAGTAATAACGTAGCCGGCCTGCGGGGCCAAAAATCGGCGCCGCGTCTCACGAGGATTCCCGGACGAGAATATCCGCGCGATCGGGACTCGGTCCAGTGGGCGGACACGGACGCACTTGTTTCAAAATTCCCGCAACCCAGATATGGCGTGTATTCGCCCGCGATAACTTAACCTAGTGTTCAGGTTAACTCCACCTCGATGCCCTGTGCGCGACAAGTTGAATTACTCACGACTTTCAAATCCAGCACGCCATCCTTGGCTTTCTGCAGCAGGGTGACGAAGCGGGTGGTCAGCAATCCCAGGGACTTCTCGAAACGGCTCTGCTGATTATCTGCCATTATCTCGCTCGTTGTCAAAATTTTCAAAACTTGCTAGTCCCTTCGAAATTGCCGCAACACCACGGACGCCATCCTAGTCGACGTGCAACGGCTATTCAAATATGACCGCGTCTCTACCGTCGATAACAAATTTCCGCCAATTGAATGACGGAAGAAATCGAATGGAATCGCGCGTAAAGTTGTTCGAAATTTCTTTCGAGATTACTTTTTCGGAATTTATTATTCTTCATTAATTCTGCATAATTCTTATAAATTCTATAAAGAAAATAAATATCTATGAAGAAAGCTATGAAAAATTATTCTATGTACTATCATTATTTTTCTTTCAATCTATTTGTATAAATAGAATGAAATTTTACATACAAAATTTTACATATAATTTCATATAAAAAATTTCTAAAATTTTCTTACACTAATGATTTACTATATATTTACAATAAAAGATATATATAATATATATGTATGTATATATATATATATATATATATATATATATATATATATATATAATTTCCTTCGAGATTACTTTTTCGAAATTATATTATTCTTAATTAATTCTGGATAAATTGTCTTATAAATTCTATAAAGAAAATAAATATCTATGAAGAAAGTTATGAAAAATTATTCTACATACTATCATTATTTTTCTTTCAATCTATTTGTATAGAATAAAATTTTTACACATAAAAATTTTTAAAATTCTTACGCATAAAAATTTTTAAAATTTTCTTACACTAATGATTTATTTTATTTACTATATATTTACAATAAAAGATATATATAATATATATAAGAATGCCCCCTTCTTTCTCTCTCTTATTATATATTTTTATATTCCACTTATATATTTTATTTTTGTAGTATTTTAAATGTGTAAAAATATATAAATAATAATATTTAAAAAATTCCAAATACATGATGCAACAATAAATAATCTTAGGGAAAAAGAAATTCATTGGTGACAGTTGGCTCTGGACTTTGACTGGAACTAGCGGAACTAAGAGTCTCATCTTTTATTTTTAAAGCAGATGAATCCTTGTCCTTTTTATTATCCTTCTCTTTATCTTTACCTTTATCCTTTTCTTTTTTCTCCTTCTCCTTATTATGCTTATGGTCATGTTTATGCTTATGCTTATGTTTGTGCTTTTTCTTATCCTTTTTCTTCTTTTTACTCTGTAAGAGAAGTACAGTAATATATTATAAATCTATAGTATTCATAATTCGTTAAGAATATACATATAATATATATATTGTATAAAAATATCTTTTATTATACAAAAGGCATTATATACCTTATTGGCAGAATCACTTTTTGCTTTATGCTCTTCCGAATCCTTTTTAAACATTCCTGGTTCAAAACCTACTGGACCAGGAGTTCCCATAATACCAGGTAACGATGCAGAATTATCGCTATAATACTCAGACTTTACTTTTCCTTCACCAGGAATTGGTATTCCCCGTTCATCCGTTTGCTGTATAAGAAATAGAAATTTGATTTACGCTGATAGCGACAAAAGAAAAGAAAAAAAAAATCATTTCTTATACATTGTTTGTCATCTTCTGTCGTTTTACTTCCGTCCCATGCTCTGCTGAATTTGGTGGGCCAGTAGCATCCCTATTTGGAGATGCTTTTCTCTTGTTTGGAACAGGAGAGTTTTCAACTTCGTCAATTGATTCATGTCTTACATGTTGCACTGGTGCAGGTTTTATCTAAAATAGAAAATGTATTACGATAAAAAAATTTATAATTATATAAAACGCAGAAATGTGTTGAATTAATATCTCACTTCACGTTCAGGACTTGGCGGGCCAACTTTCTTAGGCTTAATAATCGTTGCGAGTTCGGGAATAGGAAGACAAAATGGAACTTTTATGCCATACAAAGCATAATATAAATCCACTAAATCGCAACGCAGTTTTGCATCGTGCGACAACATGCCGCTATATAATAAAATTATATGTTAATTAATTGATTAATACATGAAAAAAAACTGAAAAAAGATTGCCATACTTGATCAAGTTCCAGATACGGTCTACTAAATCTGGCCTATCCAGGCGATGTTTGTGAGCTCTTTCGAATGGTGGATTTTCTACCATTAAACGCACAAGCCTGTGACGTACACCAGGATGCGGATCCATTTCCGCCATGTCCAATAGGAATTCCAAGTCCTCCCACTTGCCGTCTACGCGAGTAAAATCGACCAAAGCTTCTAAAGCCGCGATTCGAACGTCTGGAAAATATTAATTAATTATTAAGAGTTTAATTATTTATTAATTATTAAGAGTTTCGAAATTAAAAAGAGATATCAATATAATTATTGAAGTTTAAAATGTTCGTATGCTATAAATTTATACCTATAAATTGTCCGTATGCTGCATATGCTCTAAAAATATGAGGATTGCTTGGAAGATGACCAAACTTTTGTAGAATACGTATGACTTTCAAGCAAGCTACACTGACTGTATATTTGTAGCAAGGTAATAATTTTTCCAAGTTCAAATTTCTCGTCACTTCTTCTAAAATGGCTTTTGTATCAATTGATAGAGATTCTGCTGTGATAGCTGTTCTGTAATAAAATAAAAAGTTATATATGATAATTAACTTTATACCAGAATTATTGCTTAAATTGATAATCGGCAATCTTCGATTCTGAACAGTCATCTCAAACTGAGAGATTTGGTAGGAGAATTTATTTGCGATAAGATGCAATAGACTTTGAATGGTACATTAAAAATTTACATACAATGTCTTCTAGAAATAAGACTGCAGTCTCCTGTCGCGGATAAAACCGCCTTCAAAATTACATACATGTATGTATATTTTTATCAGATAATCATCTACAATATATATGAATAAAAATTCGAGTGTCATACCCTTGTTGCACACTAATAACCGGTGTAACAGTCGCACCTAAAGCCTCTATCAGTGCGGCTCTGTAATAATTGTCGGAATATCTATTTTTGCTGTTGTCATTATACTTGAAGAGATCCATTAAGAAAGATAAAACTTCCGGTGGACAAATACCATGGGCATTACGTAATCCCGCCATTGCGACCGGTATGGTCTGTGCACAAAGATTTAAAATTCAGAAGAAAACTAACTCATAATTAAAATAGATATATAATGCATAACTCGCGAAATGTTTATTAACCTTTTGTAGAAAATAATGTTGAAAATTTGAAAAGTTGTTCTGTTTAATAATTCGCCGACAGGACGCCGATCCAAATAACTTTCTAAATATGGCTAACATTGCCGGTGGACCCGCCCACGTTGCTACCATAGCATTAGCTACCTGTAAACATATATATGTATATATACATATGTAAAATTGAATTAAAGAAGTAAATATTTAATAACTGACACTCACCTTCGTCAAACAATGGGCAGCGCGCAGTCTAACTTTATAATAACAATGTTCATTTTCGATCGTATCGGTCAATGCCAATCGCGTGGCAGGTGTCGAATGATGCTGCAAAGCTACTATAGCTTCTAATTGTGCAGTAACGTCTCTTTCATGTCTCAATTGATATTGCCATTGATAATCAGGTTGCTCAATTTGCACAGCACGCATGATTGTCATTTCAGGATCAAGTCTGATCCATAATACTGGAGAATCGCTGTAAATAAACAATAAACTCTTTTAAAAGATATTTGCAAATAGATAATGCGACTCTTATAACGTTTTTATAATTATTGTTTTTATTAAAGTCTATAAAATTTGTAATCTTACTCCATAGCAGAAAGATCCATATCAACCTCTTCACCAGTACATAATGGAATCTTCTTTTTCTTATTTCTACGGCTTTTACTATGACATGTGATATCTGCCCTGGCCATTGTACCTTCAATTTGTAAAGTATGCTTAAAAGTACCATCGAGTTCTTGAATGTTGACCACTAACGGACCGACATATTTCCTGATTCCTCTTTGATGAGCAGTGTCTTGTCTAATTTCTAATTCCACTGTATTTCTACAATATGTATATGTCATATTTTAATATATATACACACATAGAATATTAAATGAAATGATATAAGCATGTGTATTTAAATTCAAAAAGCACCTTTTTCTATTAAATACAAAACTCAAGCTGAATTTTGCATGTCCTCCTGTTCTAACCCATTGATCTATGAATACCGACATATCTTTTCCTGTTACTGTAAAGATTGCCTTCGCGAATACATTTGTACTAATTAGCATATGTGGCCATAAACCAGATTCAATCTTTTGTTGCGCAGCATTGGCTGCTAGAGACAATTGTTTATTAAATACCTGCAAAAAATTAAATACATAATCAGTTTAATCTATTATTATGTGTTTGATAAGAAAAAAAAATTTACTTGAAGTAACAATTCTTGTCCGATCCTATGTTCCAGCATTCTCATAATTAAATGTGCCTTCTTGCGGAGAACTTCAATGTATCTAGGAGACATTGTATGTAAATTTTTAATCGGAAAATAAAATCCGGGATCGGGAGCTCGAGGAGCAGGTGCTGGAGTATTGGCTGCAATGGGCAATGGTGCTGGTGCTTGAGATGGATCGAGTATTATGCCACCAAATTGTTCTTCATATTTCACTACTTCTTGCAATTCCTACAAAGTTTAATAAAGTAAGCATAATAAGTATGCTAAAAAGAATAAAGAATATATATCGATACTGTGACATGCAAATAATTACAGATTGAATCCATTCTCTGTATTCATTGTTTCCAAAGCATTTTTTAGCATACAGTCCTGTTAGATATGTAGAAATACCCTTAGGCAACCAAGTATCTGACCAATTGTGCATAGATATAAAACATCCAAAAAATTGTTCTGCAATTGCTTGTGCCATTGCTTTCTTTGTAATATATACTTGATCTATAATTGCAGTAGAATGTAATAAATTTGTGCTGCAAAAAAATAAATTATCATAAGAAAATGTAGTAATAGACTTTAGCATTAAACAAAATATATATATAAAAGAAAAGGGTTTTACTTTAGAATGCTCATAGTAGCATAAGCATTAATGTCTTCATCTATTTCATCAACAAAGATCTGCTTGTAACAAGAATATGGATATCGATTTGACAAAGTTTCTTCATAAAATTCGAAGGCTTCATGCATATATTTCGCGGACACTTTTAGAGATGGTAAAAGTTGAGGTAAACAGAAATGAGTCACTTCATGCATATAAGGATCCACAAAGATCTCAAATGGTCTATAAAGAAAGAGAAATTCACATTATTATATTATAAATCATAATGTGGTTTTTTAATGACTTCTATTTAATTTACTTACCCAACTGCCAGAGCAATGTTTGGAGCACATGCAGGAGTATTTAAAACATAGTGAAACGTTTTTCTACGCATGTCAGGCGTATAAACGACTTCGACCAGATCTCCACAGGAAACGGCAGTCATTGAATCATCGACGGTAAATTCCAATTTCCAAGTGCATGGTTCTGCGAAACTGTCCACACATGGGAACCATAATCTAGATGAATTTTCATAGCTGTATGTATACATATGTGCACCTCTCTAAAAAAAAAAATCATTACCGATATGAAAAAAGATTAATCTAATATAACTTTGCTAATAAAGACTAAAACAAAGACTGAAGTTTACCTCAGCTAATGTTCCTTCACAATTTGGTACTACAAAATGTACACCTCCCTGTGGTTGTTCCAAGGAAAATTCAATGCTAATTCTTATTGCTCGACCTTCTGCAACTAAATGTGCTGCATCTGGTGGTATTTGAACTACTAGTTCCCCAGCATTGTTATCAGGATCAACTTTTTGAGCAGCTGCTAAATGCATATTTGAGAAAAATTCGAGGGAACGTCTACAAAAATTTTATAGATTAATAATCTGTAATATTACTAATCTATAAAACAAAAACACTCACTGTTTACTGTCCCCTTGACAAATATCCAGAAATGGATCAAAGTACTGAAAAGGAGCTTCATAAGTGTCATTTAAGCATACTCTATATATCCTGCATTGTTTGGCATTGAGCTTTATTAGCCTTAGTGTATCTCGCAGTGGAATAATTGTCAATTCGACAAATCCAATTATACTTTTCCTTTGAAAGCTTATCCCTGTCAAGCTCACTATTTGATGGGCTGTAATATATCAATCAATAATTATTTCAATGAAAGTGAAAGGCATAAGTATAATTTTCGATATGAATTTTCTAAGAATGTAATTGTTATTTGTTTTTAAATATATTGCATGATTATTACACTTTGTATCTTCTGTTAAATTACAATTAATGATATATATACAAATAAATACGATTTCAGTGAATATTGAAATTTCTTCAGAATACGAATATAATGAGAAGAAAACAATTTTAAGCATTTAAACATATTGAGTATATATTTCAAAAGTGGCAAATTTTCTAAAAAATACTTATAATTTATATGGACGGCTGGTATCACCCGTTTTTTCTTTTTTCATATTTTCAATTTATGTAAGTCCTTGTATTCATAAAAAATCAGAAATATAAAATTACTTCAAATTACTCGACATAACTTAATCAACCGCATGCTTACGCACTAACAACTGAAAATATTGGAAAATATATCATAACATCATAAAAGATATACAATATAGAGAGCTTTTCAACAAGAAAACACAGGTAGATAAAATGGCCATTCAATGGATTTAACAGTTGAGCAACATTACTAGATTTTCCGATGTAATTCAACGCTGATTGGTCGGATCTGAAAGTAAAAACCAATCATGTTCCGTTGTCCTTTGGCTGTGATTGGTCAATGACATCTAGTAACTACCTCGAGTCAAACCCGACCATTCGAAAACGCCATCTGAATACTTTGACATGTGATTGACCAATCAGGATAAAAGGAATAAAGTTTCTTTAATTTGATTGGTCAATCAAACGCTTTGAAGCATCCAGAGCGTCTCCCCGGCTGCAATCGACGTCGTAAATCAGGTGCAGTGTGAATCCTCTGTATCCTTTATTCATTTCAAAAAGACTTCGTTTACATACTTTCATAACTTTCATATGTGTCTATGGTTGACTCGGAAGAAGAACCGTTCTTTGTTTGTCTTTTATATTTTATACGAAAATAAAAGATTATTGAAAGAAGATGCTATACTATAATGAGTTTTGATATGGTTTGATAGGCGATTTAAAGGACATCCCGATAAAAATTTTGATTTTCTTGCAAGAAAATATTTTGCATTTTTATATCAAAAATGAATGAAGAGCAAACAGATAATACGTAAGTTTAAAAAAAAATAAATGAAAATGAGATATTCTGCGTAAATCTTATAAATGTCTGTTTTTTTCCCGCTTCATAAATTTAATAACTAAAAATTGTTAGAGAAAGATTAAAAATTTAAAAATTGTTCTGTTTTTTTAGAATCTCTATGGGTTCAGACAATACAATGGTAGTAACAGCTGATTTAGCAAAGCTCAGCATAGATATTAACTCTTCGTCTACAGAATCTACCAACAGAGTTCTTAGAAAGAGAATTCCTAAATCTGCTGCTTCTACAGATGTTCTTAATAGAAGGTAATTGTTTAACATCAAAAATTATATATGGCAATTTTTCAGCATTTTACATATTTAACAGCATTTTATATATTTACTTACCAGATGCAGCCTCAAACCAAAAAAGAGGAGGGTTTCAGAAATGGACATAGAGGAAGAAAACATAAAGGATTATTATTTAGATAAGAAGATAAATAAAAAAATTAATCTGGAAACAATATACGAAGAGAGTGACAATGCAAGCGATGATACTGGAGTACATATGAGTATAAAGAGATTTAAAAGAACTTTATTATTTTCTCCAACAATTTCCAAGCTAAAGAAAAGACGTGCAAAAATAAAGAAAGTTTTTGGATCCAACATGTGCTGTAAAAGAGGAAATATATTGAAAGATTTTTCAGATACAATAAGATTTCTTGAAAAAGGACCATTCATAATTGAAAAAGAACTCTTGGAGAGACAAAGACAAAGTTCCTCTTGTGTTTAAATGCTAATAATTCCATCTCTCCAGTTCCTGTAAATAGTGCTGTGTATTCTATTTCAGGATTTTATGTTATCTCTTTATGTACTCACATAAATTTGTAAGAGATTGCATAAAAATAGGAAGAGATTAATATTATTACAATATTTAATTTAGATATAAAAATTTTTGCCATTCTTTTATTAAAAATATTTGTTTGGATATGTATCTGCGTATAATATATGCTGATATACAAATCACAAGGACCAAAATGTGCGATAATCATATTTATATTTGCACATTTGCATGTTAAAGGCACTAATTCTATAATATAAAATTATTAAATTATAATTATAATATATAAAATTAAAAAATATGAAAAATTATGCAGAAATAGTATCTTATATCTAAACATTTTTACATATATTGTAATACAGATATTTTGTATAAATATAAAATCTGAATATATATCCGATTCTCCCCTAATTTGATAAATGCAGTATTTTAATTAATATTATCTCACATTATGACTTAGTTATTTTTAGAACACATTTTGTCTCATATTTTGCACAACCATCATATTCTCTTAACATAGCTTTATTTTCTTCATACTCCATACTATCCAATTTGACACAAGCACATCTAGATGTGCTTTGTGTATTTGTAGTTTCAAATAATATTCTTGGTACTCCTACCCACTCTCTGTCAATTCCACCGCTGTTAAATACAAAATAAATCGTATAATCGTCTTTAAAAAAAATTATATTTTATAGCTTTTTTTAACATTGAACGATTGTTAATCCATAAAGAAATTTTTACCTTTTTTCAGTACACCAGAATAGAGTACCAATTTCGGGATTCCATTCTATATTACAAGGTGGAAACATTCTTTTCTGTTTCTCTTCTACTAACTTTTCATTTTTAGCAACTAATAGTTTTTCTTGTACTTTCTGAAATTCTACAGTTTGACTGCCATCTTGATTATAATATCTGCCATATAATTTTCCTAAGAAATAAACAAACTGTTTTAAAAATGCTATATACATGAATTGATCCACCTCATGCAATGTTTATATATTAAGCAAAATGCACAATTCTCTTTTTTTGCACAATAAATGGAATATACCTTTCCCTTTATTCTTGCTGCGTAGGTTGATAAAATATGATCTTTTCTTTTGGCTTTTAGTAGAGTAAGATTATTGTAAAATTGGTCACCTATTTTTATATATCTCTGTTGTAGTTAAGTAATTATACCTTTGTAAATGTAGTTTGTGTTATAAAATTGCAGCCAATCATCCAATGCTTTAACTTGTCTCGCTGACAAGCTAGATATATCATCTGTTAAAGCTTCGTCGTCAAATTCTCCAGTAATAAATGCCAAGGAAGCATCGCGACCTAAAAATAAATAATTTCATGTACATAATAGCCAATATACATTATATCTTTCAACATAAGAAATAGTTACCGGTGAAAGCGTGATAGTTGCCTCCAGGTCCATAGTGCTTCGCACCTTTAGTCACATCAAAAACTTGACCTAAAATCGAGAGATACAAGCCATCTTCCAGATTCGTATATTGTTTCAATTCACTCGTGGTGAATATCCTTGGCTCTTTGTCCTCATTTTTGTCATTTAATCCAAAATATATTGCATCAACTATGTTCAACGTTCCATCCATCAAGTGAATTTTCATCTCCCTGATCAAGTCGCGCGAATATAAAAAGTATACGATTCCCAGTAGCAGCGATAGCCAAAGATACTTGAAAAGCATAATCATATTGTTTACAAATAATCAGGGACTCCGACATGTGCACGCTACTCCAATTTTCGATGATGCTTCACGATCTCTCTCCCTTCCATGTAACTTCAAATGATCACCGAATTTCTACATTATCGGCTCTAGTTATCGTGTCTGACGTTCTAGGAGCAAATTCTATAAATTTTCCTTCTGTTGATAACACGAGTGCAAAAGAAAAATAAAATTCAATGCAATTGCAAGAGTGAAAATATACGTCTAAAGCGATACAAAAGTAAGATAAAGGTCTTCTAAATTAATTAAAATAAATCGTAAAGCATAATTGAACTCTTTGAAGCATATGTACAATATCAATTGTCGCTTCCATCAAATGCGGGCGACTGCTAGAAGACACTTTCCGGCCGAATGGCGGAATGAACGAGGCGCGAACTTTACGCGTTGTTTAATGACCTAAATATCGTAATAATATCACGCACTATTGTGCTCGAAAACGAGGTATGTGAACTTCCAAAATTCAACTTTGCTTCTTAGTTCTCTCATGTTTATACAAAAAATTAATAAATAATCAAAGCTATTGATTTTTACAACATTTTTACTCCTATTTTTTGTGTCCCTCTAGATATCTTAAATAACCGATAAAAATAATTATTAAAAGAAATCAAATGACAGAAGAAAGAGAAGGCTCGCGGGAAAAATATCCAAGCTTTTCTAAAATATTCACATAGCAAAAATAATCAAATATAACATAATTGTATCTCTATCACAGTTAAACAGAAGGATCTCTGTTAAACAGAGAGTTCATTGCACTGAACTCTCTGTTTTGATAATTTGAATAAGCTTTGTTTACATCAACAAATTATTTCGGAATACTTTAGTTATATTTATTTGAACGTATCGGACAATTTAGTTGGGCAAAACAAATTTGCCTCTTTCAACCAAGTTTTTTTTTCAGTGTACAGCTATTTAAGGTTAATTGATTTAATTGGAGTCCGTCAAAAAACTTTTGTAATCAAGAAATACGATCGATCGTTTTATTCCAACGACAAGCGACGCGTTTGACGTTTGGAGATTTAGAGACGTCTATCAGCTGATACGACAACCGGTAGCCGGACAGTAGTAAATGACAGTCTGGAGGACGGCGGTCACGCTTGGCTAACCAAGACAATCGGGATCAACGGTCAGTCGCATGTCTACGTGTATCCTTGTTACATTGCGCGAGAGTGCATCCACAACTTTCTTCATCATCCGCGTCATTTCTCTTCGCGAGCTCCGTCAACAACGATCGTTCTCCAACAGTGCATTGATGCTCTTCATCGGGAGATAACGTGATTATTGCAATTGTGATTAGTTCTTCTAATCAACATTGATATTTTACTTCTGTGCATGAGATTGCAACTTTCTACTTTGCATCATTCGATTCCATTTTTCATTAAAATCTCGATCAGAAATGACGATTAATTAAAACCCAATAAGGGAGATGAAGACAGTTTGGAAAATTTGCCTGTGTAGGGATAAAAATCTATAAATATTACAAATATCTTAATCTAGAGAACCTGTTTGATCCAATTTAACTTTCCTTCCCATAAAATCACATTTTTCCTTTTTAGAAGATAGTTATTTAAAAAAGAAGCAACGAACAACAAGAAAGTTTAACGCAAGGATTTTCTGTCGAAATCGGGATCGTCAGGTATCCTCGCCACTCCATTTATTTTGTTAACTTGATAAGAATCGTTGAAACGCGTACAAAAAAAGCACCATCGGGCACGTAATAAAGATAGGCTCCGACTAAGTTTCTCCGCAATTTATCTAGAATGCACGACGGAATGCGTTATGCACAAGTTTTCGCGATTCGCACAGTTCGTCTTCATCCTGTTTTTTTCTGTACAATGGCTGCGATCTGCATATTATTGCTGTTTTCGGGTTTCCCTGCCGTTAACAATAGATACTCCGCATTTCGGAAGAGGCAGGGAACCATAGGAGAAACAGAGGGAGATGGAAGATACGCTTCAAGGCAATCTAGTACTACGAAAATGACGTCCTTTGATAAACATCTCCTAGAAAGAGGCTTCACTGCCGAGCAGGTAAAATGTTGCGTGATTCATCATTTTATTTTTTCGCAAAAAATATGTTTTTTTTTTAATTAATCGAGTAAAAGAAAAAGAAAAAAAAATTGAGAAGGCGTGAGGTACGCACGTGACACGTGTTTCTATCAGACAGGCAAAATGTCACTTCTCGGAAAATGGTTGTTGGCGCCGGAAGGAACTCCACCACCGGGATCCAACACCGAGAATAGAAGCTACTTGATTCTGATCTGGAAACATGGGCCATACCTGGAACGTAGACACATCAGGCGTTTCACCATGAACAAGTCAGCTGTTTCTTATTTTTCTTTTTTTACCATACCCATAATCGTTAAGCTTGAACTTCGCGAAAGGATAAATTGATCTTAATCGAAAATTAAATGAATTGGCACTTGTGAGCTCAAAGAATTATAATGTGTATCTTTGTTTAGATCGATATATAAGAAAGCACGATTATGTAACTTACTCTTTGCGCAAGAGTGAAAAAGATCGAAGATCTACAGGATGTCCCAGTTATCTTCCGTCATCTTTCAAAGACAGATTCCTGGGATCATTTGAAGACGATTTTTCCTCAGCGAAAATGTCAATGAAGGCCATCATTTTTTACATGTTCCCGATTTTATCATATATCTTTGCAATTAAGTCTTAAAACTCAACTAAACTCTATTTAAAATTAATCAAAGAATGTGGTTTTGTTAATATTTTATTTCTACAAAGCTTAATTTATGAAAAACCCCTTATTTCCAATCACTTATAATTCGAAAATTATTATATGCGACATTTTCGTTGAGGAAAAATCATCTTCAGATGATCCCAGGAATCTGTCTTTGAAAGATGACGAAAGATAACTAGGACACCCTGTATATTAAATTATATCTCTCAGATTTTCACCATGGGATCGATGTTCTGCGAGAAATTGTACGCTGACCTACGACGAGAAGGATTTGCACCGAGCGGACGCCGTGGTGTTTCATTTGCACTTGACGAAGAGTCCTTCGGAGCTGCCGGTGAGAAGCCGAGCGGATCAACGGTGGATCTTTCTGACGGACGAGTCTCCCTTTCAGACGTTTATGTACGGTAGACAGAAATTATCGGACTACGATGGTCTGTTCAATTGGTCCATGTCCTATCGAATGGACAGCGATGTTCCAGTTCCCTATGGACGAACCGTACGAATCCCTGACGATATTTCCAACGACGATGTCGGACACTGGGACACCGTCATGAGGACCATCAAGACCAAATTGGTCGCCGTAATGGGCAGCAACTGCGGTGACCATAATGGACGATGGTCCTATGTGAAGACGCTGAAATCTTTGCTTGGTAACGACCTAGACATTTTCGGAAGATGCCTGGAAGGCAACAGGACCGTCTGTCCAGGTCACTTTGATCGAGACTGCGTTGTCTTGAACGCGTACAAGTTCTATCTGTCATTCGAAAACTCCAATTGTCGGGAGTATCTGACGGAGAAGGTATTCTGGAACGCGTACAGCAAACTCGCGGTCCCGATAATAATGGGAGCGTCGCGATACGATTGTCAGCGATTGTTGCCGCCGCACTCCTTTCTTCACGTGGACGATTTCGCCAGTGCGGATGCGCTCGCCGATTATCTCAGGTATCTGGACCGCGACAATAAGCGGTACATCAGCTATCACGAGTGGCGCGATCGTTACCGGCTGATTAACGAGCACGGCTACTTCGGCAGCGCATCCAAGCACTATTGTCGCGTCTGCGAGGCGCTGCACTATAACTCCATCGCGCCAAAGGTCTACGCGAGACTCGAGGATTTCTGGAGCAAGAAAGATTGTACTTTAGTGAGCGTTTAGATATTTCACCTAACGCCATTAATTATGTTTATCTAGTCTTCGTGAAATATGAATTAATTAAACAGATTAATAAATCTTCCATCAGAAGCTTTTGAAAAGAATTTGTGCAATAATAGAGGCATTAGTTTGTCAGATTGAATTTTTTATATGCATTTATTAGCGACTTATAGAGCAAAAATAAAATTTTATATCATATATTAATATTTATTATATAGCCATAATAGAGAAAATTCATATGCGCGTTTTTTCTAATAATAATAAAATAATCAAAATTTCAAAATTTTTATATCAATGACAAATTACAAAATTATAATTAGTCATTGATAAAAGATTGATTTTTCGTCTTTAATATTATTATTTTATTATTTATATTATAACTTTAGTATATAGATATAAAATTTAATATAATTAGATAAAAGAAAAAATTATTAAATATATAGTATGTGCGTATAAATATACCAAAAATGTATGTTTTATGATAAATATTGTAATTTTAATTAATTAAATAATTAAACGCGATTATGTGTATATCGTCATTATTTTGTATATTTAAACCGAAATGTATGAATTATATAATATTAATATTTAATATATAATATTAATTTTATTATATAATATTATTATTTTTATGAGACATATATATAAAGAAAAATGATAAATCTCTTACATGTATGGTAATGCAATAACAAATTCATACTTGCCGCCTAAATAGCAATCATGAAAGTTCTCGAGAATATTTAATTTTTTTCTTCGCTCGCATAAATCCTCCAGGCACGCAAAAATTACGATTTATTTTGCAACATTTAAAATTTACCTTCTTGATCATTTCATGAGAAGAATCTCTCTCTAAATCTTTAAATTAAAAAAAAAAAAGAAACTTTCATAATTTAGTTTTCAGAAAAGTCTTTTTTTCCTCGTCAAATTTCGGCGTAAAAATTTTTTGGGGAGACCGCTATCCCGAGGAGGGGCGGAAACCGGCCGCGGTCAAAAATGAAACGAGGATGCGATGCAACGCAGTGACGACGCAGGGCGGAAGTATAGTAGGAGAGAGAGATAGACGGCGACTCCGTGCACATGTTGCAAATGGCAGGCAGTGCGTGACATTTCGTCACTCTGTGTTTCTTCGTGTTGATCCACGCAACCGATTCCTGCGCCCTGAGGAATCATCTTCGAGGGAACCTCTCCTCTTCTTATCTTCGACACGAGATCCTTCCCGGCGTTCGTGGGGTACTTTGACCGGATCCATCAGCCGAAGGAGGAGAGGGCGGCGACGAAGGCAACGGCCGCGAACACGTATCTTGGAAACGAGGGAGATTAAGTTCGTGGAACCCGGATCGCAGGAGTAGATATTACCTACGAAGAGAAAGGATGGCGAGACTGGTAAACATTTGGCGGGACGATGAACCGGTGAAGCTGGAGTGCAAGCAAATGCCATTGATCATCGACGAGAGCTTGACGGTGAGCGCTTGACATTCCGTCCTGCATCCCCGACTCCTGGTGACTCCCGGTGTTTTACGTAACGATCGTCGCTTCCTCGCGGGACGTCCTTAACCTTAGACAAAAAAATGCGAAAAAAAAAAAACATGTATAATTCTTGAGAGATAAGACGAGTGAATCGTGATTCTGGAGCTCGTTCGTCATTTATTTCCATCGATTGACGATCGTATATTGTTAGAACCCTCTGCGTTGTCGTCGCCGACTGCGATAACGATGAAGATAATAGCATTGTGCTCGTTATCGCACTTGTGTCATGTATTTTCCTCCTAGACGGTTGTACGATCTTCTAATCTTTGTATTTTTGTCGTTACTTCTCTTTCCACTTCTAAGGCAAACGAGAAATTGTGTGTAATTATGTTTCATAGATTATTGTTGTAGTGCTTTTTGCTGCAATAGCAAAAATTTTGCCCTTAAAACATCAATGTATAATATTCTAATATTGTTATTATAGGGAACCAAATGTGATTTATATGCAAGCTACATATAAAATTTTATTTTACAATATTTGTTTAGATGATCATGGATATAAGTAACTTAAAAGCGGTCAGTGATAGTCCCTTAGTACGTGGTAAACAGCTGGATGAATTTACAAGAAAATTGGATATGCTCACGAAGGAAGAGATCAAAGCATCGTTTGAAATTACTTGCAAGGATATGCTTACTATTTTGGGTCAAACAGAACCATGTATCGGTTGTCGAAGAAGGTGATTATTTTCTTTAGTTAGAATAATATATCATTCTTCACTCTTGTGCTAGTAAGCGATGATAAAATATTCTATCTTCAGTGTTGAAAGATTGTTCTATGACTTGATGAAATCGGGACATCCGGCATTAGATCCACTGGTTATTACTCCAAATGGCAAGCTTTCTATAAAAGATGATGTTTTGGAATCACCTCAACGGCTTTGTACAATATTGCATGGACACAGGTATTTGATAGATGATTATGAAAGTGATTATTTTGGGAGAGAGAGAAAGACTTGTCATTTATATTTTTGCAGCGCTAGGTTACATAATTTAGTGGAGCAACAACCGAGAAATAGAAAATCCCGGCGATGTGTACTGCATTCTCTGGAAATTCAACGAATGCGACCACCACCGAACGCGTGGCGGGAAGTGTGGGATTGTATGGAACTACCATGTCAACAAGAGTTAACTTTAATCGAGACTGATACCCTTGATGACACTTTGGAAACTTATTTACGTAAACATAGGTATTTCTTATCTATCTCTTGATGTAAAACATTTTTATGCGTAAGATATACTTAAAACATAATTGTGATTGCTCAGATTTTGTGCCGAGTGTCGTAACAAGGTATTACTGGCATCGTCTCTTCTGACACGAGAACCCGAACCTACAAAAGAGAAAGGTTACGTAGCAGTTTTATATTCTGGAATTAAGCGTTGTATAGCTGATCATCATGTTCACTTGCCAACTATCACAGAATACATTGGTACTCTCATTGGTCGCGCCCAGCCAGAACTCATGGGAAGGTACTGATCTCAGTAGTGTGCATACTTTCATAGTATTCTGAAAGAGATAAAATAAAAGAATTATTACAGGGAGCGCCATGCGAAAACGCTAGAAATTGCTCAAGAGGAAGTACTTACGTGTTTAGGTATATGTATCGCGGAACGATTGCATAGAGTCCATAGACGACTGAAGGAAGAAGAGACTGTGTGTAAAGTATTAGCGGCTGTTGCAGTAGATGCGTTATCGAGAAAGTTTCAGGTAAAAAAGATCTTGTCTGTTCTTCTAAAATAATATTTAATATTATCAGAGAAAAAATCTTTGTATAGTTATTTTTATATATTTATATATATGATATATATGTGATTTGTCAGACTATCATCAAATAAAGCTAAGTATCTTATCTTGTTTAGATGGCAGTGGAGGTGAAACAAGGTATCTCTCAATTAGAACTATTATATGAAGAATTTGCAAGGGAGGAATTAGTAAAACAGCAAAGGCGTGAAAAATTGCGGCTTAAACGCAAGAAAAAGAAGGAACGTCGTTATGAAACGGAGGAGAAGGAGAATTCCTGTGATGTATGTTATAATATGTATTTTTTAAAGATTGTTTAACTTTTTTCTAAGGAAATATACAATGTACAACTTTTGAAATGTACAATTTTTTTCTAAGGAAATATATAATAGAAATTAAAACAAAAAATTAAAATTAAATTAGAGATTAAAATTAAAACAATTATTTAAGTGTACAATATATATAGTTAAAAGTTGTATATATTGCCATAGTGTCCAAATGAAAGACAAGGTAAATCTTCCTGTATTTGTGCAGAATCAAAGCCGATGACGCAAAATATCAACCGACATAAGGTACAAGAAACTTGAGTAATTTACTTATCTTTTATAACCGTGTGCATGTAAAAAAAGTAGCAATGCTACTAGTGTGTTTTTTATTTCAGTTACAGGTATTGGATCCAAAAAACAAAGGTCCACCAACATGTAAATGTTCTGATTGTTTAAAAAAACAAAAAACATCTAGTATATCACAATCGCAGAGTAAAGTAGAATTAGCATTCCCTGTGAAAAAGACAAGTACGCAACAAGCTATTGTTAAAAGTAGCACTTCCGAAGTAAAAACGAAATTTAGTACAAGTCAATCAAAGCAAAGTGACACAACATGCAAACAATTACCTCAGGAGGATTCGTCCGATACTTGCGAATCGTGTAAGGTAAAAAAACTATATATTAGTTGTCGATTTTTCATAATTTTTAAATGTAGTTTTCATAAAAGTAAGATACAAATTCTCTTTTTTTCTCGTTCTAAGGAAAGTAAAAAAGTTGATGAAGGTCAATGGCATGTATATGACAAAAATTGTAAAGATTCTATGACTAATGAACTGGTAGATGCTTGGATAACAAAACCTAGTACAAGTAAATATACAATGTGGATAGAGATGAAGAAACGTTTCGAAATCGAGAGAAAGAATCATTCCTCCAGCGAGCAATCGTCCCAAGATTGCGGATATTTTTCTGGACACAATATCAGTAGTTCCTCTCTTCCTAGTACACCAGAAGGCTCCGAAGTAGCCTGCAACGATGGATGTTGTAATCACGAAGGGGCTTGTCAGGATAAATTTGATCATTCCAGTCCTAATATCTTTTTATTACAAGAAGGAGGTTTGACGCTCTCGCAAATGCTAAAGGTAAAAATTTATACGTGTGTATGATACTTCGGACATCACAAAATTGTGTCTCTGTAGAAAAGAATTTAAACTCGATACTTATATTATTTTTAGGATTCCTATTTCTCTGATGACGACGAGCAGGAGAGTTATATTCCAGCAGAGGAAGTGTTAGAGTTCAAGTCGCAAAAGCGTCAACTTATGGAGAAGCGGGAGGAACTCCGACAAACGCTTAGAGAACGTTTTGCTATGTTATGCAATCATCAGAAATCATTATTTACTTTTTTTCATTAAGAATTCCTAGTTATGGTCATTCAATATCTCTGATATCACTATCTCTTTTCTTTTTTACATTGATTTACTGCCAGTAGCATGAGACACAAATACAATAGATGTATTTTGAATAACTGTTATTATTCGAAGTTGACCTTCTGATGTTAATTAATTGCTAAAAATGTATACAACACACACATACATATGCATACAACATCAGAAACATAATATGACTATTATTTATCTCTGCAAGCAGAGAATTGCGTATGATAAATAAAAGATGTCAAGATAAAAAAAGATGCTTTCAAATCATAATCGAATAATATTGACTTTGAAAAGAATATACAATGGATCATAAGACTAGAAAATTGAATTTGATTGTATAGATCTGTACAATTGAAGTAAATGTAGATATTTTGTATGAATATGCCTTGACTGTGTGTGTGATGTGTTGAGAATATGGCAGGTCCGATTCTGTTACGTGCAGTAAATTGCGAGTTGTTATAGACACAAGTTTTCCACTGTGATTGCCGCATATTTAAATAGTATTCTCTTGAAAATTTTTTTCATTTTCAAGAAGATCGTATATTTATACGGCGATAAGATTATGTGAACTCGTGTCTGTTGTAATACTAGAGATGCGATGGAATATTTATCGGAATCTTAATCTAAATTGAATGTGTTGCATTCCAATATATATATACATATATATATATATACACATATATTTTATTATTCCGATGTACATCCTCTCTGTGTGTAAATTTAATTACACACACACACATATACACTGCAAAAATATTCTATAAAAAGGATTATTATCGTAAATCATATTTACATATATTGTATGTTGCATAAAAGTTATTAAAAATATTTAAACTGCTCAACACTGGTAATCAGTTGCGAGGTTTAATTCATCACCGAATTCATTGCTCTTGTTTCAGGTATGTATATACATATTTTAATAGAATAGTGTCCTTTCTGTATCAACACTAGGGAAGAAACTGTCTCTTACGAATTTATTCTTTTGTATACTTGTATACTTCAATTGATTGCGCTTAAAAAAAATAATGAATTCTGTCTCTCAGCATATTATAATTGTAGGAATTTTCAAAAACCTATTCAATCGACGTATTGCGTGAAGCACAAGCACGCATTAGTCCCACCGAAGCCAAAGGCATTTTTCAGAGCCGTTCGACGAGTCGTCGCACTCCACTTTACCTTCGTATGCGGTACAAAGTTCAAGCGCGTCTCCATGTCCAGGTTGTACAGATTCAACGTGGGTGGTATCACACCCTCCTTGATCGCCAGGACCGTGAAGACTGCCTCAAGATTACCCGCGGCACCTAACAAGTGACCATGCGCACCCTTGGTGCTCGTCACCGTCACATTCTTGCTGTGGTCGCCCATCAGCGACTCGATCGCCTTCACCTCGATCGTATCGCCCAACGGCGTAGACGTGGCATGTGCGTTTATGAATGTCACTTCCGAGCTCTCGATGCCAGCGTCCTTCACCGTCCGGTCCATCGCCAGCAACGCGCCAATGCCATCCTCGCTGGGTGCCGTTATGTGAGACGCATCGCCAGACAAACCGTAGCCCAGCACCTCCGCGTAGATGGGCACGCCCCGAGCGAGCGCGTGATTCAGCTCCTCCAGAACTAGTATCGCGGCGCCTTCGCCCATCACGAAACCGTCGCGATCCCGGTCGAATGGTCGTGATGCTTCCTGAGGCGTGTCGTTCCTCGACGTGCTCAGCGCACGTAGACGGCAGAACGCGGCAATCGCCAACGGGCTGACGCATGCTTCTGCACCACCGCATACCATCACGCTTGTCTCGCCCCCGCGGATGAAGCGGAATGCGTCCCCTGAAAGTGGTGATATGTTAGAAGATGAAAACGAAATAAACTCTGCTTTTAGCAATGTATCAAGAGAGTTACCAATAGCATGCGCTCCTGTTGCACACGCAGTCGACACAGCATGATTTGGTCCACGGAAGCCGTACTTGATGCTGATCTGACCAGCTGCCATATTCGGTAATATTCTTGGTACAAAGAAAGGACTTATTTTGCTGTATCCTTTCTTCAAGGCTTCGTATGTCATGCATACATCTACCAGATCTATCATGCCAATACCCACTGAGACTCCAGTATCACGTTTATCGTTTTCATTGTCTGGTGTCCACTTGGCATCCAAGAGTGCCTCTTCCGAAGCTATCAGTGCGTATGCAGTGGCAGGACACATTGTGCGTAACTCACTTTTCGTAAAGTGAGAGTCAATGTTAAGTTCATGAGGAGCATTTCCCTTCGGCACCAATGCAGCTGTAAAATTTGGATTAATCATTATACTATTAATTATTATACATTATGCTATTGTATAAAAAATAAAATGTAGCTTTGAACAACTGATTATAACAATACTTGGAGCTGACAAGTCTTCTATTTATATATTTATGGAACAGTCATGGAGAATAAATAAGAATAAATTTTACAACATATTTAAAAGTAACATACCGCTCACCTATTTTACACGGTAATTTACCGTAATCCGGTTCGGTAAGCTTTGTAATTCCGCATTTAGAATCGATGAGAGCTTCCCAGGCATTTCGCGTCCCGACTCCCAACGGGCATACAACTCCTATTCCTGTCACGACAACACGCCGCTTGGTCCTCGCGACAGTCGTCAACGACCGGCTAATGTTTACAAGTGGTATAAACATTATAATTATAGGCAATTTCTCCAAAGACGCTTGTTGTCAATAATTAAGCAAGCTGTAGCGCTTCATCATAATCGTCGCGTAAAACATGAAAATGTTTATCAAAATACATGGAACTCTCAATCACATGCAACCTGTGTTTTCTCACTTTCATGTGAGAAATGAGAACCAGAAAGTGCTGAAAAAGATGATGAAAAGAATTATTCAAAATTATCTAACGTAAATGATAACCTAGATAATCGAATCCATTTAATCGACTAATCAAAATAAAAGGAGTAAACACTTCTTTCTCTTTGATTGATCAATTAAACACTGCGTAGAATTTCCGAACCCACCTTAGATGCAGAAAGACCAATGCGTAAAATTGCAGACGTCCTACATTATCGATAATAAAGACCAACTTTGTATCAAAATCCATCCATTCAGAGTTTTTATTAAAATTATCAATTAATTTTTCACTATTGATATTCTAGATTATTTTAATTTCAGACAAAAATGCTTATAAGAAATTGATTAAACGATTGGAATTACAAAGAAATCTATATGCATATATATAGTTTTATATCATCAAAATATATATAGTTTTATATCATCAAGAAATCTATATGCATATATATAGTTTTATATCATCAAGAGCAGTAATACTTTAAAAGTATTATCGGGAAAAATGACACAAAATAAAACTACATACAGAGAATACGTTTAAAAACTTTATTTTGGTTCGCTTTTTAATTGGGAAAAATATATATATGTGTATATATATTTGTGTATATATATATATGTATACATATACATAATGTCGCATGTACCTGTAGGAACTTTGGGCTACAGATTATATCAGGGATAATCGTCGTTTTAAGGTAACATATTAATTTAAAAAAAGACTTAAACATGCAAATATGTCACCAACGAAATAAAAAAAAAAAAGAATCTTATTTGTACGCTAAAACTAATGTTTTCTTAAATCTAAATGTACGTATGCGTTGGTAACAAAATAATATAAAATATTGCATGTTATATAGTTTTTTTACATTTGAGATGAATGTATATCAGATGTGACTTGTGCTTATGCAGCCTGCATTTCATGTACAAAAATCGATATTTTGTACAAATCATAGATGATAAGAAATATAACTAGACAGAGTAAAATAGAAATAGTTTTCAGAAAGGTAGATTTTAAGAATTCAAATCAGGAATCAATTTAAAGAGAAAAGGAAAGAAAGAGATTAAATACCTCATGTTTACTCTTTCAATGTATCGAATAAAAGCGTGGTTGTAATTTTCTTACAAAATGCACAATTGCTTCTATGTAAATAATATTATGAATAAAGCTCGGATTTCGGTGAATTTTCCCTACAGGTAGCAAAGAGGGCACTATCGCCCTTTTTGCTATCATCATTAAACCGGCATAACTGGTACTGCTTTTCGCGGCACTCGGCCGCTAGCATACACTTGAAATAGGAAAAACGACACAGAGATCCGAGCTCTGATTATGAGTGCCAAATGTAATAACTTTATAGGCTTAATATTTCTTGGATAAATATTCTGTCCAATCATTTTTACATTTCTACGATATAAAAGAAAGATAGAAAAACGAAATATAATTCATGATTGTAAGAAAAAAGAAAACAGTGATTTCTATAACTTAAATATCCAAGTAAAATTTTAAAAAGAAATGTATGTATTTAAACATACGTAAAATTTGAAACAATTGACATATATGCTGGAAATATTTTATCTTAATAAACATAATCAATGTTTACTTCGATATATTTCAACATATTCCCATCTAAAATCAGGCGTTTTATTCGATACAAGGGAGTATTAAATAAAAAATTGGAGAAAATATTTCTCAATATCTTTTTCAGGACTAATTTATAGTCCCAATCCGCCCTTGATCTTACGCATGGCACGCGATTAACCGACATTCTACATTTCGACGCTGAACAACTCTGTTAAATTGTATAAAATTATGTACAGCATCGTGATACTCCTACTATTGTGCTTTACGCCTCGGCATTATTATTCTCCTTTGTATCTATTTTTCGAGAAACCAAAATCTTCGACTAGCGGATATATATGTATGTATAGGCATGTATACATACATCCATGTATAAGAAAATTAGAAAATTATATATAATAATCGTAATCATGGCATCGAAAGTTTCATCAATTTTGGTCATCGAGAGAAGTTAATTTTCTTAATCTAGAATTCTGACAAGTGCAGGAAACTTCGCAAATTTCTTTTATAAAGAGGAGAATATAGAATTTTGTTCGAGAGGGAGAGGAAGGCTCTAAAGCGCCAATAAATGCTTCTTTCTATTCAATAGGGCAACACAGGTCCGTTCGTCTCAATAAAACCTTTCCCTTATTAGATCAATATTATTGATCTTTCGTCAAATTCCTCGTTTTCTCTTCTTTAAGCATCTTGCTCAATATGTCCTTAAGCTTCCTTTCTTGACTAGAATCATATTATACAAATATCTCTCGCCTGATGCCACACTGAGTACGCAGAGACGTCGGGCGTTAAACATTGGGCTTGACCTTGCTGTTTTCGGACTCGAGCGGATAGTCCGAACAATATTCGGAATGCGTTGCCCATGCGGCAAGCTATAATTTCGATATTATATTATAAATTATACTAATATATTAAAAATCATCCATATATTATATCATATATTATAAATCATTGATGTAATTATTAATCATAAATACAAATTGCTAAGTGTAATACATGTGTAAGTGGAACTGTTTATACCTGACATGTACGACTGCAATACCATTGATTTCCGCATCCAGCGCAAACAAATTGTGCAGGACGAATCATGCATCCTTGACATTTTGGTGGAGCGCTTGGTGAAGGTGGATTGTCTTTTGCTATTTGTTTACCTTCCCTTCCGCTCGAGGAACTTCCTTTCCTATCATCGATTACCGTTGTTTCTTCCTCTACGTCTTCCTAGAAGATTCAATCTTACAATTGGAATATGAACTTATATACAAAAGTATATATAAATGAATCGAAAAGAGATTATTTACCACTTGAATTAAATCGTTGGAATGAGATTGCGCAGAAGAGTTGACGACGGGGGTTATAGTTATTTCTGTGCGAGCCTGAAAAAATCTCGTATTATCAAAAGATGAATTTCTATTTCTCGCCTAAATTCTCACCCAGTAAACTCCGGATTTCTTCGGAAATCTAGATTTTTCCATTAAACTTATACTATTTATTTAATATAATACTGCTGTTTGTTATTTCTGTACTAATTGTAAACTATATAAAAATTTAGTTATAACACATTTGAATATACGAGAAATGTTATAATGTTTAAAAGAAATTTCAGACTTTTATAAGATGATTTAAATGGTAAAAGAAAAGATTAAGTAATTGTAGAGAATAAAAAAAGCAAAGAACCTTGGAAGAAGACAGGATATCGTTTATAGAAACCAGATTAGAGCCTTGGTACGTCTGCAAAAGGTGTTGGTTTGTGGCGCTCTGCTGCGACATAGACGCCACCGCTGCCGCTGCCGCTGCCGCCGGATTCCTTTCTCTTTCAGGCGCGGTGAGTAATCTCGCTAAAGTAGGTGAAAAAGTGGTAGATCTTGGCGATTGCGCTTTTGTTAGAATCCCATGAAGTAACGAACCAGTCGGTTGAGACGCGGTGTTCTGAGACGCGGACGAGGGTACCGCTACAGGATGAAGCGTCACATCCGGATAATTCTGCGGTACTTTGGCTGAAGTACCTTCACCTAAACACGATATTCAAACGTGACTATCGTAACGTAATAAATCTAATTACAATCGGTGAATTGTTGCGAATTAAATATAATTCGCAATTTATGAAATAAATTCAGAAATAAGTTGAAAATTCGAGAAAATGGACATTACCTTGTTGGCTCATCTTGGCAAATTGCACTAATATGTCTTTATAGTTCATGGAATCGTTCGTGCTCGGGTTGCTTTTGCACGATTCCGTACTAGATGGTCTCGAGTCGGTATTGTGTCCTGTTTCGACCATAGCGCCGCCAGCTCCGAGTCCGACATTCACCGAATTCCTCATTCTTCGTCCTCTGTATAATTAAAATTATATTATGCTTTGTCATAAAAATAAAAAAAAACTGACTTTTATGTTTTTACATTTCCTTGAAGTATATCATATCAAATATTTCCTAAAAGTTTCAAGTTAATCGGATGCAAATTGACGGAGTTATAAGTGTATGTTTCATAAAACGCCAGAATGTTTAACTTCATTTAAACACGACTATAAAGATTATAAAGCTTTAGTCCTGATGTTTTGAGAGCTATCAAGCCAATATATGAAGATTTAAATAAATTAAAATTATATAGACCCGGAATAGACGATTCTGAAGGAGCTACCAGAAGAAGGAATACACTATCTTGTTCAATTATACAACGCCTTGAGAATTGGACATGTCCCGCTTCAGTGGAAAGTAGACTAGATTATTATGATCTAAAAACTTGATAAGCCATCAGACGACGTTAAATTATATCGCTCCATAAGCCTGTTCTTCCAATTCCATCAAACATCTTTGAAACGCTCTTGTTTAAAAGACCAATGCCCTTAATAGAGGAACAGAAACTAAGTCCAAACCACAAATTCGGTTTCCGTCCAAAGCAAGAACGGATCAGATATACAGAATCGTCTGGCAGATAAACATGGAAATAAATACAAAATAATACTGCAGTATTTTTGGATATCTCACAAGCATTCGACAAGGAAGGCACAAAGGAGGGAGTCTAGTCTATTGTATAAGGTCATTCTTTATAAAACAGGACGAGGTCATCTCTAAATTCACACCAAATACCTCTAAAACCTGGACCAATCTGGACCTATGGTATCCAACTATAAGACACGATCTCGCATTCAAATATTGAAATTCTACAAAGAATCGAAGATATTCCGAATCATTACCGGTGCACCATGGTATGTCACTAACTTGATTCTATACAGAGATCTTAACATTAAGACTATCAAAGAAGAGATCGAATAATATAGCATAAATTACAGTAATAAACTTGAGCAACACTCAAATGATTTAGCATCAGGATTGATGAGAGAAAAGGTGACTCGAAGGCTCAAAAAAAGCAAAATCTTTCAAGATTTGATCATACAATAAAAATAAATCATAATTATAATTAAAGAGAAGTTCTATTAGGATCATCTCTTTCAAGACAGGTTTTATAATCACAAATGTTGATAAGTGTCTAAAACAGATGGCAACAGACTTTTGGAGTTTAAAGAAGAAGAAAAAAGAAAAAAAATTTATTTCTTGCATGTTTATAGAAATTACATACAACTCGATATTGCATACTGATTTGATATTATAGAAAAAGTCAGTTCTCTCTTTCTTTCTCTCCTCTTTCTTCCCCTCCCTCCATTCTCACTCTCTCCTCATCCCACTCCCCCCTCTCACCCCCCCTCTCTCTCACACACACACACACTCCTTTCTCTCTCTTTCTTCTCTCTGTCTCTCTCTCTCTCTCACTCTCTTTTTCTATAAAGTCTCTTGCTTATTCGATCGTAATTAATTACCTCCTTGGTACGGTTTCTGGATGCTTAAGCCTGTGATCGGCGATAATAGATCTGACATCCACTATCGCACCTTGACGACCTTCTCCGATTTGCCGACTTTCTGGACTCGACGCCAGGTTTCGTTTACGATTACTTTCTCCATTGGTTTTTGAAGGGACTACCCGTTGCTGGGGGCTAACCTTCGCATCCTTTTCCCTTTTCAACAAGTCCGAAGCTTCTCCGGTAAGATCTTCCTTAGACTCGAACGATTTCTCTCCCGACATGGAGATCGCATTGTCGCTATTGTCCCATTCGGCGGGACCTAGGGACGATGAGGCAAGTGGTAAAGGATCAGGTAGCTGGCCGTCGTTCTCCATGAAAGCTGTCATCTGTATCTTTCTTTCGAGCCTCGCATATGCCTCCTCCTTCAGCTTCCTCTTCCTCAGAATCTCGTTCCATTCCATTTCCTTGACATGCGCTAAATTCTCGAGAGCCTGCGTATAAAGATCGTTACAAATGTTAGAAAATAAAAAAGGTGAGAGAGTAACAATAGTTTCGATAAGAAATCCCAACTTTAAGAGATATTCACCACGATATCAGCCCGTAACCGATCAGCCTTCTCCATAAGTACGTCGACTGTCTCGTTGTCGGTGCCGATAATTTGCGAAATGTACTCTTCTCGTTCGTCCTCATTGCAGAATTTTTTCCTAGGATTCACCGACAGCTGTCCATTGGTGGATTTCCGTTTCTTATTATCGACAGATTCGGACGCAACCTTGGAGTGATGTTGCGTAACATTGCTGCCGCTCGCAGCAGCCACCTTCTGCGACACATCCGCGAGCAACTGCCTGTTCTTGGTATCCGGCGTCTCGGTGTCGGGCGATTCCGTCTTCCTCTTGGTGCGAACGCGACTTACAGTCGCTGTCGGCGCCGCGGCCGTCTCTTCCGGAAGAGCGGCGCCGTTCTGTTGACTCTGGGGTATCTCCGATGACGACGACGACTTGGCTGTTTTATCGTCCTCCGCGGTGTCCACTTGCCTTCGCCTGCCTTCGGTCGCGCCCTCCATCGCGTGCATCCTGTTCAAACTGCAATCATAATATTTGTCGATTAATTTCGACAAATAAGACTCATGCTTCAACAGGTGTACAGAGAAAAATGTATACTGTATTCAAATAGTAAATATTAAATATTATTTATTTTAAGTATATCATAAGTTAGTAAATATTATTTATTTTTAGTAAATATTATTTATTTTAAGTATATCATAAGTTTGTATATCCGCAAACATATCACAAGTTCATCACAAGCATTAAATTTAATTGAATATATTCTGAATTTTAGTAAGTGCAGTATTTTAGTCAAGAATATTAAATTAAAACAAAAATTTGGTTTGCTTACTACAGGAGTTGACGTAAAGTAAGTTTGATTTTTCTTTGATACAACTTTACAATATTCTTGAAGAGAAAATAAATTTTTCTTTTCAGTACATGATAATGAGATTTTCTAACACTTGTGACGAGTATATTTTAAGACTATTATCAAGAATATATTCTTTGTTGAAAAAAACTATTACTTAAAAAAAGAAAAATAAACTGAGTAACCATTTTTCTTGGCAGTAGAATGATATTTTTCTCTGTGTGGACTTGATATTTCACTTTGATAATTAATCTAAAATTAATCGTGATTATTCTTGTTTAGTAGATAAATAATTTCAATTATATAAAATTTATATAAATGCGGGACAACTTGTAAATATGTATGGAATAATGTATATTATAATAGACACATGTATAGTAAAATTTGTGAAAATATATTTTTATTTTCTGATCAAAAAGATCGATATGTGATTAATATTTAATCACCAAAGAAACTGCTTCCTGGCTGCACATGTACGAAATTTTTTATTGCAAAATATACACTGAGAAAAATTGTTTGATTGTACCGACAAGACGTATATGATTGAAGGCATTTTGGTTAAATTAAACAAGAATTTCTAGTTATCATGATAAGATTCGATTTTTTATAGTTTAACTTTTTTTTAATAGAACGTTTAATACATTTTACTATAAGAATTTGATTAGTATTTTCTGGTTGAATCTATAAAATTTCTTGTTACATTAATTTCTTTGCTTGCTACTCTTAACTTAACTCGTATTCAATATTTGCCAAGAAATGTATATAAAGAACTAGTATTAACGTTAATAAAGTATATTTTTTTCTCTTACGAGCAGTAGTGCCAGAAAGAGGACGCTAGCTCTCTGATGTGTGTGTTTGAGCTGCATCCTCTTCTTGCATCACTGTTTATCAGTTTAACTTCTAACAAACTAAATTTAAAATAATTTATTCAATAATCTGGATTGAATTTATCCAATAATCTTGTTGGAATTCAGAATTAAATAGTCTTTTGAAATTAAATGGAAAAAATTTTAGACGACTTGCTGCTGGTGAGTTTAGTATTATTAACCAGAAAATTTGGTAAATTTAACAAAGAAGAAATTAATCAGATTCATCTGGTAATTCCTACAAGAATTCTGGTTCGTCCATTTTTCAACAGACATACTGATTCAATCTACCAGAATTCTAATTAATGCAATCAGATTTTTTTCTCAGTGTACACTTCATAGCAATATTATAAAGTACAACAAATTTCAAGCTAATTTTAATTTAAAAAATCCTTATAGATAGGAATATGAGATATAATACTTGCAGTGCAAATAACAAATGTTGTACAAAAAAATACGACATTTTATTTATTAATTATTAACGACTCCGAATGCATTAACTAATAAGCGCCTTATAATTATTGCACACTTTTTAGATCAGACAGAATCCGAATTAATGTGACGTTCATTGAACGTGTCTTTGGCAAAATTTGCGATAAAAAATTGTGTAAAAAATTTGTGATAAAAAATTGTGCACATTAAAGATGAAAGAAATTCTTTTCCTATCATCGAGATTCAACCTAGCTTTACTTCATTCGAGGAAAACCACGCACAGCACGCGACATGCGCGTTTACGGAAGGTCGACGCCGCAAAACATCCGTTCGAGAGAAACGATGACATTGATAAACCGATAAGCGCAGCTAGTAGAGAGTTTCAATCGACCTTGCCTAGAAAATAATCGTTCGCCGGGGATCCCAAGGACGCGACGCCGGTAAAACGGTCCCCGTAGCATCGCGTCGCGCTCATTAATTCGCGCCGTGTCCTCATATATCGCAGCGAATCTAAATAAAATCTTCATATCACGACCTGATTAGCGTTATAATTAGACGACGTCGCGCGATTTAACCGGCGCCCCATCGGTGTCCCGATTAAACGCTCGTAAAGCAACGTTACGTTTGACGGGACGGAAACGAGAAGGCGACTTTCCGCGAATTCTGCTCATTAAAAAACGACAGTCATTTATCATAGTTTAATCATTTCGTTGCGTGAAATTTCCAGCCCTAATGAAATCTAATATCTCTATTCGTAATTCGATGTTAAATTGGATCATGGGATTTTCTACAATCCCTTTTCTCTTTCTCATTTTGCGTTTCCAAGCAAGGAAGCTAATGACGGTCAACCGAGATTTTTTCTACCCTCGACCCGACACATTTATTTAATCATATATACAAGGTATTTTTACGGAACTTCTTTTCCCTGAAACGATATCGATTTTTCGCTTGCGAAAACTTGTCTGTTTTGAAGAGTAATCGCTTGTAATTTAATCGGAGTTGGAGACGGAAGGATCGAATTTATGAAATGTTTATAGATAAGCATGACTGTCATTACTAAATCGATATTCTAAGATGCGTTGATGCATTCGATTTTTCACTTGTAAAAAGCTCTGTTTTGAAGAGAATCGCTTGTAATTCAATCGTTGGAGTTGGAGACAGAAGGATCGAATTTACAAAATGTTTATAGGTAAGTACGTCTTTCATTACTAAATCGATATTGTAAGATGGGTTGATGCATTTAATGCGGCCATTCACGAGGCACATCAATCTGACGATTATTGAGAGCTCAGTTTACCTTAATAGCTCATAAATAATTTTTATGATTTTTTAAAAATATTTTTGAACTCATTTTTTAAGCTTTTTATATACATTTTTATTAATGTTTAAATTAGATTCAGAAACGCGCTCCAAAGATATTCTACAGAATAAAACTAGATTGAGTTTTTTAATTTCATACATTTTTGAACAGTTACGCACAGAAGCTTGTATTGAACAAAAAAACCAAGTATCCAAAATTTCAAAATACTAATGTAAATGCTAAATAAATATTTAATAGATGAATTTTAAAAATGTCTATAAATAAAAAATTTTTTTAATTTTTTAAATTCAACAATGTTCATGCTGCTAGAATAAACTAAGTCTTTAAACGCGACGACTATTTTGTATTGAACAGAAAAACCAAGTATCCAAGATTTCAAAATACTAATGTTACGTAAATGACCTAAATAAATACTTAATAAATGAATTTTAAAAATGTCTATAAATAAAAAAATTTTTTAAATTTTAAAAATTCAACAATGTTCATGCTGCTAGAATAAACTAAGTCCTTAAACGCGACGATTATTTTGTATTGAACAGAAAAACCAAGTATCCAAGATTTCAAAATACTAATGTTATGTAAATGACCTAAATAAATACTTAATAAATGAATTTTAAAAATGTCTATAAATAAAAAAATTTTTTAAATTTTAAAAATTCAACAATGTTCATGCTGCTAGAATAAACTAAGTCCTTAAACGCGACGATTATTTTGTATTGAACAGAAAAACCAAGTATCCAAGATTTCAAAATACTAATGTTATGTAAATGACCTAAATAAATACTTAATAAATGAATTTTAAAAATGTCTATAAATAAAAAAATTTTTTTAATTTTTAAAATTCAACAATGTTCATGCTGCTAGAATAAACTGGGTCCTTAAAACGCGACGACTATTGTCATGCCACGTATTGTTGACGCTATCGCGACAGACTCCCTTGACATCGTGACGTCGGTAGACTTTTGACGTTGCGTCACATTCGTCGGTGGATCGCGAGCTGCGATCGCGCGAAAATGGACCTTAATCCGCGTGCGCCGCGTTTGATAGGAGACGTCGAGAGTGAGATGGCCAGAGAAGAGAAGGAAGAGGAGGCGAAGATCGGGAGGAGGGATGGGATGATGCCAATTGGTGGAGAAGGGGTGAGTTGAAGGGAGAGAGGGAGAGAAAGCGTGAGAGAGAAAGGAAAAGATGCGGAGCCGAGTTCGTTGCACCCGTTCGTTGCTCGCGTTCACTGCGCTTTATAGACGCGGATATAGGTTTCGCGGTACCAATTCTGAAAAGCACTCTTCCTTGCTTGCGAGAGCCCGAATCGCGTTGGGAAACGTCGTCTCGATTAGATATGAGCGTTCGCGTTTCTAGGACGGGCCCTTCTTGTCGCCAACTATCTGTTGATATGTTAGTCATTAAAATTAATTGCACAAGGGGAAAACAAAATAACGCACATATAATGAATGAATGCAAAGAAGAGACTGAAAGTAAATTAAATATTAATCGTACAAAATAATTCAACGATCCGACGAGAGACAAGTTTCAAGAAAGATAAGTTTAATTTTTATTAGCATCATTAAAAAAGATGACTAAATAAATTGTATATTCTTTGTCATTTATTTCAATTGATTGGATATCGAAAGAGATTTTTTTACCGGAATTGTGAGCTTCTGAAAAAGCTTTCATTTCTTTTCTTTTTCACGATGACAGGTTGCACACGGCTAAATTAATTCAGTATAGTATGCATAATCAGGAAACGTTTATTCGGGTGGCGCGTTAATATGCTTCGTGAAACATGTCGCGATCCATAAATGCTTTATAAATGTACAGGGAAGTGACATGTAATGTCAAAGTACAACGACACTGATGTCTCCGTCGAAAACGAAGGAAAAAAAGAAAGGAAAGAGGCAAGTATTTGACAATCGCGAGAAGGAATTTCAATAATTTCACACCCGCATAACTCAATGGTTTTTCGAATTTTTTCAATGGATAGTTTCGATCGGACAGATTTTTGAGCCACCACGTTTTATTGTGGTGCTCGCCAAGGGTTCGGAAACACAGG